ATAGTGAGCAATTTGTAGAGAATGCTTATATCTAGTTACATTTTAATTCATCGCAAGAAATAATGAAGTATGAGGACTAAATCTGAGAAACTTAGAAAACACAGTTTGTGATCTTGTTTGATGACCTTGACCTTTGACCTTAAAAATTTTACTTTTTTAGACCTCAATATATCTTTTCTGGTTGAATAAACTTTAATTTGAATCCAGAAAATCGATTTGAAAAATCAACTTTTTTGACCTTTCGAAGGTCACTGAAGGTCAAGTAAAGGTCATAGGTCAAAACTAAGGTCAGATTTGAGTTCCTGAGATCTTGTAGATGCATTTTAAAAAAAAGTTCGGTCAATTTAGAGCAAGTTGAAATTTGACCTTGAAAAATTTCGAAATTTGACCTTTTTTCAGTTTTTGAGTTCTAATATCTCAAAACTGGAGCAAAATTTTAATAAATTGTCAATTGCTAATATGTGTAGAACTTTTAGAGGAATACATATTCTGACTTTCAGTAAAAAAAATTGATTTGTAGTCTCCAATTTTGAGAAACTTAGAAAACACAGTTTGTGATTTCGTTTGATGACCTTGACCTTTGACCTTGCAAATTTTACTTTTTTAGACCTCAGAAGGTCTTTTGTGAATAAATATAGCTAAATTTGAATCCAGAAAATCGATTTGAAAAATCAACTTTTTTGACCTTTTGGAGGTCACTGAAGGTCAATCAGAGGTCGAAGGTCAAAAGTAAGGTCAGATTTGGAATCCTGAGAACTTGTAGATGAGTTTTGAAAAAAAAATTGGTCAATTTGAAGCAAGTTGAAAAAAGACCTTTTTTGACCTTTTTTTGACCTTCAATATCTCAAATTCTAGGCAAAATTTCTCTAGACGGCAAAAGGCTAAGACTAATAGAATACTAATATCTATCTGTGTGCAAAAATTCAGCCAAAAATATTGAAGTGTAGTGTCAGGATTTGAGAAACTTGAAAAAAACTTAGATTTGACCTAGATTTTGACCTTTGATCTTGACCTAGATAAAAGTTCCTTTCCCGCCAAGTTCAGCCCAGGTCCCTAGTAGGAGTATGTAGTACCTAGTTGAAAAGTAGTTGGAAGTAGGATAAAAAGAGGGAGGAAGAATAAATAATAAAGAATAATAATAAAGAATAATAATATCTACAAAATTGATAGGAGGCCCCCCGATGGGGCCTCCTAATAATAACTAGATGTATAAGAAGATTGCAAGCAATCTTACGGAGGCCCCATAGGCTTTTTTGAACATTTAAAGGTCAGCCAAAGGTCAAATCTTAAAAACAAGGTCATATATGAACTCCAGGCATCTTGTAGATGATTTAAAAAAAAAGTTTGGTCAATTTGAAGCAATGTGAAATTTGACCTTGAAAAATTTCAACATTAGACCTTTTTCAGTTTTTGAGGTCCAATATATCAAAACTGGTGCAGAATTTTAATAGCTAATCAATTGTTAATATGTGTAAAACCTTTAGAGGAATATAAATCCTGACTTTAGTTCAAAAATATTGATTTGTAGTCTCAAACTTTGAGAAACTTAGAAAACACAGTTTGTGATCTTGTTTGATGACCTTGACCTTTGACCTTGAAAATTTTACTTTTTTAGACCTCAGTATATCTTTTCTGATTGAATAAACCTAAATTTGAATCCAGAAAATCAATTTGAAAAATCAACTTTTTTGACCTTTCGAAGGTCACTGAAGGTCAACTAAAGCTCATAGGTCAAAACTAAGGTCAGATTTGAGTTCCTGAGATCTTGTAGATGGTTTTAAAAAAAATTTGGTCAATTTAGAGCAAGTTGAAATTTGACCTTGAAAAATTTCGAAATTTGACCTTTTTTCAGTTTTTGAGTTCTAATATCTCAAAACTGGAGCAAAATTTTAATAGTGCTAATATGTGTAGAACCTTTAGAGGAATATATATTCTGACTTTCAGTAAAAAAATTGATTTGTAGTCTCCAATTTTGAGAAACTTAGAAAACACAGTTTGTGATTTTGTTTGATGACCTTGACCTTTGACCTTGCAAATTTTACCTGTTTAGACCCCAGTGGGTCTTTTGTGAATAAATATACCTAAATTTGAATGCAGAAAATCGAGTTGAAAAATCAACTTTTTTGACCTTTCGAAGGTCACTGAAGGTCAACTAAAGGTCAAAGGTCAAAAGTAAGGTCAGATTTGGAATCCTGAGAACTTGTAGATGAGTTTTAAAAAAAAATTTGGTCAATTTGAAGCAAGTTGAAATTTAGTCTTGAAAAGTTTCGAAATTTGACCTTTTTTCAGTTTTTGAGTTCTAATATCTCAAAACTGGTACACAATTTTAATAAATAGTCAATTGCTAATATGTGTAGAACCTATAGAGGAATATATATCCTGACTTTCATGAAAAAATATTGATTTGTAGTCACCAAAACTTAGAAACTTAGAAAACACAGTTTGTGATTTAGTTTGATGACCTTGACCTTTAACCTTGCAAATTTTACTTTTTTAGACCTCAGTGGGTCTTTTGTGATCAAATGTACCTAAATTTGAATCCAGAAAATCAATTTGAAAAATCAACTTTTTTGACCTTCCGAAGGTCACTGAAGGTCAACCAAAGGTCAAAGGTCAAAAGTAAGGTCAGATTTGAGTTCCTGAGAACTTGTAGATGATTTTTAAAAAGAAATTTGGTCAATTTGAAGCAAGTTGAAAAATGACCAATTTTTATCGTTTTTTGACGTCAATTATCTCAAAAACGGTAAAAAATTAACGCGAACATATAGTGAGTAATTTGTAGGGAATGCTTATATCTAGTTACATTTTAATTCATCGCAAGAAATAATGAGGTATGAGGACGAAATCTGAGAAACTTAGAAAAAACTTTGATTTGACCTAGATTTTGACCTTTGACCTTGACCTAGATAAAAATTCCCTTCCCGGTAAGTTCAACCTAGGTCCCTAGTAGGTTCATATAGTAGATAGTTGAAATCTAGTTAGAAGTAGGAGAAAAAGTGCGGAGAAGAATAAATAATAATAATAAAGAATAAATAATATCTATAAAATTAATAGGAGGCCCCCCGATGGGGCCTCCTAATTATTGATGATGTTTCAAGTAGGAATACTCGAGTAAATCAAATACATGTAGGTATAAACATCTGTCAAGTTGTGTACAGTCATATACTAATATTGTTTGAGCCTATTTTCATCTTTAATTAAAAAAATAATGTTGATTTCAAAACAAAACTAGCCATAGTTTTCTCCTGATGTCCATTGTGAATTATTGTGTTTTATGGATTATGGTGACGACTTTACGAATGGATGTTGACCCTTTGAATTGAATTGAATTGTTAAAAAGTGGAGGTTTTTACTTTCTGTTGATTTGAGGAAATAGTTTTGTTGTCCTGCATGTTTTTATAGATTACACTGTATGATTTTTTCAATTATCTGGGCCAAAGTTGCTTTTGACCCTTGGATTGTAACATTGTAATATATTTGAATTGAACAAAAAAGGAGAAACCACTTTACTCAATAATAAAGATTTTACTTCCTTGATATGTGACCAATAACATAACAGAAAATACTACTTAAATCTTTTAAGGACTTCCTCATTTCAAATCGTGCAGGCTCCCAAATTGTGATTTAGAATCAATTAACATGTCACAGCAATCAAGAACACTACTCAGACTTTATTCAATTAAACATACTTATGTTACATATGTAACTAAGTTTGTATCATCATAATAATTTTACTTTTCATAAACACAACTTATTTTCTTCATAGAGTTGTGAAAACAGACAATGTCCTTTCTATTCAAAAACATTTCTATTTTTGAAAGATACTTTAAGGAGCTATTGCGTGTGATATGGGGTTAGGTATCTCATATTCCAGTCAATCTCTAAGAATCTCACAGGTATTCCTTGGAACTCAGAAATTAGAGCATTTTATATCCGTATCTATTGAACAAACAACATGCAGTGAGGTTGGGATGAATTATTTTTGAAATAAAGATACATGTACCCAGATACCGATTACATGGAAAAGCCATTTCCCTATATTATACATGGTTTTAGTAAAAAAAACAAGTTGTTTATTATGTTTAAAGCAAATAAAACAGGAACCTCATTATATGGAAAAGCCACTTCCCTATACTGTATATGGTTTTAGTTCAACAACATGTTCTTTAAAGCAAATAATACAGGGTGGTCAAAAAACTGGAAACCCTTGCACCATTTTCCTTATATCTTTATTATTTTAAAAAATAACTTTGCACATTTGTACATCACTCAATTTCCTACCAGCCTACCATATTTCATGACCATCTGATTGATACTCACCATGTCCAAAATGTCCCTACCTATGGGGATATGGCAGAGATAGAGTGTTGTTCAAAGTGCTGTAAAATTGTGACTATCAATCTGATGGTCATGAAATATGGTAGGGTGGTAGGAAATTGAATGATTTACAAATGTGTGAAATATCAGGGAGTAATTTCTTAAAATGACAAAGATATGAAGACAATGAAGGGTTTCCGTTTTTGTTGACCACCCTGTACATTAAAAACAAAGATGGTAAAACATTGCACCACATTTGTAGCCTATATAGTTCATTATGTTGAATCAAACCAGAGTCATATTAAACAAGGAAGGTATATGGACCAGTGTCAGTTACATTTTTTTTACATTTCTACATTTCTCAGATATAACATTATTTGATTTCATTCTGCCATATTACTTTAAGTAAATCATTCATATTACATTAACAACTCATAAAAGTGATGGATATTGAAAAGCAAAAACTGTCAAAATCTAAATTATGTTTTGAATATCATGTGATAGTTCCATATAAAGCTTGTAGGACCATATAGGGAGTGCTCATGAATATTAATCAGTGGCAAGTAATTGGCAAATAATTATAGCACATACTCACTTCAGAATATAGCACTTAAATTGATTGATATTAAAAAGTTAAAGATCAATGCATTCAACATGTTATATATAAACATCTAGATTTGAATGCAAACACATTTGTGAAGTAGACTCTCATATGACACATGTATGCTGTCAAAAGCAAAATGATGCAAGGAAAAATATTTCTGAGTCTAGTGGTCATTCTTTGGGCCAGCAGATGTTCAGATGGGAACATTGGAGAGGTAGAGCAATGCACAGAAAGTAGTTGTGGTGGTATTAATCATGAGGACTGCACAGTACGCTGCAATAATATGATTCTAACTGATGGACTGCCAAAAATAAACCGACATGTTAGAGTCTTGGAGATTCGCGATTCTCTGATGCCAACTATCAAGAACTACAACTACGAACCCTTGGTTAGGTTAGTCAAAGTCTTCATTAATGCTTCAAATGTAACGCATGTGAACATTGATGCATTTGAGAAAATGCCAAACATTGAAGTTTTGCACATAGAGCACAATAACCTAACCACTATATTGAATGCTGGATTCAACTTGAAGCACCTTAATGAACTAAGCCTGATAGACAATAATATCAGAACCATTAAGTTCTCAGTGTACAAATCGATTCAAATTTCCTTGTCTCATAATCCTATAAAAAACATACTCCCTGGAACGTTTGCAGGCTTCAAATCTATCAAGAATGTGTCTTTATTTCTAAGAGATATAAAAATACAAAAACTGAACATACACACATTTACTGGTTTAAATGAATTATATGAGTTGGACATTAGTGACAATAATTTAGGTGAAGATGGTTTGGAAAGTATCGCGAACAGTACACAAGGAAAAAAGGTAAAAAAACTAACAGCTGCAAACTGCTCAATGAAGTCACTGAAACCAGAAAGTTTTGAAAAGTTAAGCCATGTTGAATGGCTTAATCTCAGTAGCAATTTATGGGAAACATGGCCGAATAATACTCTTAAACATCTAGAAAATCTAGAATCATTAACAATCGACAATAGTCCTTACTTTGCATTTTTTGAAGCAAGTAACGAAATGAACAATGTGAAAAGTATATCATTCCGTTCAAATGCACTCCTGAAATCGAATACGATTTCTACTATTTTCAACAACTCCCAAAAGTTGGAATATTTGGATATAAGCGACAATCATTTTCAAGACAGAGTAAACGAGATCAGTCCATTGGAAACGTTAAAAGTATTTGACATGTCGCAAAACAATCATCCCTTGGTCAAAGAACGAGTCAATTACTTCAAAACAATGCCAAACCTTATAATATTCAATATGCGCAATGTTAATTCCGAACACCAAGAGAAAGGGGACTTTGACTTGGGATCAGTTGCATTGACCAACATGAAACATCTATGGAAACTTGATTTAAGCCATAATACTGCAGTACTTACGAATGAACATATCAAATTCAGTTACTCCGGCTTAATAAGTCTAAGAGATGTGAACCTATCTTACAATAAGTTACAGGACTGTCTTGATGCACTCATTGAATTATTCAAACTTTTTACATCTGTCGAAACTCTGAATTTAGAGCGGAACAGTCTCATGGAACTGCCAAAGCATATATTTGAGTCTATGACAAAATTAACCGACCTACATCTAGAAGACAATCGATTGACATACTTTTCTAAAAAATATCTCCGGAGAAATCTAAACATAAAAAATCTGCATCTTCAAGAAAACTCCATAAAATATATCAGTGGATTAGCATTTGTACATTTACAACGACTGAGCATGCTGAATATAAGCAAAAACCCTTTCATATGTAACTGTAAACTGAGACAGTTTAGAGACTGGATACAAATTAAAAAACATTTAGTACATGGCTCTGATCAAAAATGTGCAGAACCTCTCGAAATGAATCATTTGCGTATCAACTCATTTGAAATCCCATGGACAGAATGCGATGACATGTGGATTATCCTGGTAGCCCTAGTTTTTGCGATTTGTTTGATTCTTGGGATTTTACTGATATATTTTCGTTGGGATATCAAATACTGGTGGAGTCTACGTAGATCAAGACGACGTCGCAATGGATACACAGAGCTAAATGAGACCATTGGGGGAAGATACCAGTTTGACGGATTTGTGTCCTATAACAGTGAAAGTCAGAAATGGGTCATTGACTTCATGTTACCAAATATGGAACAATCCCAAGATGACATGAATTTCAAAATCTGTTTTGATGGACGTGACTTCATTCCTGGAAAGTATATTGCTGACAATATCATTGATTCAATACAACAAAGCCGCAAACTGATTTTTGTCATAACGGAAAAATTCATCAAGAGCCAGTGGTGTGGTTTTGAACTAGAAATGGCCAATTTGAGACAATTTGACGAAAAAAGGAACCTCGTTGTGCTAATTTTCCTAGAGTCAATTCCGAAGAAGAAACTACCACGAAAAATCAGACTTCTTATGAAACACATGACATATATTGTATGGGACAAAGAGAATGCACGGGCCCAGAGTCTTTTCTGGAAGAAGTTAAAGCTGTGTATGATGGATGAACCAAATGACCTTATGTTTGGACAAAATCCTTGAATTTGATCCCAAAAAACAATAGGGAAATAAACATGCTTCCATATACTAGTTATTGATGCTTATGGGTAGACGATATACATAATGTTAAGCCCAATTTTATCCCAGTGCTCTACTTGGTTTTGTATATATCGTATGTATGTATATATGTAAATGATGGTTAAAGACATTCTGTATGTTAATGAAATAATTTGCATGCTGTGTATATCTGGCATACTTTTGTACAATTAAGGTGGATCTGTTCCAGAGTTCAAAATCAAAATATTTGGATTAAATGTCTAAAAGAAACTTCCTTATATTTATGTAGCTTGTAAAGATATATGAGACCTAAATACAGGTGTATATTTTTTTTTTACATTTATGAGTAAAAATGTGAATATTATTCAAATACTTTACTTATCAATTTATCATGCTTTGAGAGACATCATAGCTTTGTTTGTTTCAATTACTTTGTATATAAGTTCACGAGGTTGGTAAGGATCATAAATGTCTGTAAAGATTTAATAGAGTTTTATAGCTTAAACGAATCTGCAACCACATCTCGTTTAACTGTTACACATAAATCTGGTGAATGCATTACAGATTTTAGATTAGTGAGCTAAAAATGATGTGCGGAAAGCTCTCTATTGACTGATTGTCAGACTTATTTATCAAAACACTTAAAACATGAATAGTTTGAGTTTTGACACATAAGGCCTTATCTTATCTCAATCACGTTATTTTGGAAAATAAACATTTATGTAATACTTCATCTGCTTTTATCTCCATTTATTTGAATTCATAACTTCACATCGTACACTTGAAAGTGATCAACTTAAGTGATATCCCTGATAAAGGAAGCTGCCAAAATATCAAAAACATTACTGCATGTACAGTAAAACCTGTCTAGTGGAACACATTTGGTACCTCTAAAACATGTTCCACTTACATCGGGTGTTCCACTTACATTGGTTGTTCCACTTAAAGAGGTGTTCCACTTACAGAGGTGTTCCACTTACAGAGGTTAGTTGGTCTTTGGACTGTTCTACTTACAGAGGTGTTCCACTCCTAGGTGTTCTATTTTACAGGTTTCACCGTAATTTATTTTTATGCCTCTGACTTACCCATCCCAATTTTAATAACAAAATATGGAAATGTATTTATATATACACTGTATAACTCCTATTGTTGCTCCAAATAATTAGTGATATTATAAGTAATTGTAACCAATGAGAGCCAGGGTCACTGGGAACCTGGTTGCAGTTTGCACACTTATCATATTTTTATATAAATTATCATATAAAAGTGCCTAATGTTTAAGTGCTATGCAACATTATAAAAACCTTTCAGATAAATTGAAATGATAAATTGTATGTATATATGTATGTGAAGAAAGGTTAGGCTATTCAAATAAATAGTACGCCTTTTCTCATAAACGTTGCTGAAAACATTCAAATTCACTGATATTTTTTTGAAATTTTGAAGTTAAATAATAAGCAGAAAAAAAGTGATAAAATACTTAATATAACCATAAATTCCAAATGTATTTTTGAAAACATGACAACTTCCTTATATTAAGGTGATATTTCAACCTTAGATTTGCCATATCTTTAATTTTTGTAAAAATAATTTACCATACAAGGCCATCCCCTTTCAAGAAAAGGGTATGCAATTTCTCATTATTCATAAATGAGCATTGCCTTGGCATTTCAAAAATGCTTCCTGTACACATTCCAAGAAAAAATCATTTTGCATGTATAATTTAAAGGAATGACTCAAAAATAAAACATGATTTATGCATGATGCATGTTGATTATATGATACAAAATGGATTTCATCATAATTTTTTTGGAAGTAATGAAAGTTTGAGTTCTCTCAAAAATTATATTTTTATTGGACTTTGTTCCTGAATAATTACCCACAATCCAACACTTGAGGAGAATATTTTGAGACCTCTTTTCCGTATTGGTCATTCTTGTTTACTTTTAAATGAGATGAGATAAAACATATTTTATATTCAAATCATATTTACATTATTTCAAGATAATACCAAGACATATAAATGTATTTATCTAGTTCTCTTTGAAAATATGATAGAAAAAAGAAGCATACCAAAGCTAGATTTGAAGTTCTCATTTATTACACAGAGTAGCATACCCTTCTCTTTAAAGCCGATGATAAGTGTGACATGTCTACATACCCTAGACATTATCTGTTTATTTGAGCCTGAAGTTTTGGGTGCTTGTTGAGATTCACTATTTTTTCCGACTGACATCCGAGCAGTTTTTGAACTTTTGCCTCCTTTGCCTCCTTTGCCTTTTGAACTTTTGCCCTTTCCCTTTCCTTTACCGGTGTAGGAAGTTCCAGTTGTTCCACGCTGCTTTCCAAAGGTTTGTGGTTTCTGGGACAACACACAGTCCTAAAATTGCAATTATTTAGTATGTCAATTTTATCCACCAGTTGTGTTTCCATATTATAATAAAACATTATGATATTAGTGAAAAGGGAATTGAACGAAAAAACATGTAATGATACAGGGCGATTGGTATGAAAAGGAAATTGAACGAAAAAACATGTAATGATACAGGGCGATTACAAGGCTGTTACTGACGCCAAACACCAACCACCAAACACCATCCATAAAAAAAGTTAGACTATAACAATATGTCACCTCTTCTGGAGGTGACAAAAAAAACAGAAGATATAATTGCTAGTATTTGAGGTAAAGTCTCGAATCTGAGATATATGCCCAAGGTTAGCAAGCTAAAGATTATTTTAGTATCAGGCTGTCAGGTGTATAAGTACTTTGATGAAATAAAATAGTTCTGCTATAAACCTCATATCCATCCGATATATAGGGGTTATGCACTGGGAGGTTTTGGATACAGGGAATATCCCGAGGGATATACAATATATCTTCCCGAGGGACCGAAGGGATCGAGGGAAGATGTATTGTATATCCCAAGGGATATTCCATGTATCCAAACCGACCATGCATAACTGGTGTATCTCATACTTGAGTGGGTTTAGGGTAGATATAACCTTTTCCACCTTTTTCAAATGACAAGATATTTATATTTAACATTTTCGTTATATTCTTTTTGTTCAATACAATGAAATTGTAACATTTAAACTTAAAGAAATTAAATTTTAAAATTAAAAAATTAAAACTTTTGATATTTAAACTTTTTTAAACTTTTGAAAAATTCCCGGGAGCAGGATGGATATATTATATCTGCCCGCATTTGGCCTGGAGCGGGACATATACAATATATCCTGCCCGCTCCTCAGATACGATATATATTCCCGGGTGATATCTACCCCAAACCCACTCAAATATGAGATACACTCATATATATTTTTCCATTTATAACATGTTAAACATAAATAATGTATAATACATGTATACTTTTTTAAGTATTTTGAATACAACTTCTTTATTTTTTAACTGAGAGCAATTCAATGAGTGTACAAATTAATGTACAATGTACTTATACAATAGACTCACATCTTCCGCCATTTTCAATAGCTTAACAAGGGCCCTTGTGGCCATTCTACATACTGGGGAGTACACTTCGCCCGGGCAAACCTCTAGTATTGTCTCCATACGGGCAATCATCAACATTACATTCTCATCATAATCACTGAAATAAACAAATACATACTTTAAAACCTCAAACTATGATCAGATATTATATTAGATGTTTAGATTAGATGTTTTAGGGTGAAACTATATAATTGTGACATCACTCCAAATACATTTGATCCCCATTACCATAACAACCAAAACTTAATTTCAATAATAGCCAAGACATCGATCAAAGATAAGGTATTCAATTTCCTAAGAGATTATGTCTCCAAAATGTTATTAACATCAATATTCTATACAAAAATGAAGCCATCAATACGAGCTTACGAGATACCCCCATCATAGATCTGGTTCATATTTTTCACTGCAGTCAAATTGTAAGCAGCTTACCTGTCAGTGAGCTTGAGGGAGGGGTCCAGTATTGCCCTTCCATCCATGGGCCAGGGATCTGCCTCCGCCGCACATAAGGGGGTGTAGAAGATCCCCTGGGGGTGCCCATGACGCACCTTACTCCCATAAAGCAGACGTAGAGATGGAATTTCAGCCCAAATACTGTCCTCAACCTTGTAGATTCCTAGCTTCTTCCCACGTCTAGAAAAATATATTTTAATAAAACTATAGTCATGAAAGATTGAAAAAGCATTTTTTGCTTCTGACATTTCACAATCTGGTCAGTGAAATCAAGTGGTTACAAAAGTGTACCAATTTATTAGGGATACTTAATCCCAGTCATTAAAATTGGTGACTATTACAATATATTGTACAAATAGTGACTGCCATTGAGGGAAATAGTGCAAAATATTTTCCTCAAGGGAATATCCTGTCCACTGACATGTTCCCGAGGCTGCAGGCCGAGGGAACAAGTCAGTGGACAGGATATTCCCGAGAGGAAATTTTTTACACTATTTCCCGAAAATGTGGCAGTCACTATTTGTTTTATTATATACCTGATAAGTACTCTGTAAACAAAAACAAAATGAGAAGTCTTTTCATTTCAATATCAAATGTTCACAATTAGTTCATCTATTCCATGTCATGTGACCATGAATAAGCCAATGAGCATCTAGAATACATTTGAGGTATATCAATTCAATTCAATTTTCAATTTATTCATACATTTAATCATTATGTGTACATATATTATTAATAACAGGTGGCACCACAGGTGATGCTTATACCCGTAGTAGTTAAATCATATAGCATATCATTATGTTGTCAAGGAATCAAACCAGAATGTAATCACAAAAGTTAGGTAAATAAAAAAAGGTTGTGGGGGGATCCATGATGCTAATTTCTTTTGAAGCCAAGAAGGTGCCATATGCCATGGGAAAAAATTATGAATGTGTAGCTTCATTAATTATTATTTAAAGACGCCAGGCTACCGCGTTGACGCCAATAATTTTCTAAAAGTGTGATTCTTATAAAATATTAGTTATTATTGTACCTTCCCCAAGGTTGGTACGATCAGAATCATTGTGTTAAATCATCAGTAGTTCGGGGCAGCCCCCAGGTCGGCCCATGTACCTCCCTTGAGAGCCTACCCTAACTTCTTACCAAAGAAACAAGAAGTGACACAGTCAAGTCAACCAATGATTAATAAGCTGAGAGAATATGTTTCTTCAGTTTTGATTTAAGAAAAGAACTTGAATTTGACTTTTTTATTTCTTCTGGGAGACTGTTCCATATGGATGAACCACTAAAGGCTATTGTTTTTTTACCATAGTTTTCAGTTTTTGCTTTAGGAAGGGTAAAGTTTGATTTGCCTCTAGTGTTATATCTATGAAAATCTCCATGGGTTTTGAAATAATCTGGAAAAATAGTTTTATAATTGTTTATATCATTTTTCCATATAATACTGTTTATTGGTTGTAAAAAACAAAGAAGGGATTAACATACAAAACACCTGCAATTTGTTACAGACAACCACCGAACACTGTTACATACACTGAACGTCAAACACCATCCACAAAAAACTTGGAGACTATAACATTACTTCATCACTTATGGAGGTGATATAAAACTGAAATGTGAAATATGATTGTTAATGGTATACCTGTTAAAGTCCACTACAGCTTCCAGCAGCATGTCTCTTGCCCTATTGGTGGGGTGTAGCATGAAGGAACAAAAGACTCTCTCCAGGTCATGTGAATACCTTGCCAAAGCCATACACTTCCAGTGAGCACTGCCCTCCATGGCTGAAAATAAACATGTTTTTTTTCAATTCCAAATTTAATGTTTTGAATGTTTTATTAAATCATTTATTTTACTATATATCATAATAATCATTGGCGTTGGAAGGGGGAGGGGGTGTTTGTTGGGGGTGACCGCCCCCCCCCCCCTTTTCCCAGATTTTTTTAGATTTGAAACCGAGCCTAGAATTGAAATCTCTAGAGCTAATTAAAGTGAAAGTGTAACAATGACAAAAATGATACTATGTCAGTAGGCCTATCTAGTCTACATCAAGCATAGAAGATCTCATTTCTCATATTATATTTAATTCTATACAATGTATAGTTTCTCAGGAACCCATACAGTATGTAAATACTTTGAAGAATATTTGCAAAATGTATATTTTAGTCAAAGTTAAAGAATGCAACAGAGAGGGTCGAAATTTGAAAATTTTCTGGGGGCATGCCTAGATTTCCCCCTAGATTGCGCTTCACACACGACCCATCAATGACCAAAAATCACCCCCTTCCCATGGCGAATCCTTCTTATGCCCCTGATAATACATAAGATATCCATAAAATATATAGGTTAAACATAAAATAAAAATATATAGGACAGTTTAGATGAGTTTATATTCATTGACTTTGCAGTTTTCTCTGATTGGTTCAAATCCAACCTGAAAAATGATCGCTCCTAATCAGACGGGTAGTGTAATAGATGGTGTAGCCCAGGGTAGAATGTAATATTCTTTACCTGAAAACACTCTATCTGTGATTTTGATGAGAACCTGAGCAGCAGATATGACCTCATCCTTCTGTGCTAGGTCCAAGGCCTTCTGTATATAACCAAACAGTCTGGAGTCTGACTTGTCACCAAGGTCAAAGCTGTTGTGGTACAGAACCCTGAAAGTATACCCAAAACATGCAAGTTTCAAGACAAATATGAAATTGTTGTTCAAGTAAAGATTTAGTGATTTTAGATTGGCTGTCCATAACGATTTCCATAACACTTTGTGCCTGAATAATCAATCAAATGAATGTAAGTTATACCATCTACTATTTTACACCTTATTGTAATATAAATTCCGAGTAATCTCAAAGGTAAGTTACAGGACAATTCCATACTGTAGTCCTGTATAATACATTTCTATACACGCCTTTGTATCTCCTAATGTCCAATGGAAATGAGGTGTGAGGGGCACAAGGACTTAAAGCAAGACATATGCCACGCCATTTGTATAGGTGTCGACTTTTGGCTTGCAACCGAAGATACCCCAAGAAAAGCCGGAGATTGCCGAAGATTTTCTTTGTTAACAAAGTTGGCTGAGGGTACCACGAATGTGAAGAGGATGTCTCTAATTGGTCAAAAAGAGAGGCTCGGCATTCTCCGTCAGATTGAATCAGCAAAATTCGGTTGTATGGCTTATCTTCAGTTGTATGGCCCAACCTCGATTGAATGGAAAAGATGCTGTCCCAATTTGTAATTAGTAAAAGTAATGTGCAGTATTTGAAGAAAAATTTCTATGAACCAATTGATCATCAATTATTAATACATACGTGTTAGAGAAAGGGTCATGTAGATACTGCTTCACTAGGTCATCTAAATCAGAGTCCAGATTTTTCTCAAGTTTCTCAAGGGACAACTGCCATTGGGACTTTGTATCCTGGGCAGCCCCAAATGTTGGGTCAGGGGCACCCTGCATCTTATTCATGTGGGACGAGATGTCTCTGATCTCATCTTAATTGAAAAACAAGAATTATTAATGTACAGTTTTCCTCCTTTCTGATTAATCCAGGCATTCTTGGATATGTATTTTGGAAGCAATGCTATCTGAATATTTAATGACATCACAAGATGAACAAAAAATAATAAGTTTCTTAGCTCAGGAAAAGTGGGGCAGAATTTACTAGAAAGATATAGTGTAAAAACATGCAAAGATTACTATTCATGAACAAGTTCATTATTCTTCATGTGTAAGTTTTAATCATAAAAAATGAAACAATTACATTATGAACAAATTGAAGAGAAAAATTAAAATTTTAAGAAATATTGAATTTAACTGAAAAAACAACAATTACCTAAATGTTTGAATACTTTGCTGAGTACACCTGCAGGGTCTTCCTGTACAGCATACTGTACTAGCTTCTGTAGTTGCTCCCTACTCAGTACAGATAGGCTCTCTGTCATTGGGGCATGTACAGGAACCTAGATGTATCAAATATATCAAATGAAATCAACACTTCTAATAACAAATAGATGGTTATGACTAATCTAAAAACAAGTGGGTGATTGCAATATGATTACAACAACAGGCCCGTAGCCAGGATTTGCCAAGGGGGGTTCACTTTTTGAAAAATTCCAGGGGGGTTCACTTGTGACAATTTCGGTCTAAAACTGGCCAAAATCACTTGTGCTTAGAATGGTGAAGAACTGCATGATTTTAAAAGATTTTTTGGCAGTTAGCTCGAACCCCCCCTGGCTACGGGCCTGAACAGTGAACAACCATGTGAGCTAATGAATACGAAATCCAATCCATATTATTTATATGCACAATCCAACTCATATTTTAATGCATACCACTTTTTGTGTACCTCTTTAATGAAACAAAGCATGTGGTGGAAGTATTGTACCTTAAACTCAAGAGAGGCTTCCTTGTTAACATACAATGCCAAAAATATAATAATATATATATATATAATTCTCCATTGATTTCCATTTCAAGAAACATCCCTGAAAACATTCCTTTCTTGTATGGAAATGCTCTGACAAAAAAGTGATTTTATATTTCTTTTATCCCTACCCTATCTGGATTCCTGATCCTATATACTACTGCAGCAATCACATGAGGGCACCATACGGCTAGTGCACATTTGTCCTCTGAGCATGTGCTGGATATGATGCGTTGTTGCTCAAATGTTATAGATACACGACAGTTGCTACATGGTATGGCTCTATACCCATATATGGCCTGGTTGTCAATGACGGCAGTCAGCATGAATCCTGTAAATACATTGACAATAATAACAATAGTAAAATGTTTCGTAGTACATACATTTCATCTTACAAGTTAATGAAGGATTCAGAGTAATTTTTAACTCCTCGATCACTTTATTTGAGAAATGCTGATTGCTTCGCTATTAAATAACATGTTTATTATACAATTGTTTACAATAAAAAAACAGCAATTCCCTTTAGTAACAAATCTCAATGAAGAGTTATCAGAAATTCGAACATGACTGTATTCACGCCTTCTATAAACTGTGAACAAGGTCAATATTTCACCCAGGGTATATTCGCGAACAATACCCTGGATATACAAGTAATGTATGATGTCATAACGGTGGCCCGTAGTTATGGTGGACCGTAATGAATATTCGAAACATTTTGGTGAGTTTTCATGTTGGAATCGTAATATAACCCTCAGAGCAGAGGTAATATCATTGAATAAACCCCTGGGGGCTAGGCACAAAAGCTTTCAAATAGAAAACGTTTGTGCCTAAGCCCTGCGGGGTGTATTCGACAATATTACCCCTGCTCTTCGGTCTATATTTCTTAAATATAACACAAATACATGTTATTGAATTTGGTTGATTGGTTCAAGGGGAGAATTGGCTCCCAGGGATGACAATCGATATTCTGTTCTATATATGGGTATCACATAGTCATGTTACGAAATACAAAATTTAATCAAGAATAATGGCCATTCTCCTTGCAGCCACTGAAATATACAGGCGGGATTGGAAACTACCGCATTGATTGGAGATTACAGAATATCGAGTTGGGACCCTGGCTTCCAATCTAATCTTCCTTGGATTGGTTGGAACTTTTATAGGCTGACATATATGGTCATAAGACCTTTAAAACAAGAAATTTCAAAGATGGCATATGTCATGTTCTGTGTGTAGATTTTGCCAGAAGGAAACAAAACATGTATAAACAAAGGATTAACATGCAAAATGTCACCACCATTTGTTACAGATGCCAACCACCGATTGCCAACTACCATCACAAAAAACAGAGACCATAACAATATGTCACCACTTTTTGGTGGTGACATAAAAATGAGTGATTTGGTAAAATTAATATGTTTTGTTTTGGTGGGATGTGCTACTCCAGGGAGTAGATTTTTTTTCTAGTTTGTTTTGAACAGTAGGAAAAAGGATAGTTAAATTGAAACCCAAACTGACACTGAAACCGAAATACACAAGTATTCATTCCGGGAACCAGGAACTGTAATAGGATCTTAGATCACGATTTTTAAGTTTCAGCAGTCTTTTGTGAATAATTTGACAATTAAAGTGAGGGGACATATGTTTGAATTTGATAAGAAATGATCAAAATATGTGCTATTGAAAATAAAGAAGCCTGTTACTCAAAAACATCACAGCTGTAATGATGATTCACAGATTTCATTGGGTTCCAGGAGAATGAAGTCAATGGTTAGAGTTACACCCAGTCACAATTTCTGCTGAATAGCTTGCCATAGGGGGGGGGGGGGGGCATAGGTACACATACACAAATAAAGTAGCTACCAGAAGCCATACTTGGATCTAAATTAAGGGTTCGTTGTGTTATGCAACATAATGTACATATCATAATGCACAGAATCAAATTTAAGATATTAGTCTTTAATATGCTAAATAATATTCAATATAAGTGACAATGTCAAGTGAAATGCACATGTACGTTGAAAATTACTTTTATTACTCAATGAGTTCTGAAAGTTTAATATAAATAAACAAGAACACAAATGTGTACAAAATGTCCCCACCAATGGGTGATCCCATGAAATGGTTATCCTGAAAATGAGTAGACAAGACTTTACCAACACAATTTTAATTGATCCGTCACACAGTTAACTAGAAAACATGTAAACAAGACTTTACAGACAAGATTTTAGGATGGAAAATCCAAAATGGCTGCCTTGACATTTGCCCAGAATGTCAAAAAACTAATCTGTTCCTAGATTTTCATACTAAGAATCATCCCTGAAAATATGACATTGATGTACCAAATGGTTCACCTGAAAACGCGTAGACAAGACTTTACAGACAAGATTTTAGGACAGAAAATCCAAAATGGCTGCCATGACATTTACACAGAATGCCAAAAAACCAATCAGGTGTAGATTTTCACACTAAGAATCATCCCTGAAAATTTGAAATTGATCTACCAAACGATTCACCTAAAAACGCGTAGACAAGACTTTACAGGCAAGATTTTAAGACGGAAAATCCAAAATGGCTGCCTTGACATTTATCCAGAATGCCAAAAAACTAATCAGATCTAGTTTTCATACTAAGAATCATCCCTAAAAATTTGAAATTGATCTACAGAACGGTTCACCTGGAAATGCATAGACAAGACTTACAGACAAGATTTTAGGACAGAAAATCCAAAATGGCTGCCTTGACATTTGCTCAGAATGCCAAAAAACTAATCAGTTCTACATTTTCATACTAAGAATCATCTCTGAAAATTTGAAATTGATCTACCAAACGGTTCACCTGCAAACGCGTAGACAAGACTTTACAGACAAGATTTTAGGACGGAAAATCCAAAATGGCTGCCTTGACATTTACCCAGAATGCCAAAAAACAAATCAGATCTAGATTTTTATACTAAGAATCATCCCTGAAAATTTGAAATTGATCCACCAAACGGTTCACCTGAAAACACGTAGACAAGACTTCACAGACAAGATTTTAGGACGGAAAAATCCAAAATGGCCGACAATAAAAAAGTGATTATGTGTTTTTGCTGATTTCTTCTTACAAAATTATCACATATTACTACTGTTAACAATAACATAGGCTTTTACAACAAAGTAGATCTGAAATTATTTATAAAGCTACTAAAAAGTTAAAGTATGAAAACTCAAAAACACCATTCAATATGATACAAAGTATTATCGTGCGCTAACTTTTCTTAAGACATTCAAAATGGCTGACATGACTGAGCTAACAGGTCCAAAACCTAATCAGATCTAGAATGAAGTGAGCTGAACAAGATGTTAAAGTTTTAAAAGCAACTGTGAAGCCGTTTTTCTTAAAGTTTGCAGACAAGGATTTTAGCATTTGACTTCAAAATGGCCGACAGGAAGTAGGTATCGAGTTAAAATTTTTTCATCCACATCTGTATGCACTCATAAGTTATCCCTGAAAATTTGAAGGTGATATCTGTAGCGGTTTTGGAGAAAACTCCCGGACGTACGGACAGACGGACGGACGGACGTACGGACGGACAGACGGACGCGCCTAGGCCGACAATATGGCCCCACACTATGTGGTGGGGACATAACAAAAAGTACACATCATACTTCAGACCGGGAACCCGAAAGTGTGTTTAATAAGTTTTAATCCAATTAGGTTTTTCTTAATAAGTTAATCTAATTAGTTTTTCTTAATAAGTTAATCTAATTAGTTTATCTAATAATCAGCTAAGGTTGCTTCTTTCCTTCAGCTGTTGAAAAATTTAAATGCCCTGGATAAATATTCTTAAGATCATTTAATACAAGTTCATCACTTATTTCACTTATTTCTTAGCCAGAAGTTAGGATGAAGTTCAAACAAATATTGATCATTACTGCAGGTATGATCACACTGTCATATTGTCAACCCACGACATCCGCAATATCATCCCATGGCAATGGGGCATGCAGCAGAGCACCACCAATAATGCCACGGGTCTGCAATGATTTGATGACAAACATGCAAGAAAAGATGCAGCAGAATGACGATTCAATGAAACAAAAAGATGAAGAGATCAAAAGTGCATTCAAACTTTTGGATGCTAAGGTATTACAAATTTTAAAAGGAAAATATTTTTGAGACTTTTGAGATTCCAACTAGTCTATCAAATGAGATCCATAATTTGTTTGTTGTCTTGCACATGCTTGCATCCAACTTCTCTCTATATCACATAATGATGTTTATTCTTTGAACAGATCAATATGATGAAGAATAATTATACAAGAATAGTTGGAGAGAAAGGTGACATGGGACCAAGAGGACAGAAGGGAGACAATGGTATACCTGGGGTGAATGGAACTAAAGGTGACATGGGACAGAAAGGAGATCAAGGTACAGCTGGAGTGAATGGAACTAAAGGTGACATGGGACAAAAAGGAGACATGGGACAGAAAGGAGACATGGGACAGAAAGGAGACCTTGGAATAACTGGTGTGAAAGGAGATAAAGGTGACATGGGACAGAAAGGAGATCATGGTACAGCTGGTATGAATGGAACTAAAGGTGACATGGGACAGAAAGGAGATCATGGTACAGCTGGTATGAATGGAACTAAAGGTGACATGGGACAGAAAGGAGACAATGGTATACCTGTTGATAGAAATATTGGCTATTTTTTGCCTAGTCTTACAGGTAAGATATAGAGTCATACATTTGAAACTAAATTTGAAATTAACATTTTTTCCACAAAAGATAATAAAGCGCCTTTAATGTATTGCTATTAATATACTGCCATTTACATCGCTATAAATGTATTGCTTTAATATATTGCTTATTGTATTGTTATGAATGTATTTCTTTAATATATTGCTTATTGTATTGTTATGAATGTATTGCTTTAATATATTGCTTATTGTACTGTTATGAATGTATTGCTTTAATATATTGCTTATTGTATTGTTATGAATGTATTGCTTTAATATATTGCTTATTGTATTGTTATGAATATATTGCTTAACACATATCCTTTAGCAAATCAAACGTTCATTTGTGACGCTGCTCACCATTTAGTATAAAAGGCACGACACAGGTTGAAGTCACTGTGTGAAGACCTCTGCACGTTTATGTAGCCATAATAGTATAGATCGTCACACATTTATAAAAGGGAGAATTTTACTTTGACAAATTAGTTTCACATTTTATGGGTGAAGTTTCAGGATCTTTTATTTGTGTTTAATAGGAAAAACTGACATCCAGATTTTGCCATCATGTATTAGCACACATCAAGATCTTATTATTTTGGTTGATGTACATGCATTCTTTGGATAATTCACTCTCTCAATGTTTACAGAATCATAGTAGAAGGATTATTTTATCTTCAAGGCAATTTCAATAAACTGGAATTTACAAAACTCCCTTAATTTCTTAAAAATGGACTGATCTAGTAGATATATTGTTTTTATACAGGAGGCTTATTGTAACCCTTTAGGGGAGGCATCAAAAGATCAATGTCTGATAGAAAACTAAATAAATCTAGTTTGGGGGGGAGGGGGTCAAAGCTATTTCAGTTTGCTATCCGACAAATTTCAACATTTGAATTTTTGGGAATTTCGACTCAAAATGCCTTGGAATGGTTTAAAAATAAAGACTTTACCAGATGCCTTCTTCACAAATATGCATGCAACATCGAATGTTATGCCTATTGTTGTTGGCACATGTTTTAAGAATCATGAACAAGTTATAGTTCCACCCCCATAAAAGTCCAAATTGAGTCGCAAAAACATGTGAAAGTCCGCGATCAACTTTCATTGTATTTAGTTTTGAGGGGGAGGGGGGGGGGGGGGGTCCAACTCAAAACTAGATTTATTTAGTTTCCTATCAGACATTGAACTTTTGATGCCTCCCCTTAGTGCATTGGTTTTTTGTATTGCTTTAAATGTACTCATACTGCTAATACCATTTCTAAATACTGAAGTTATCCCTCTGATTTCTAGGCTGTGGAGGTACCTTTATGGCACCATTAGGTAATGTGACAAGTCCACTATACCCTAGGTCTTACGCTGATGGCAGACACTGTGAATGGACCATCACTGTTCCATTGGGAAACATTGTAAGGGTAAAGTTTCATGATTTTGAACTGGAGAATTGTGGTGACTGTGGATGTGACTATCTGGCTATTTATAATGGAGCGAGCACTGATGCAACACGTCTACTTGGGAAGTACTGTGGGACAGTGAGTTTTTTATTTACCATATTAACCCGTTTAGGAAAAAATTCTTTCACTATTCTGAGCACTTTCAAGTGATTTGGGGCCAAAGTCAAATGTAAGCCCGCTGGAATTTTTTCAAAAATGAGCCCACCTTGACAAAAGCTGGCTATGGGTCTGTCAGGTAAAAATAATCAGCTCATAAAACATGTAAAACACATGTTTCCACCAATTAAAAATTCTCAGAATCCATCATCATATTTGTAGGCAATGCCACCCGATTTTCGATCTACAGGAAGCCAGATACGTCTTGTTTTCCGCACTGATGGTTCTGTCACAAGAAAAGGATTCAGACTGAGTTTCTCAAGTTAACACCTAATAATGTTAACATATGATCCTCAAGGACTAATGGCATTTCATTGGTGAACACAATGCCAGTTACTAGACATATTTGTGTTGATCTAGAGAATGTGATTTGTTTGATTTATTAAGAGACATAAGTTGTGCCTTAAATAAATAACCCTGAACAAAATGACTTCATGCTTTTAAAACCCAGCATTGCAGATAGATTGCTCTTATATCTAAAGATTTTTGGCATTTTAACACTCACTACAAAATGTCAAAATCCAAGTGGCGCTGAACTGAACACGGCACAATTTTGAACTTTGGGAAAACTTTTTTGGTTTATAATTGACTTTTAAATCAAACAACTGCAATATTACAAAGGAAAAACAACTAAATCCTGTCATTTTATTTTTTAATTTCATCAAAGGAGGATTGGCTCCCAGAGTACAACATCGATATTCTGTCCCATATATGGACATGTCGTGATACAAAATTTGAATTCAAACAGCCGCCATTTTGTTCGCTTCAACATTTGAATCGTGAATTTTGGTCTTATTTCCTCACGAAAAATTCCAAAACTCACAAGAAATGATCTAGATATTGGTTCAAATCTTTTGAACTGTTTATTTTGAATTTATAGTCGGTTATAATTTCAGAAAATAATCACATTTCAATGTTTTCATTGTTCGAAAATATTTAGTTTTGATCCTGGGAGCCAATCCTCCTTTATTTCATCAAAATATTATTTAATTTATACAGCCTTGAAAGTGAGAGCCATCTATTTGTTATTTCTGATGCTAATATGTTGACTAGTTAAGAAAGATCACAGCCCAAGTGATATGATTTGAAAATATTTATAAAAAAACATAATTCCTTCAGAAAGATAACCCCTAGCTATTATTTACATGAAATCAGTAACAGTTCAAACACCAAGAACACAGTGATATGTGGAAATATGATTTTATATGAAGAACTAATTTTTGCTAACAGTTTTAAATGTGCAAGGAAAACCTTAAAATGTATAGTTTGAAAATATGTTTTTATCATTCATTTACTATTTGTTATGACTTAAAAAGTTATTTTAAAGAAAAAAAAAATTTGAAAAAAAGTTGTCAGCTTTTCATTTCTCAAATATTCAAATTTCCCGCCATTCTTTAATAAAAGTTGAAATCTTTTAATCACTAAATATTCCACTATACAGTGTACAACTGGAAAACATGATCTTTTTAACACCAATTCAAAGTTTGAACAAAGGATAACACTATTTCAATAATAAAATGTCATATCTAATGTGCCACTTCTATGTTTTAGCACAAACAAACCTCTAATGAAACACAATTCAGTACAAAACACTTACCAACTTGTCAGAACTTTTATACAAAATACAAAACACTTCTTAACTTGCCAGACCTTTTATACAAAATACAAAATACTTACCAACTTGCCAGACCTCTTTAATAGCACTATCATAGAGAAGGTCCAGTCCCTGGTCCCAGTCATTGTACTTATTAGTCAGGTTTGCAAACACTTGTACTTTCTTCTCATCATCAGGGAATGCCCAGAATGCAACCTAAAACAAGCAACAAGAATGAAGTCAATTTGATCATAAGAGTCGCAGAGTGTATCATACAGCACTAAGGGAGTAACCTAGAATATGCAATGATAAAATACAAAGTCACGTAGTATATCACAACTGCACAAAGGGAGGGATTGCTTGGGTGAAATAAAAATGTGAGACATTTAACCATATGCTGGCCCTAAGCTGCCATGCAATGCTTTACCCAGAATAGCATAGATGTTTACTACTTTTTTGTGGGGAATAGCTCCCTGTTCATAATTACGGAAATTTTGTAAGGTTATAGCATATTGTACGACTGATTGTGAAGTAAATGTCTACTTAAATAAAGACACATTGGAAAAATCACAACCCTACCTTTTTCAGGAGTGCCTCATCTAGAGGAGGCTGATAGGCTTCTAATGTTTCGCATGGAAAGTTCTGCCCTGCAACTCTTGCAGCAATGTCTAGTAGTGAACGTGGATTCTTAGTAAGTCTTGCTTCCAAACTGTCTGTTTCATCGAGTGATGGAGCTGAAATGGTGATTGTGTAATATAATCTTTTGTCCTTCGATTGCTTACATTTTAGGTTTGACTGACTCAAAAAAAAATAAAAAAGAATTGTCACTTTGATGATAGCAGGCCCATAGCAAGGGCGACCTACCCCCTCCCCCATAGTCAAAATTATTCTCAAAATCATGCAGTTATTCAACATTCTGAGCACTTTTCAAGTGATTTTTGTCTACGTAAGTTGTCAAACCTGAATCCCCCCTGGAATTTCTTAAGAAAAAAGGGAACCTTCCCCTTGGAATATCTTGGCTATGGGCCTGTGACAGTATTTATAATGTATCTTATCTTATTTGATATATTTGTCTCAGGGGTTTCACTCCAATATACCTCTTAATACCTACATGTATGTGCAGCGCCAAAAACATGGGGGGTTCACTAGCTGTATATAAACCTTGATGGGGTTCCTCAGCGCACATGGGGTACCTTTTTTTGACATTTGGTATGGCAATGGACACAAATTTTAGGATCTGGTATGAGAATGCCCCCCAAAATTATTACTTTTGAGGTATGGGAATGGTCGGATTTTTCCACTCTCTGGTATGAGAATGGTCGTGTAAAATATGTTACTTTACACTTGTGGTGTGGCATTTGTCTAGTAGCTACACATATTCTTAATTTGAGGTTGTTTTGTATTGTAATCCTCAAAGATCTCCCTTCTTTTGGGGCCTTTTAGTTTGAATTTAGCTTTTCTCTTGTGTGGTATGGCATTGGTCCTAGATCCTATATTTGGACATTTGGTATGGCATTCAATGGTCTTATATTTGGACATTTGGTACATGGCTTTTGAGCGTTCTTTTGGTTGGTATGAAAGTAAATATAAGTTAATGTAAGAACTTTAAAGGGAAAATATAAAAAAGGTAAAATTTTTCCATGTTTTTTCGTCTCAGACTGGCCAGTTTCCATAGTTTATGCCCAAAGCCCAAATTGGGCATGCTGCACATACCTATACTCTAATAATAAAAACCTTGGTGTCCGACGATCAAAAAATCCATTTATTCTCTCATTTGGCCTTATTCTTAAGTTTGCCCTCCATATATAATAGGTTTGGCCAATGCCTTATCTAGCGCCACCTACCTTTTGTCAGTTCATCATGCAAATCATTTTTCCCCCGCATGCGTCTCAAATTCCAACATGGAAGAGATTTTAAGAAAATGACGTAATTTAGAACAGAATGGTTTCCCCGAAATGGGAGGAGATTCCTTGAATTTTGTCAAGAGTTTGAACTTCTATGAACTCTGACGTCATTTAGACAGAGGGCAAGAGAAGACTTTCTGAAGAGCATTTGGATCCAATTTCGAGTATCACTATTACTGACTATGGAATGGACACGCATTAAAAAATGATTTTTTGACTGTCGGACAGGAAGGGTTTTAGAGTATAACTACCTACTATGAGTGAACCCCCCCCCCTAGACTATATCCTATTTAGTCTGATTTATATTCAGACTATAAGGCACCTATGTTAAAGTTTGGTAATTATAGATATTTGTTTACATAGGAAGTGCTATTCAAAATGGCCGATTGGGTAAAATTAATTTGCAATTTGTTACTTCAACTAGCTTTATTTCCACTTGACAATACGTTGTGTTACTTTTTATTGCATTTAATTGTACCTTACTATTTAATTGAAATTTTGTTATGTTTATTTTATTATAAAAATGGTTCCTCTAATTGATAATTTTGTGCAAAAAATTTCACTGCAATTTCCACAGGAAAGTAGTACATCATAACAGACTGACTTCTAGTCAGTCTGTTGGATACATACTACCCCCCCCCCCAGGGAAATTTGTACACACCAGCAATATTACTCAAAAGTGAAGGACCTGTGCAAAGAGATATATATCTTTTAATTTAGGCAATAAATTGCTATGTTACAATTTAGCCCAAGAACCTTTACTTTTAAAGTGCTGTTTTGACAATAGCCTAGCCTAACCCCTTCCTTTATACAACAGAAAGTGAATAATTTTGGTGAAGATTGCTTATTTTGATCTACATAATATGCAGAATCTCAATGAGACCGCATGGTGTTCAATCGATTCTAGAAATTATTACCTGCATGTACACTATTCCTATCTATGATTTTGAGAATGAATCCATCGTGTCTACGACGTTTCCTCGGAGGAAAATAATCGGCCATCATTGAAATATTTTTTCTTTTTGGACAAGAATTTAGAATGATGAAAGCTATACCCTCATTTATCATAAGGTGTGTAACTTATGCCATGAAAATTTCCGTTTTTATATACTGTATGATATCAATAATAATTACAAGTAGTAAAAAGGAAATGAAGAAGTTGGTATGTTCCATGAATTGATTGATAATGTTGAGTCCTTTTACTTAGGAAATCTCGCAGTGCATCTTCAAATTAGAGGAGCGAAATTTTGTAAAAAAAATGGATAACAAAAATTCGGGTAAGAAAATAGGCAAAATTACAGTGCTTGTGATTATATACCAGCATTAAATAAATAACGCTGTATCAATATACCACAAATCTTGCTACTTGATAATTTTTGATGTAACCAGAGCGAGGATACAGTTCGAAAGTACATTATGTAACCTATTATCGCCCACATAAGAATGAAAAGAATTTTATTTATTTTTATTCTTAGCCATAGGACTTCAATGTGACTTCCTTTTTCTTTATCTTATTATAATATTCGAATTAAAACAATGTTGCACTTGGTCAATTCCTACAGTCCACTTACTATGTAGATTGACAATCAATTGTAATTTACATAAATATCTCCCTATGCATCGCTTTGGAAGGGACAAATTTTCATTGGCACGTCCAAAGAGTCGATTACTCTGAACGTTTCTCAGCTTCTGATCTTCCATCAGCTCTCAAGCATAGTTATATGATCCAATCTATTCAATAATGAGAACGATAATCGGAGATTCAAAGTAACATTATTTATATTTTCTCGATATTCAATGGTGTCTGAGCAATTTCTGTGATATCAGTGACGTCACTAGAATTGGAACGGCATTTTCAACTTCAGATTTCTTTGGATTTGGGGATTATAATAGTTCAAAAAGCTTTGTCATATACATGTATCTTAATTACATACATACCTATCGTTTGTGCAAATGAAACTCTACATAAGTGTTTAATAGAGTCCCAGTGCGGCATTGAAAATAGCACCCCTGTGTAATCCAATGGGAAAGAACCCGGATGTACACGAAGTTGTATCATACATAAGAGCTCTTCAAACGGGAGGTAGCTAAACTGAACTAAATTAAACGTTATCGCATATTGGTATATTGGCACAATTCTTGTAATTGCAATTCTGCATGTATTTTATAGGTGACACTGATGAAAATAAAGATGACATTTCGAATGTCATGGGATTTGGATCATTTGGAGGTACATTTTGCAAACAATACTTTTTAACCAATAAGGACAACCATTCTCATCTATGATGATACATTTAAATTCTTTGTATCATATTCTATAACAAGAACTTTGATTTACATAGTTATTTGCCCAATTTCCCAGAATTTTCTGAAAAAAGATTGTACGAAATCCACATTTGACGTAATGTTAAAAAATCTGTGGAAGTTCTTTTAGAAATACATGTACATCAAGAAATTGTAGTATGAATTGTCAGTTTCCTGAATAGTTTTCTAGCTCGAACAAAATGACTACACTGTCATCTATTTATAATAGCAAGCCCTCTCCTTTATATCATATATCATGTTCCTTTTTCTTAAAGGTGGTAAGAAAGCCAAACAGTTTGATTTCATGGCAATGTTTGAACAGACACGACAGACTGCAATGGACAGAAGTCAAAAAGTGCTAGAAGATAGAGTAAAAGATACAAAAATTGATGACCGACCTCATAGCTCTGGTAACACTATAAAAGGTCCACAGCCACTAAAAAATAAACAGACTGATTCAGAATCAGGTATTGAAAATTCTTTGCATTGTTTTTTTGTTAATTAAATTGATATTTAATTCAATTAAGTTACTTGACTTTCAGTTCATATAAAATGTCCATGTGCCTGTTTTGGGTCAGAACTGTCGTAACTTACGGTTTGATCACACGTCATTGTTCATCAAAAACGAACCCCTGGGTCATAAACTTGAAAAATAGTATTAGTAAATAAATTTAGTAGATGATTTTCTTCTACCGTTTTTTTTAGTTTAATAATTTTATTATTCAAAATGTGTTCATTGAAATTAATTACATAACATCTATGGGAAATCTACCTGACCGAGAAACTGAATTTGTGGGAGTAGATTTCAAATATAATATCCCTTCACTAAATTTTGAATATGTAATTACATCATGGGCTTTCAATTAAAAGCCCATGATTACATGTATTTAAATGAAGATAATATTTCTACTCCATTCAGTCTATTAATCTTACATTAATAATCAGCTAAGTAATTACTTTTATTGAAGAGGATGATGATGACGATGATGTCATAGGTCCACCGATACCAGGCTCAATGAAAACATCAGCAGAGCAAGATGAAGATGAAGTCATTGGACCTCCTATCCCTACAGCAACTGCTGCAAATGATGATGATGATGAAGATGAGCCTGAAGAAGAAGAAGAGGTTAAAGTTATAGACTTGATTCATACACAGAAATATTGTTATTGTCCTCAGTTGAAATACTTGATTCTGATTGGTCAATTTTAGTCAATTTATTTTCGCGTTATAGGGATCAGACATCACATCAAGACATGGGTTTGGTTTACAATGTCAGGATGTAATTAACAATGAACCTGTACTCTATATATGATGTCTTAAGATGTTGATGTCTAAATTCTTGAGAAGTGATAAAAGAAGTGTATTTTTTTCAATTTCATTGTTTGATAACCATAAAAATCAAAGGTATATCTTGAAATAAAGTCAGAAGTGTTGGATCTTTTAAAAAATAGGCCTGATATGGAATGATAAGAGCAAAAACTAATTGTATCAAATGGCAATGGCCTGAGAAACACTTTTAGCACAGACACTTTTGATATGGATCCCTCTTCTCTAAGTTATCATACTGATCTCATATGTCCTATGATTATTTGATTTTTCAGGTACCATGGAACAAAATACCAAGCAGTCATGAAATTGAATTAAGACATGGAAGTAAAACAGTGTCTGCACTTACGCTAGATCCATCTGGGGCTCGCTTGGTGACTGGAGGTTACGATTATGATATGAAATTTTGGGATTTCGCAGGAATGGATTCTTCATTGAGGTCATTTAGGAACCTCCGACCATGTCAAAGGTTTTCAAATTTCTGTTCTTAGATAATCATATCCCAAGTTTCCCTAGTTAATTTTGGTGCTAATTGTATTGTCATTACATCTAATCTTGTATAAACAGTTGTATTAATTGATCACCCCAGCATTGATCAGGCAGTAGATTTTTTAATAACTTGACACTCACTTTTGAAACCCTCTGGTGACCGATGGGGACATTTTCCAATGCTCAGTGTCTAGTGAGTTAGACCCCTTGGCTAAGGGTCACAGACTGATGATTTCATTGGCTAATCCACATATGAATTGTTCGTGATTATTTTGTAGTCATCCAATCAGGTCCTTGGCTTACAATGCATCTGGGGAATATATTCTGATAGTTGCTGGCAACTCTCAAGCAAAGGTTATCACCCGAGATGGCCATGATGTCATGGAATGCCCCAAAGGTGACCAATATATGAATGATATGGCCAAAACTAAGGTATGTTAAATGCATTACAATTTTTACCTAACATAATATCATGTAATATAAGTGTTTGATAATTATTGAGTTCTGAGAGCATTGTAAACGCAAAGCATTTTGTAATTGCAGATTTTCAATTAAAATACATCTAAGCTAGTGATTTAGGGGATCCTCTGTTCTGAACTCCAAAATTCAGAATATCTCCTTTCAAAGGAGGTACAGATTCTGGCCACCTGCTTAGGGGATACATTTAGGGGGTGACAGATATAGTTGGCAATGTTTTCAATAATTGTTTCCCTCGCAGATACTTCTAGATACTGATTTTTTGTTTCAGTTTAACACATTGTACAGTGTTAGACCTTCATTTAGAATAGAAATGATGCATTCTAATTACATTTCATGTGTACCTTTACAATAACTGACAAAAATGATGCGTTTGATTTTGATAAACAAATCCTTTCATGGTACAAATGATATTCTTTGTAAAACAGATAAGATGCTTTGTGTCGAGTGAGGAATCATGATAAAACAATTTATTTTAGGGACATATCGCAATGTTGAACGGTGGGTGCTGGAACCCTAAGAACAGACATGAGTTCATCACATGCTCTAATGATGGGTAGGTTCACTTTTTACATATGTCCAATGGAATTTTGGACATTGGCATGACATCAGTATTTTTCAAGTTCAGTTTGTAAATGCTTTAAATCAAACATAGATCTAAGTTGACTGATTAATTCTTCAAGACATTAGATGACAATTATATTTCTGTGTAAATTCATCACTCTGGTGATAGTTGATCACGTTGGATTCACTTGAAATATTTTTCTCAATTGATAGATTCTCATTTAATTGTGTTTATATTTAACAGCTCAGTGAGAATATGGGATACGACATGCGACAAGAAACACAAGAATATAATGAAACCTCGTTCTAAACTTGGAAGAAAGGCCACCCCTACAGCATGTGTATACAGTACTGATGGGAAACTCATCGCAACAGCCTGTCAAGATGGATCCATACATGTGTTTGAAAATAAAAAATACATTGTAAGTTCAATTTTACATGAATCAAGATTAATGTTTGAAGGATAGTTACTAATTGATCAATCTCGTTATTTACACCTGTTTAGTTGACCTCTGATGTTACACATATGCAAACTCAAATGGATTACTTTTTGGGGATTCTGGGAAATAGTCATCTCGAGTGGATAACTCATAAGGAGGGTATTTACTTGACACTTAATATACAAAATTAAACAATTGTCGATTGCCAATATAGGTAGAAATGGTTTCTTATTGGCAGCATTTTTTTATTCACATCAGATGTTGAGTGGCAGAAAAGTAAGACCAATTATACCAGTTGCATATATAGAGACGGCCCTCGGGCAAATATATTATATTTGCCTCGGGATAATCCCAATATCCTGAACCGACTATAGGATAATATGTTTATCCCATACCAATCTTGGTCATCTGGTTAACATTGTTCAATCATGGAAATATTTTAGAACACATGTCCAGTTTTGTTTTCTTGGCCGTGGGCGGATTTTCCTGTTCTCTCAAATATTCCCATATTTATTTTCTCTAATTTTTGATTGATTAAGTGGATGCTCCTTCCCTTTTTTAAACCATCAAACAGATCCCGATAGTCTGTGTTTTCTCCATTGTCGTTTACAGTCATTACGCGAACGTTACAAATTATGAACAAATATGCGAGCTGCGATTATGACGTTGCGGGCAGATATACTATATCTGCCCGCTCGGAGCGGGACGTAAAGCTATATCTGCCCGCTGATGAAAATATAAGTTTTTACAAACCGGCTTTATGTACCTGTAACACGTCCAAGTATGGGATAAATAGGGGTTATGCACTGGGAGGTTTTGGATACAGGGAATATCCCGAGGGATATACAATATATCTTCCCGAGGGACCGAAGGGACCGAGGGAAGATGTATTGTATATCCCAAGGGATATTCCATGTATCCAAACCGACCGTGCATAACTGGTGTATCTCATACTTGAGTGGGTTTAGGGTAGATATAACCTTTTCCATCTTTTTCAAATGACAAGATATTTATATTTAACATTTTCGTAATATTCTTTTTGTTCAATACAATGAAATTGTAACATTTAAACTTAAAAAATTTAAATTTTAAAATTAAAAAACTAAAACTTTTGATATTTAAACTTTTTTAAACTTTTGAAAAATTCCCGGGAGCGGGATGGATATATTATATCTGCCCGCATTTGGCCTGGAGCGGGACATATACAATATATCCTGCCCGCTCCTCAGATATGATATATATTCCCGAGTGATATCTACCCCAAACCCACTTAAGTATGAGATACATATTTATACTACCCTTTACTTGAATATCCGACCTTCTGGTATTAGAAAATATATGTAGCAATTACATGTAAATATACTTTCTGTTCTTGTTTTAGGTTGGTAATCCAGCAATGTTGACAAGAGGTGCTCATCAAGAAGGCTCAGATGTTTCAGGCATGGCCTTCTCTTATGATGGAACCACTTTAGCCACCAGGGGAGGTGATGATACTGTTAAATTATGGGATATAAGAAACTTTAAGAAGCCAATAAATGTCGCAGAGGGATTGACAAATTACTTTCCTGTGTGAGTGTATTGATTAATTCAGTTTTAAGGACAATTTTTCTAATTATTGTAATTTTTACATGGGTTTCTAAATTCCTTGTGGACAACAATTTTCCGAAACCAGGGAAATAGATGACACTTTTCATCACTAAATCCCTTTTCGAAATTATATGAATTAATTATTTAGTCATATTTCATATAGGTTTGGTCACAGACACGGGAACAAGAGTTCATCCTACTCACTATGTATTACTTACAAAAAATATTACATTATACAGTGACTGGAGGGGGGGGTTAAATCTTCTTCCTGAGCCTGTGGGTTTGGTACATTTGGGATTCTAATGCAGAAATCCTTATTAATCATTTTAAATGTTGCTATATACTTATTTACTCTAACCAATGGATTCCTCATATAATAATTAAAAATATGTAAATTATTAATCGAATAATTTTCTTCTCCAGCACTGATGTGATCTTCAGCCCCGATGACAAGATGGTCATCACTGGTGTGTCTGTTAAAAAGAATGAAGGAAAGGGAAAACTAGTATTTATGGAGAGGAATACCTTGCAGGTTGTACGGGAGATGACCGTGTCAGATTCTGTGAGTTTATGCATTTTTGTATGTCAACAAGAATAACAGAGATTTTCCCCTAAAAGACTGAATCATTATATGCAGGGTTCTCACTAGGCTTTTAGACTCTGGAGATTCTTTATACCCTCTTTCTCCAGAGCTAATAGCTTTTCCGTAGTCTAAAGTATTTTTTCCAGAGTCTAATTTTTTTACATTTTTGTTACAATATTTTTGGTAAAACTCTTGAAACAATACATAAAAACTGGATACAAACAAGGAATGGGAAGTCTGGAACCTTTTAGAAATGTTATTGTTATTAAAATAGTAGGATAATCTTAAGTAGTATTTTGTAAAGTATACTTAATAGGATGTCTCTGATGATCTCACATGGGGGAGGAATAGTCACGATACAGCTTAAAATCTGAGGGGTCTAAAAATTTCCTGGTGAGAACCCTGATATGATTCAAGATACCTCTATAATGCAAAGGACCACCGTTCAATGAATTTTTCTGAACCCATCTCTTTAGTTTGTTTTCATCTTAAATATTATGAGATACATGAATATAATATTGTTGTACTTCTCTTGTTGTAGAGTGTAGTTAGATGTCTTTGGCATCCTAAACTCAACCAGATTGTGTGTGGCTGCAGTGATGGTGTAGCAAAACTTTACTATGATCCAGATAAAAGTGTCCGTGGTGCCAAACTTTGTGTGTTTAAAAAGAAAAAACGTGAAGAGGGGTCTGATTTTATCTCATCAACACATATTATCACACGTAAGATACTTCTGACATTTCAAAGACAATTTCACAGTTGTTATGTTTTTACTGTTTGGGCTTCGCCACCTCCAACCACCAATACATTATCTTTTTTTTGTGGGCTTACATTCTTTAATTGGTGCAATTCTTAGAGGCTTGCCCTGTTAAAAATGTTCAACCTTGAATTTGGGACATTCAACCCCATGATTATTTCATTGAAAAACTGAAAAACAATGGATGAAAAAAACAAACTGTTGAAAAAAATACAATGGTTTTTTTTCAACACATTGGAAAATTCAGTTGTAGTTTTCAATATATTGAAAAAAATTCAATAATATATTTTGCTCATACAGTAAAACTCCTCTGATAGAAGTAGAAAAGTTACTATAGGTTATCTTGGTATTTATAGTTTATGTGAATGCTTATAACAACATTTAGTGTTTGCGAAAGCTTTTAAAGGTATTTTGTCAGGAGATAATGATTGATGATGTTTGAAAGTTTCATTGTCATTGGTATGCTAGATGATCTGTTTAGAATTTTCTATGGGTCAAATCATGAGCTCAACTAAATGGAAAAATTATTTTTTATTTTAATTCAAAATGAAATTATCTGTTTATAATTTCCCTTGATTAGGTCCTTGAAAATACAAATGAATTGGGATGTTATTAGACCTTGTTAAAGTATTGTTTGGATGGGTTTAATAATCAAAGAAGACAATTTCATATTAACCAATAAATTAATGATTTTATGTTCAAACTTTATGTTGCCTCTTTAAGTTGATACTAACTTTGGGTGTTATTATGAAACAAGTGATCGAATGTTGCTATTATGAAACAAGTGATCATGATCTAATGTTGCTATTATAAAATAAGTGATCTAATGTTCTATATGTCTCTGGTAAAGATGACTGTTAACATGCTGTTTATTTTTTTTATATAGAATCACATCCTTCCATACATTGTATAATATAAAGTATATATCAAACCAATTATTTCATTCAAAATTAATGCATTACATTAATTTATGAAATTATAGTAAGATTTCACTGTTTAAGTATAATATTTTAGATCGTATTTTCCCCATACAAATTGAATATAGACCCCAGTACTCGGGGAGTGCGATAAAAAGATTTGTCTACTTGTTGAGAGCATGCAATTTTTCATAAAAACACTAAAACAAAATTGAAAGTTAAACTCATGAATTTTGTTATACATAAAAAATTACCTACTCCATGCAATAGGTATATCATATGGAGGTAACCTTCACTTCTGTTTGAAGTCCAATAAAGCTAGGAGTAAAACAGTGTCAGAGTATACATGTAATACTCTAAAATGTACCACTTCTTTTTCAAATTTTTAATGGCAAGATATAGTGACATTAGAATATGCTTTTAGTATAATTTTGAAGGTATTAATGAGATCTAGATGTATTGGGTCTTTTTCTTTTTTCATGAAAAGTAATGTTAATGTTTGTCTACCATAGGGGAGCATTTTCAAATATGGTTAATCTGAAAACATAGGATCAAATCCTATGCTAAGGGCTGATGTGAAAAAGATACTCCACCCTGGTGGGAATCGAACCCACAACCTCCTGATTACATGTCAGGTGCTCTGAGCCAACTGACTCTTTCACATCAACATTGCATATATGGCATCACAGCCAAATACATTAAACCAAATCCCTATCCCAAATTAATGACCATTAAATCAATTTAAGAAATGATAGAAAGATTTCACTGTTTAGTATTATATTTAGATTATATTTTCCCCATATTCACAAATTGAATATAGGCCCCAGTAAACACGGGGTGCGATCACAAGATCTTTTACTCTTAAACAACCCCCTTTTCCCCCATTTTACTACGTTCATTCATATGGCAAACTTACCAAGTTTTTAACTTATTCTCTAAAGTTAATGCTAACTTTAGATTCAAGTACAGATGTAAATTGCTTAAAGAATTAATCATGTTTGATTCAAAGTTTCATGTTTACAAAATTCAAGCAATAGAAAATTATGCAAACAATCATAGAAAATTATGCAAATGAGTCATGTGATCATTGAAAAATTTATGTCAAACTCACTTCCACCAGCCAATGTCTTAAGACAGATCTTATGACCAGTTTATATTAGAGTATATTAGGATTGCTCGATGCCTTATTTTAATCACAAGATATCACCTCCAATTAATCAAATGATATTGATATATTTTAGATATAACCGATAATCATTTTTCTTCCACAGATCTTACCACTAAATTGTTAAGAACTTTTTTTCCTACTATATTCTATTATTATTCTGAAATGGATGCTTATTTACCATTAAATGAAATTCAATCATATGACTGATTATAAAAGAAAAGGATGTGCCTGTGAGTTAAAAATAAACAAATACTTATGATCAAAATATAATGAGTTAATTTAATGTGGATGTTGTAATAAAGTCAAGACATGTTTTATTTCTTTGACATCAAAGACTATTAATTCATGAGAAAATTATGCCTCTTCATACATTTGTATTACATACATAAGTGTTATTTCAATAATACGATTATACATGTAATCATTCTCAGTTCTGATGAGTTAAAAAGAAATCAGTTGAATCATTCCACTTTTTTTAACATCCTATAAGACATATTACTTAATCAATGTAGTAATAGAAATTATAAGAAATATAATTAAATATAACTTTTATCAATTACACCCTTGGTATACGCAGCTAACGAAAATTGACCGGCACGGGTCAAAAGCTGGACCGGTACGGGTTAGCGGTTTTATTTGAATTTAAAACAGCCATAACTTGCTCAATATTGACTTCCTCGTGTCTAATTTGAAATATATGATGCCTCCCGATGCTTTTAAGTACCCCAATTTTTTACAGATTTTTAAACGGACCAAAACTCTCTAAATGCGCATTTATACTCTTTTCTCTCAAGAACGACTGTCTCATTTTCACGATAACTTTTATTTAGTTCTTCTAACATATAAGATCTATTTTCCCATCAAGGTATGATGTAAATGACATGCCATTTACATCTTGAGTTTCAATGACACGCGTTTGATTTTATAAAAAATGCCAAACTTTGTGACAAAGAATTTCATCCTGCTTGCAGCGAGAAGACGGACCGGTATAAATATAACTTTACATTCAAAGTTTTGACAAATAATTTACATTCCTATTTCTGACTGAGTTACATTATGCCATTTTGAAATCTGTATAATGGAAATATTGTAGCATAGCCAGGAAGAGGCAGACAAGGCAAACTTCAGAGCTTTTTAACAGGTTTGGAAATATTTTTTGCATCATTGCTATTTTCTTCCTGGAAACGCAACTGGTACGGATGTTATTGTAAAGCTCATATATGTTTTAAATGGACATTAACATACATAATAGCATCATAGATTACAAAGTTCATGAATCTAGAAGTAGATATTTTTTCAATAAAAATGAGCTAAGAGCTACTCCAAATACTGTAAAATTGAAAATTACTGTGATTTTGGTATACAAATTGGTACTCCATATTTTGCAAATAGTAACACCCCAGTCACATTTGTCGCACGGCGGCCGTAAGCTGACCGCAGATCAATTAAATCGGTGAATTTCTGCGGCGAGCGTAGGAAAACTATGGGCGCCTTGCAGTCTCCGTACGGCGTATGCAGATTTTTACAGGCCACAGGGAAGGCGTAGAAATTATAACTCGGAGTTATAATATTTTTCATTTCTGCGGTGCCCGTAGAAATCAACTGGCTCAACAAGATTGAATCATTATTTGTCTATGTTTCACGATCACTTTTCATTTGATATTACATCCTAGCACTATGAATAACATCTACAAATTGTCCTGATGTAAATAAAATGAAAAAAGTATTATTTATCAACAGAAATTGAAAATTCACCGTGCGGCTGCTGTGGGAAATGTGACTGCAAAAGTATGAGAGCGCAGAAATTCTATGGCGAGCGTAGAAAAGCTACTGGCTGCAGAAATGATAGACCGCATGGCGGCCGTGGGAAATGTGACTGGGGTGTAAGGCCCAAATATTATTTCCAACACATTTAAGGCCTTTTTGAGATGTCATGCTCTTATTTTAAAGTAAGTAGCTACATATAAATGGCCTCAACTCCCCCCCCCCACTAGGAATGAAAGTGCTTTTATTCTACTTCTTCATCTAGTTTGATCTTGCAGGGATATTTCTTGTATCAATGCAAAAACTTAAAAATTATGAACAAAACTACAGAAAAAATGTAGATATCAGCAATCAAACATTTATAAGAATAATTTCATTTTGACCATTCTAACAACAAAGAGAAAGCTGTTAACACCAATCTTTAATGGTCATCCTGGTCACAACAGGTTGTTATGAAAACAAAAGCATTGATTGCACTTATGATCATGTAGCTATTATCCAAACATATGTAGTCTTCTGAATTCATTAAACGATTTAAATTTGAAATGTATAACAGAATTCCTCTAAACAGAATTTGTAAACCTAATCAAAAACATAACCTCATATTATATGATATTTCTAATGATCAATTGAAAAAAGTAGCAAAGTTATTACTTTTACTATTTCATAAGATCTTATTATCACACTTTTGTTCAAGGGTCACATGACTCATTTGCATAATATACAATGTTCATTTGCATAATATTCAATGTCTTGAATTTAGCCAAAAGTGTTCTGCTATCCAAGTATCACAACACTACAACTGAAATGATAAAATATCAAATATAACTTCCTTAGATTATATATTTAGTTAAAGCAAAAATATAAAAATATATCATTCTCTTGATATTCACTAGCAGATATTGTTGTTTGCATGATTGAAACAGATGTTTTAAACATTTAACCAATCTGTTGATTTGATTTTGGTTCTCAAATAGATATTTTCTTATCGATTTATAAGAGTTGCCTGAATTCCCAATATACTTGTTTATATTTTAAAAGGGCAATAAGTACTTGGCTGTTCTTTCCTGTCACATTCATTCTAATTAATGATTTAAACTATATGAAAGGTGAAGTGAGTGTCAAAACACTAATTTCATGTCAAATAGATTTTATCTCGCACCATTCAATATCTTGATATGTCGAGAATTTAGTGACAACTCCATCGAAACAACATGGGCTACTAACTGGGCATCATATGTAACACCCTTACCCCCCCCCCACCCCCCACTAAACCCAGTCATGTTTATGTCTTTCCAGTGATATTCCTTCCCACGTCAGTTAATAAACTTCAAATTAAACTGAGAATTCACTTTTCCAATTCTAGATTGAAATAAAAAAGATAAGTGAACAGTCAAAATAAAAGTATTAATTTGATAATTGATGTGTAATATCTTCATATTGTTATTTTACATGTGTTGCTTAAAAATATACTGAATGATAAATGTTCTTTTAGATTAGGAATAGTATGATTTGTAGAATTGCTTCCGCTACATAATGCTGTATAGAGCAACCGTGGGCGTAGCCTGGGGAGATTGTTGAAAATTACTTTTGATCCCTTACCCCCTTTTCAGATCTCGCTTCACTCACAGAAATGCACCCCCCCCCCCTTTGAGCTTGCTGGCTATACCCCTGGCTACAATGATTTATTACATGTACCTATAATAACAATTGGAGACTAAACTCTGCGAGGGTTGTTAAACCAACAAATTAGTATAATATGATAACAAAGGGCTAATTTCTTAATCTGTCAATTTCCTTGTTTTATTACTGTCTGATCAGAACCACCTTGATTACTTTTTATGTCTAGCAATTATTATAGATTTGATGAACTATAATCTTTACTTCTTCAGTGTTTTAGAATATGCTTTTATTATAAGCTTAGTCCATTTATGTACCCATGTACATTATGGGCCTTACTAGAAGATTAAGGACTATTAAGAGAGATATTTTTAGGTTATTAGGTCACTATAGTGGTAATATATAATAGTTCGTTTTATACCTTGACCATTAATGTTAGCAGTTATATAAATTTAAAGAAGGATATGAGAATGAAAATTCTCTAGATCAGTGATTTATGAAATCAAACAATAAATAGGAAGTGGTAATATCAATACATGTATTGATATTCCAGAGATTGACATGGGCATAGCCTGGGGAGTGCCCCCCCCCCCACCCCACAAAAAAGCAATTTTGTAAAATTTGTTGTAAAAACATTATCAAATTACATTTTGAAATGCTTAGATTGCACTATAGACAATATAGATTTTAAAAAATGTCCAGGGCTCTTAGTGTTGCAAACTCAAAGAATCACCCCCCCCCCCTTACAAGTGCTGGCTACACCCCTGGATTGATGCACTCTTTTAAATGAACTTTTTGATCACAACAGATTGTATAATTATAAAAACAACAAAAATGTTGATTGCTTTGGTGATAATTTTCCAGCCGTTTGCTGTTTATTGTAATTCTTAAATCACTTTTAAGTTTGGAAATGGATATTAAAACTATTTTTCTAATTTCTCTTTTATCAAAAAACTGTAACATTAAATGTTTTAAATGAACAATTTCATTAAGAAAAGTTTTAAAAACATATTTCCAAAATAACATTTCAACAACTTCAAGGGTCACATGATTCATTTACATAATATACTATGCTCATTTGCATAATATTCAATGTCTTGAATTCAGCAAAATTAAAACTTCTCTACTAATATGTGACTTTGGGCTTTCTGGAACCAAAGAGTCAATAAAATATATATATTATATACAGGTCCATCCCAAGAGATTGTGGTTTTTACCAACTTTTAAAATATAATCTTCTTTGAAAATGTAACTTCTAGGTCGGCAAGATTCCCCATAGATCCTATGTTACAAAATCACAAAAGTGAAATGTTGTTTTTTGTGTTGAGCAGAATATCCTATGATTTTGAGAAATATCATTTTTATCTACGAGGTGATATTGATATCTGAACGAGAGTGCAAAGCGAATGAGTGTATATATCAATATCACAGAGTAGATTAAAATGATATTCTGAAAAAATCATAGGATGTTCTTATTATCCTACACTTACAAGGAGTGTACTAAATGTATAATATCATTGCAAAATGAATTTTATGCCAAATAGAGTCAATTTGGTCGGAAATCAACAAGCGGAGTATATCGTCACAATATCCTCCGCATATTGGGTTTTCCGGAGTATATCGTCATGATATCCTCCGCCCAGAGTATATCGTTACAATATCCTCCGGATATTCATTTTGCCAATAAATATCAAATTTATTTTTTAATGGTATTATACATTTAGTACACTAAGTGTGACATATTTTCATTTGTATAATCAGACACATAAGGATTATATGAAAATTTATCTCTTTAAACTTAAGTATATATACCTGCCATGTTAATTTACCCGAATCAGCCACCTAGTGGTGAAACTAGTAACTACCGACTAGCATCTGGGTAATAAGGATTTGATTGTATCCTGCCTTCAATGTGATATTTGGTCTGCATTAGCTATATTTCAGAACGTGTTAAAGATAAACACTGTACCTTCTTTAATACCAAATACATCCTTTTCTTGTTCAATTTCTATTTTTTCAATCTGATGACATATATGAACTACCTCCCCCCCAGAGTCATAAATTCTTTGGAAAAAGCATCCTTCTTCAAAGGACTTAATTTATTTATGCTTAAATTATGGAAAGAAGTGAAACCCCTTGAACCAAGGATGAGGAAAAAGCAACTCTACAGAGTAATAAATCCCATCAAACAAAAGATAAATAGCAACCATCATGAAAATTCTTGTAGCTTCTTTGTCTCTCAGTATCAGCATATAAGATTAGAACCAAATCCATCATCTGATATTTGAGTCAAATATTATGCTTTTGCTTTTTTTACTTCTTTTTTCTACTTGTATATAACCTATCCACTGGTATTTGATTTATACATTTTTTTATGCTTTCATCCTGGCAATTTTTTCTCAAGCAGAGCTCCTTTGTCCCTAGGTATCAATAAAATAAAACTTGAACCGACAGATAGCTTCTCTAAATCCCCCTGGAACTTCGTTCGATGACATGATCATGCAGTATTCACCATCTTTAGCACTTTCAAAGTGAATTAGAGCCAAAATGGTCATATCTGAACACCCACCTTTTTTTTAAAGAACGAACCACATTTGGAAAAAAGTCCTGTCTGAATGAAACAGTTTCAGCAAGAATTTAACATATTCTTTACTGTTTCATATATGCTGGTTTTACTGTACCTTGAAATCATCATTGTTTTTCATTTTCAATGGGTTGCAGGTGAAATTCAAGGTGTTGAATTATGTTTTCAAGGCATTGTTTTAAAAATTCAAGGGATTTGAACTAACCAATGAAAAATTCATGGCTTTTTTCATCTGTTGAAAAAAACAACCTTTGAAAAACCATTGAACAACCATAGTACAATCATTGATGTCCCAAATTCAAGGTTGAACATTTTTAACAGGGTGTGTAGAATAATGTGCTTCTCGGCTCAGGAAGCTTTGAAGTTCAAAATATTATGACATCATCTTTGTTCTTTGACATTTTATTTGCTGTATTTATTCTATTGTACTAGTTCATTGCAATACTGATCATTGCATGTTGTATTTGAAAATTTATCCTCTTAGAAGGGCACTTCATATAAGGGCTGTCATACCCAATTACCAAACAGGTTATTTATGAAACCTTTTACTAGATAATATTGCGAGATGTAAAAACAAAAAATATATTTAAAGAGCCCCAAACGTGCTTAGCTCGATAGACTGAAACAAGTTTGACACCTTGAAGGAACTGAGCATATCTTCATTCATTATTTCAGCTCATGCACTCCCAATGTTCAGGACAGACAGAGAGAAGAGTACCTGGAAACAAGATCTGAAGGCGCGTATGGACCCCACAAAATCTAAGAGACCAGATTTACCTGTCTCTGGGCCAGGTCAGTGTCATTTATTTTGAATAAACAGTTTTGCAACACTCCTCAGTATTTATGTTACTTCCATGACTTTTTTAACATTTATTTTCCACCAGTTTTTTACATCATCATCCGTTTTTTACAGGACAAGGTGGAAGAATTGCTGCAAAAGGTGGTACATTATCTCAGTACATCGCACAATCAATCGCAAAAAGTGTTCCTGATGATAGAGACAAAGATCCCCGGGCAGCCATCTTGAGACATGCAGAGGCTGCAGAGAGTGACCCCTATTGGATAACACCAGCTTATAAAAAGTCAGTAGATTTAAAGAATTACTATCCTTATAAGTTTCACAAAAAAGTTTGCTTTGCAAAGTTAAAATACATGTACATTGGACTTTGGCCATTTTGAATTGAGCAGATATTTTGAATGAAGGCTTGATTTCAAAAAAGCATATCAGGTATAATTTCTACATGTATAAAGTATAATATTGAAAATCAGTATAAATCCACCAAATTATAGTTTAAGTTAAAGTAAAAATGTCAGATTTTAACAAAAATGTCATTTTGAACATTTCCTCTTGAACAGAAATTGTCAACTTTGTACATCAGTATTATTTTTTTTAAATTTAAATATGACTCAAGTCTCTGAAAGGGCATTCAAGTCATCAAACAATGGCATTTTGAATTTAGCAGCCACATCGACTAATCATTCACAAGGATTGTAACCTCAAAGAGTCTGAACATAATCTGACAACTGGTATGTGAGTTATTGCCACATGAATGGACAAAAAGACTTTTATATATGCCTACAAAACTGTTTTCAATATGATTATAATAACTACCCGCCTGACTTATGACTTATAATATCATTCATTTATCAAAATATTTTTTCAGGGACCAACCATACGCAACATTTCAGAAGGAAGAGGAAGAAGAAGAGGAAAATGATGGCCCACTTTGGAAGAAACCTAAACTTAAATAATATCATAGTTAAAAAATATCATGAATATAGTTATTTTAAATAGTACTATTGACCAATTTAGTATGGACAATATCACATTTCAATTACATGTACTAGTAAACCTAGTACATGTATGTAATTTTCTGAGACTATAGTAAGTAAATGTGCTATCTGACAATTCAAGGGACTCGCCTATAGAGATAAAGATAATTCCTTGAGACTTTTATTTTGATACTACATAAAGATGCACTGTATGAGAAACTGTCTACAGTATTCACAATTTTTTAAAAAAATAAAAAAACATAAATGAAATGTCAAGCTTTTAATCTTATTGGGGCAGTGAAGATAATGGTGGATTAACCGGACACATAGTGCTAACTATTGCGGCTGAAGAGCATAACACCCAGAATGATGTATCACTGGCAAAAAATCAAAGAGATTGGTTTATAAAAACATCTGTGTAAAAAACGTCCATTACTTATTGATCACCCCTCCTATTTAGAAACCATGTTATTTAGCCAGCATGCCTGGAATCTAATAGATTTTGCTATAGCCTGTTACTTGCATCTGTTGAAGTTGAAGAAATAAGTAATTTTCCTGGAATTTTGGTACTTTTTAATATTTAAATTCATTCATTACCTTTTCATTGCTTGGAAAACAGAACTATCCTTCAATGCTTGGAAAACAGAACTACCCCTTCTTTGCTTGGAAAACAGAACTTCCCTTTCATTGCTTGGAAAACAGAACTACCCTCTAGTTTCTAGTTGTTTGGAAACAGAACTACCCTTTCACTGCTTGAAAATAAACAAAACTACCCTTTTCATTTTTCAGTACATATATCATATTCGTAAATGTAACAACAGCTATATGCACGATTTTTATCTCATCAAAGCCCATAATTGTTTTCAACATCACAATACAGTGAAAAGGGCAAGTTCTTACTCAGCTGTGTTCAAACTAAAATAATTTCAATTCTTGTTTTCATTAGAATTTATTCATACTTTGATACATTATATACAGATAGAGAAAAATATTGCATGAACACACAGTCACCAGGCCCTACATATATTCTTTCATGTAATTCATAATGCAAACAATTTTCTACAATATGTACATGGATATGTAATATGCTCTGGTATATTGACCATTAAAGTTACTGTTTTAAGAGATCATTCGGGTAGCAACATAATAAAAATTAAATAATGTTTACATAGTTTATCAACAGTATTCATACTTAGAAGGTTTTCACTTTTCAACTAAAAATGTATGGTAATTGGTATTTTTATTATTTAAAGGAAAGATGAGTGGAGACTAGTTTAGGCTCAGTTTATTTCAACATTTTACACTCTCTATCCTTTCTATTTCTTTATAATTTACCAGTTTATATACAAAAAACTAATATCATAATATTAAAAAACTATTGTTCAACACAATGGTCCATACCTGCCAACCTATCACAAAAATAATTTTTATACAAAATACACAGGGTCTGAGTATTAGAGAAAGAACAAAAACCATGACATCTAAGAACAAGAAAAAGTAAAACTCAGTATAAAGAGGTTTATAATTTTAGTAACCCAGGGCAAAACCAGATTTTTAAAACTTAGGCCTAGAAGACAGTTGATTAAAAATCATGAGAAGTTAGAAGTTTACATTTAGTATGAGAAACAGGAGCGTTTTTAATGTTAAGCAATAATAAACAACAACAAAATGGAAAATTGGAAAGGATCAAATCAACAGGAGATTGTGATAAGAGAGGGCAGGTTTGCTATTAGGATTAGGATAGACAATATCTGACTCGTTATTGATTTGTCAAGACTGACACATGTTATGAGATAAAAATTCAAAATAATATTTAAAAGGTCATTTGTATCATAACTAAGCCATAATTATAGTGATTTTACATCAATATCAAATTGGTCATTTAGATGCCAAACAGGCCTTACAGTTGTTTCATACATGTCAAATGCTGACAACAATCGGTCACAAAAAGTGGCTTTAACAAGATGTCACAACTTGGTGGGAGTAAACATTTTTAACAATTATACATAAAATATTTTCTAAAAGTTTTCCATGCTATTTCAGAATTCCTCATTTCACATTTCCAGCTAGAAATAGTAAAGACATGAGACTTGTTTTAAATGTTATTGCCATCAACCGCGGGTGATAATTCACCTAATTGAGTTTATTACACTAATTCAACTAACTTCAAGTCTTGATTTCAATAAACCAAAAGTATTATGCTGAGCCAGAAGCAGGATTAGGATAAAAAAAACAACAACAGGTAAGTTTGACTGTACAGTAGAATGTTCAAACTTTGGTTAATGGTTATACTGACTCTGGAATGCTTGTGTTTAAACCCCAATGTCCAACCATATTCCACTTAATCCATCTCTAAGTAGGCTTACATGGAATATCTAATCACCATTATTATGTACTTATATACATTTTTTCACAATTAATTTTTAAGGTATGTCAAGTACCGGATTTTCTCGCATATACGCCCCCCTAAATTTAGGCCCATGGGCCAAAAATCGAATGTAGTATGCTTATACGCCCATGGGCCTATAAAAATGACTATTTATTGATTTTTTCAATAAATTCAAGAGTATTTTGTCACTGGCAGATCGTTCTGTCGTTACTTTGTTTCAACATTAAGTTCAACGCTGTGCCGTAAGTGGCAGTGGTGGATCGTTCTGTTGTTACTTTGTTTCAACATTAAGTCTAAGGTTGTAGGTGACATTTCCTTTATAATTCTTACAAAACATGCGGTAGGACTACAACAGTAGGTGCGGTAGTCATCAGCTCTTCTCACCTTTACGCCCACTGGGCCAAAAATCGAAAGTAGTTCACTTATACGCCCATGGGCGAAAAATAAGAGGTAAAATAACAGACAAAATTACCCCTTCTTTCAGTTATACGCCCAGGGCTTATATGCGAGAAAATCCGGTATTATAAGTAACTTGAAGTGCATTCCCATTTTGCATTCTAACCTCTAAACCTTCATATCATAATTCCCTCCTTGTAACCATGGATACCATGGCACCATGCTTAGGGAAGGGAATTGCACCCAAAGTTATTCAATTTTTAACTTGATGAGAATGTCCAGAGGTTAAATGTACTGTGGTCCAAAATAGTCCCAGACTGACCCACCTTAATGTTTCATTCAATACTATGACAACCAAAGAGTGGTGAGGTTTTTTTTTATAAATTTCAGATCAACTGATCAAAACTGAATAACAGACCAGCTGTCATGCTATCATCATTATATACATGATGAAAATATCAACTGGCTTGGTGTAAACATCACTGAACCCCAAAGGTGTCGAACAGACATTGGGGTAACTCATCTTTAAATTATTAATCAGTTGTCAAGGTAATTTACTTTACATACTGATATAATCAGGCTGTCCTAATAGTAAATTTACTGGACATTGACTCAGTTGTGGACCATATGTCATGTTATTTTGCTTTATGTGATGCAACAGTCAGATAAATGTACAGTAAACTTCACTGGACATCTTCAGATGCGTCTTTCACATGCATGTCCTCATCAGTTCCTAAAGATGATTCCATCATAGATGAAGATGACGGAGATGAGGCTGGTGACCTCTTAACATTATTCAGTCCTAGGAGAGTGTCATAATATTCTGCTTTGCGCTTCAATTGCTGCTTCTTTTTCTGAGCTTCCTCCATCTTCCGTTGAAGTGCTGTAAACAATGGACCAGAATATAAATAGTGACATAAATGAACAAGAAAGTAAGGACATTGACAGGAAAAAGTGACATATATGAATCAGATTTATGTGTCATAAATGACCAAAATATAAGTGACATAGATGAACCAAAATATAAGTAACATAAATGCGCCACAATATAAATCACATTAATCAATGGTTCTTACACAAACATAAGTTCCCCTCAAGGTATTCTCACCTCGGTGCAAAATTCTAATTTAACATCTGGTAGACTCCCCTATGATATACTTCCACCCCAAAGACCTCTGGTGGACCCCCCTCCCCCTACAATGTACTTACTTTCCATTTCTTCATCTATTTCAATTTCTTCTTGATCAGTGAGGGCTCGTGAATAATTCAGACTTGCAGTAATTCTATCCATCAGACCAAGTTCTGTAATTACCCGTGTTAATCGCATAGCTTCTACAAGTAAATACATCAAATGGATTGAGGCATGTATGGTAAACAGTCATTAGGTACAAGTAATATGATCATACACACTGCAATGGATAAGAGGGGGAGAAACCCTAGGGTTCAAAGATGACATACACTTATAATGTAAATCTGTATTGAGATGACATCATCGCTGATTGGTTTAGCGAGTTGATCGTTGATTGATTTAAAACTCTAGGTCAATTTGAAAACTTTGAAAACCAAGATGGAGGGTACGTTTTCGACAAAAGGAGGTGCGCAAAGGAGGAAATTGTATGTCATCAATTGAATCATGGGGTTTTCCCTCCTCTTGCAATGGATGTAGAAATTATCCAAGTCTATGAAAATAGCTTTTAACCACCTACCAACCACAGACTATTCAATGGTATGTTTCTAAGCTTAAGCTCACATTGGTCCAATTTATTGTTGAATTTTTGGTGGTTGCTATGGTAATTAAACTAGTATAAAGTAATATCTTGAAACCTATCAAAAGAGTTTAGGGGTGTTCATCTTGCAGAGATGTTCAAGTTGAGAGGTTTTAATGTATTATAGTAAAATAGTATATCGTATCAATAAAGTAAAATATTTTACCATTTTGAGCTATATTGCCTTGGAGGAGTTGTATCTTGAAAGTTTCTATTGCTGTGTGAATTTCGTTGAACGTCTCATTTAGCTGTCCCACGTCACGAATGCCTCGCCAAAATTTTTGATTTTCTAAAAATAGAGATACTTAGAGGTTATGTCACTATGATGTGAAATATGCCTGAGTTAGAACTCCCAATATAGGCCGACCTTGTGAGGCTCTATATTTGGGCAAGAATGATGGCATATTTCACGTCATATTGACATAACTGATGTATTACATACCTTCATTCCCATGGTTACTTTGTATCAATGACATCACAAATCTGTTTGCGAGTAGAATTTGATTGGAATGGAACATGGCGTCATGATGATATTGACATGGTTATTAAATAATCTAATATCAAAGCGAGTATAGGGGCTATATAGAGGTAATCTGGTAATATCGGTGGATATCCCGCTAACTTTCCCATTGACTTCCATATGTATGTAATACTCAATGATACGGACATAATTGTTGTATTGCATACCTTAATTTCGATGGCTACGTTATATCAATGATGTCACACATCTGTATGCGAGTGAAATTTGGAAGAAATGAAACATGACGTCATTAGATTGTCATGGTAAAAGGTTTGGCGGCTATACTTAGAGGTTATGTCACTATGACGTGAAATATGCCTGAGTTCTCCCAATATAGGCCGACCTTGGGAGGCTCTATATTTGGGCAAGAACGAAGGCATATTTCACGTCATAGTGACATAACTGATGTATTACATGCCTTTGTTCCCATGGTTACTTTGCATCAATGATGTGACGTCATGATATTATCATGGTTATTAAAGAAATCTAATATCAAAACGAGGTAAGCGGGCTATATCGGGGTAATCGGGCAATATCGGTGGATATAGCTCGCTAACTTTCCCATTGACTTCCATACAAATGCTTCGCTAGGTATGTAATACAGGAATATATAGCTGACCTTCAGCTCCATTGACTTCAATACAAATGCTTCGCTGGGTATGTAATACATACAATTAATGTACAGTATATCTAGTAATTTGCAGATATGTAATTAAAATTTATCCTCTGGATACCAAATATATATGGGATAACAAAACAAGATAAATTTGGTATGTGTTACTTCAATCATATCTGACTGATATGACTGTTGCTAGATATCCAATTGTTTCAGACAGATACTATTTTTTCATTAGTTTTAATTCAACCACCTAAAATGGTTTGACAAAGTTAACATTTTTTTGAATTACTATAAGTTTTAATTGAGCTATTTTTAGAATTCATAGGATAAATATGATATTTTTATCTTATGACTAGTAAGGTTTCATCTAATAACAGCCCATTAAATTGCCCATCAATAAATAATTACTATATGAATATCCTATGGTTTTGAAAAAATATCATTTATATCTTCACGAGTGAGATATTGATATCCATGAGTGGATATAAATGATATGTTTGAAAAATCATAGGATTGTCCATTCATCCCATGAGAAATCATCATCAGCGAAAAATTTAAAAAAAAATCAAAACCATCGAATATCACTTTTGAAACCATTGAATATCACTTTTTAAAAAGTGAGTGATATTCGATCTCTGTTCTTCTAACCATGGGATAAAATCATATACCTTTCAAAATGTCCTGTTTGTCATCCAAGCCATTCTCGCTATCAGAGTGGTCTTCGGTGGGAGCAGCACCATCTATTGGTTCCTGCTTAATCGGAGTATTCCTTACACTCAATCTCATTCCAGCCCCTATGCTTTCTGAATCAGATTTCTCAAAGGTTACAAGACTGGCATTGTTTATAGGAGTTCCATCTTGGGCATTTGAGTCATTAATCCTAATAACTTTATTAGCTTTGCTGAATTCTATTCCGCTAGCTTCAGTTCTCTGAACACTTTGAACCACGGACACTTTAGGAGGGAACTTGCTGTACATTTTTGCGGGGGATGACACTATCATTTGAAGCTTTGATGTGGATGACACAGGGTTAGGGAACACTGGGGTGGATGTAAAATTCCTGTGTTGAATCAGTATTGACGGAGGCGTAGTCACAGTTTTTAAAGGAGTCACCGGGGAAACATTATCCTTCATAGATGAGTGAACAAGTCCATGTGGTTTAATAGGCACCATGGTAGGGAGACTCGAGTCATTGTCGAATGAGGAATTTTCCAATTCCTCTTTAATGGCACGTCCTACACAGCGCCCAGTGCAATGTGTCGAATGATCATAAAAGTCCAATGTGCCTCTATCCATAGCTTTGCTGCAACAAAAAGAAAACAATTCAAAATAAAATAAATGATAATTTTTTTTTTGAAATTTCCCAGCTATTTTTTGCTCATTTTCAGTTTTGCGACTATTTTTTAATTTTGAAGCTAAGTTCGTTTTGATTGAAGTGTTTAAGAAATGAATTTAAAGATACCTGACTTTTATTGCCCAGTTCTGGATAAAAATACCATGAACACTGAGTGAAATGAATTCCTGGGAATTACACCCTATGCAGACAGAGCCTGTGGGAAATATTGGGTGCGGCGCAAATGAGCGGAGGGTGCGGAGCTAACGGTCATTTTTGAATTTAAAATTGGGATATTTCTGAATCTAAGCCGTTTTGGGACTTCAAATATACCAAGATATGTGTATTTGACACAAAATATCAATAAAATTGTGAAAATAGTAGTGCAATTCATTTTATAGCGACGCAGTATGCCTTAAACATTTCCCAGACCTATATATTTTGAGACTATCCTTTTAATACTGCGTCCCCAGCATTCATAAAAAATGGTGTTCAAGATACACTACCCATGCAAATTATTTTTGCATCTTGGAAGCCAGGCAGTATCTGTGTGATTTTATAAAAATTCGGAAATGTTTTTCAGATATGAGCCCCCTCTAAATATTGGGTGCGGAGGTACGTTTATGGAGCTCCTCCACACCCAATATTTAGAGGGGGCTCATATCTGAAAAACATTTCCGAATTTTTATAAAATCACACAGATACTGCCTGGCTTCCAAGATGCAAAAATAATTTGTATAGATAGTGTACCTTGAACACCATTTTTTATGAATGCTGGGGACTCAGTATTAAAAGGATAATTTCAAAATATATAGGTCTGGGAAAGGTTTAAGGCACACTGCGTTGCTATAGAATGAATTGCGCTACTATTTTCACAATTGTATTGATATTTGGTGTCAAATACACATATCTTGGTATATTTGAAGTCCCAAAACGGCTTAGTTTCAGAAATATCCCAAATTTAAATTCAAAAATGACCGTTAGCTCCGCACCCTCCACTCATTTGCTCCGCACCCAATATTTCCCACAGGCTCTGTCTGCATAGGGTGGAATTATACGAATATCATATTTCGCGAATTTATGAAAATTCGTGAAATATAATTACACGTAAAAATAACTGAGAGAGCAGTATTCTATCATATCTCGATGTTTCTGCTTTCTTGCTAATTTTTAGCCAATTGATATTTTGTTGATTTTCAAGAGCTCTATAAAAATAGTTGGTAAATTACTTTTTTTCAGGAACAGAGAGTATGCAGTTAATAATAAAAATATAAATGATTTTCTTAAAAACCTAGTTTCATATACCAGTATTCAGTATTTTGATTTCAAGAGCCTTCGTGTACATGTAGATAAATCACATACATATACATTTTAATCTATACTCGGTCTCACCGTATTGAAACATTCTCTATTCTTATTGCATTTTTCCAATCTTTCAGTTTCTGCTTGTCTCCGAGGACAGTGAAGGTTTTAGGAGTCACAAATGAGCCATCCTTTAACTGGATACATGCTTGGTGTATACCTGAATAAAAAACGAATTATTGAAACGTGTCGTTCTTATTTGATTTTTCATCGATTTAATGAAATGTGAATAAATTGATCTCTAGTCACCAGACTTAACTCCTGCAAAATATGTGTAGAGATGGATGACTCTATATGACATTTCAAAAGAAAATGCATTTAACAAATCTGAATTGAGAGAAAAGGGGGTAAATATTAATTTTGTTTCATGTGGAAAGGTCAGTTAAACAATTACAAAATCAACTTATTTTTTCCACAAATGTAACAGAAATAAACTCACTACTGGTTCAACATTATCAATTCTTGTCACTGTTTCTCATCCGTTACAGCATCCATATGGAAATGATCCTATTTTTGTAATCTTCAAATAATATAGCTTTTAACACTAAACAACCTACCTGGACAGTAGAACTGGTCTCTATGGAGATAGCCCTCCACTTCACCACATTGCACCGTTGCTGTCGGGTCTCCATGACTATCTAGGCCCTGTATAACACAAATAGACAATTTAGCCTAGATTCAAGCATGGCTTGGAAGGTCTCATCTGGATTGTATGTTTGTAAATAATGTAGTCAGAATGATGCGCACACACCTAGGCTCTGACAAATATCTATAGTTTACAAAGCTGATGATGATGTCACTGCTATAAAGTGGAGATTGTAACACCACCATTAGGCCTAATATTGCTCCATTCATCAAAACTACAATTTGCTAAACTCATACAGGGTGACTCACTACAAACAGTTAGTATAGTAAGACTCCAGAGTCCTTGTTAGACAATGAGGCTGCAAACAGATTGATTCTTCTTTTTTTAATTTATCAATAATTCAACAAACAAACAAACAAACGAAATCACAGCGCCTGAAATCCAAAAAGATTACCATCCCATCCATGAGTACTGGTATCTGTTCAACCTGAACCTTTGAACGAAGCCTTTCTCCTGATTTGAATAAAATCAATGGTGTGCTAGTTTCTGACTTATCAATCAATTGAGATTTTTCTGTTCCAACTCCTGTCATTGCTTCAGGTGTAAGCATGTGAATCTTCCACTTATGCATGACTGTTGCAAAGAGAATTTTTTTTACAGATCTTGTAGTTTTATCACATACTGCTTGTAATTCTCTGAATTTTTCCTCTGTTATTTGTTTGTGATGTCACTAAATGATGTCACACTCAGTTTACCCCTTACATCATGTCACTGAACAATGCCTGGCAAAATTGAAATAATATGAACCTTCTAACAAAAGTATGATGTAACAATGACATTAAGTAAGAACAGCATCGCCATAGTAATTCATGCCTATGTAATCATATTATGATGTCATTAAGTTGATATTATTTTCTGTCTGTAATATTTTTCATTACTTGTATCTATTCAAGGGGTCTTCATGACTAACTTATTTTCTGAAGTGTAGATGAAGCCAAGAAACTAAGTCAAATGAATACCAAAATTACTTATTTTCATATTATGCATACTTGATGTCACTAGGTCAGACATGCAATTAGACCCCTTCGACTTACCAAAGGAGCTTAAAAATAATACCATTTCAGTTTGTAAATTTTTTGAAGATAAAATAATATTTTTCATTTTTTATGATCTTAAAAATATTACAAATTCTTACAAATTTTAGTGCCTGTAATATTTGTCAGAAAAAACATTTTACAAAAATAATGTTTTTACTTACTTACTTCAAAATTCTTACAAATATTACACAACACAAAATACCCATGTCAACAGGAGAGGCAAATCTATATCTAGGTTTTCAAATAAGTAAGATAAAAATCATGAAAAATTTACTGGTAAAAGAACGGAGTGCAATCTAACAAGTGAGGACTTCTAACTTTAGAACTATTTATTTTTTCCAAAACTTATAAATAAATGGAAAAGTTCAGTTTCTTATATGGTTATCAAAGTATATTTAATTACTCCACGTTTGAACAGGGATAGAATGGAAATTGTTAGTCATTTTAGTTTTTAAATTTATGTCAACCTTACCACTGTATTTAAATGGAATATAACAGAAACAAAACAAACAAGACATTAACATGCAAAATGTCACCACCTGCCATATGTTACAGACACTGAACACAAACTGCCGAACAAAGTCCACAAAAAAGTTGGAGCCTATTACAATCTATCAACACATCTGGTGGTGACATAAAAACAATAAAAACACACAAGGGGAATCATTTGAAAACTAAATCAGATCTTGCCATTTTTACAGTATTCCTTTGCATTTCTTTTGCAGTTGAGTAACATTGCTCAATGTTATCATTGGAATCAATCAGATAAAGAAGCTCATTCATCATGCTGAAATTTCAAAAAATCTTTCTGCTTTGCCTAATACTGTGAATTCAACCAGAATGCAGCATAGAGCTACAAGGGGGAAAGGTTGCCAAATATTGGGTAAATGTAAGTTAAAAATAATCAAACTACTCTGACAGAGTGTAACACTGTCAATAATTTTCTGGAGCACATTCTAATAAGAATAGCACACCAAGAAAACTTATAGAAACAACATAGGAAACACCAGAAGAGTGAATTGTGTTCAATTTGAAGAGTCTAGAATGAAGTCAATGTTTTGAGTCCCTCTAACCTTGGGAAAAGTTCAACTTACCTCATCACTTGGAATAGCTTTTGTGGGAAGAAAAGCTTTCTTTGAACGAACCATAGTACTGTATATGCTAGATGTATACTTCACAAAGTTGTGTTGTTTCAGTTAGTCATGATACACAAAACCTTCATCCAATCCAGATTTTTATCTGTAAAAATGTAAATACCATAAAAATTATAGAACGAGGCTGTTAGTGCAGGTTTATCAAACCTAAAAAGCAATCAATCACAGTACAATATCATATCTGAGATGATATCATCACGGAAAAATACATTCATATTTTAGATAAATTGTATCTCAGATAAATTAAATTGATATGCATCTAAAAAGTCACTCGACTTTTTTGCAAAAAAACTTCCAAAAAGTAACAGTTGCATGAATTCACACTGTCGTACTTACAAAATGATCCACCGCCTTACTTATGCACCATCAAACTTGGTAATATTGTACACGTAACTATTAACATGGCCTTTCAATAAGAGTTGAAAGCCCATGCTATTAATTACCGTATATTCCCAGAGAAAACTGGGCTTGCTTTTCAACATTTCAAGCGAAAATTCTCTTCGGAGCTTTTGTTTTTCTGACGTAATTTCTTCTAAAAAATCTGTGACGTGATAGGTTCAGTTCATCTTATTTCGAAAGGGGTGTCATCTATTTAGAATATTTAGTTTCATCTTGTCCAGTCCTAAATTATGGAATAGATTCTCTGAGAGTGGCGACATGTCTGCATCTCTACTATCTTGTGTTTGACACCCCTCGTTTTGGACGAGTCCAAGTAAACCGCACATCCGGGTGATTAGAAAAGGGACTTTTTTTTTAAATCGAGTGGCAACAGAGATACTTCTGGTTAAACTGTGTTCATGACGAAACTTATGAAAGAATCAATAAAAGGTAAGTGGTATACATTAGGCGGATGCCAAAAATTAAACGTGGTGCAAATTTGAAACTTCAGAATGGTTTCTGTGATTCAAAATCACAAAAAAGTCAAGTGACTTTTTAGATGTCGAAAATCTTAATAGTCTACAGTAGTGTTGTCGCGATTAATCGATACATCGCGATATACATCGCCAAAGCTGATTCTGGCGATGCATCGATGTCTGAAACAAAACATCGATGTTTTTGAAAAAAATTAATTTGCTAAAAATCACCCTTTCTTATCTTATTTTGACGCAAACCGCTTACCTTTCTCATGTCTTATTTCATCCAATGTTTTCTGATATTCTTTCGCTTTAAAACTGTTTTAGCTATTCGAAATGAACCATTAACCTTAAAAAAATTACTTTACTTTCATTTCACCTTTCTAGAAGTTACCGGATGTACCAATGTTTGGTATTTTAGTGCATTAGCGTTCGGTATTTCAGTGCACTTTTCTCAGATTTTTTCTCGATGTACATCGCGATGTGCATCGATGTTTACTACTGAAAATTGGCGATGCATCGATGTACGATTATGCCACATCGCGACAACACTAGTCTAGTCTAGTCTACAGTACATTCATATACATCTATGCACTACAGTGTCTGATGTATCTGATGAGTGGCTTCCCTTTGAATAACAACAGAGCATAATATATTCTATTATGTATTAGGGCCATACCTGAACTGAATATCTTCACAAATAATCAAACAAGTTTAATCAAGTCACGAATGCTTACGTACGTTTACGTAGACGTGACGCGCGTCAAATCGTTTCCTAGAAAAAAGGAAAAGACCAAAAATAGATCTAACATTATATTTGGCTTACCTAAGGACAGTTGAATACTTCTGATATCAAAAGATGTAAATTGGTCAAGTCTCAGATAGTATATCTACACACGTATTCGGATAATAATCCGAAATATGGATAAAACTTGAAAATATAAGATTTTTAAAAAATTGTAGAAGTCTCGTCTATGTTCTCGTTACTTCTCGTTGCGCGAGACTTGGTTGCACGAGTACTTCCGCTTTAATTTTCTAATAAGTATTGTTGTTATTGTGTAATTATACTACTCTATGATGCATGGATCGGGTGGAGGACTTGACATTGTCAAAGAGAGGGAGCAACTCTACAGACTAATGATCAGGTTTGTTAAATTTAACTCATTTTGCCAATCAAATTCTGCCAGTATAATTTTTGAAGAGATTTTCATTTTCTTTGAATCATTTTCATTTGTTTTCAAGAGGCCATACATCAGTGGATGAGAGTATACAAAATGTAGAATATACCCCAAAGGTGTGAATACTGTAATCGCATACAAAATTCGAAAATTCTGAATAATATTTTGCACATATGGCGTTCATGAACAACTAAGAAATGCCATGGGCTCATCTTACAAATCTGAGGCCACGATATTGTGGCCTTCGTCCAAAGATAAACCCCTGTATGTTTTTACTGCTGTATACGGGTCATGTCGTAATAATAAAATTTGAAATCAAATGTTCGCCATTTTTCAGGAATTTGACTGAGCCCCATTGTGGGTAGTGTGACATTGTCATCTTTGAATACAGAGTTATATTGGTCATTGAGGATGTTCAGTTTCTGGGGTGGTGGTATCTGTTATTTTGTGGCCATCTTTGTAATGTTACAAAGCACGTTACTGCCTAGACTATATCCTCTAGTCTGAAATTTTTTGAATATTCAGACTATAGCCCACATATGTTAAAACTTGGGATTGAAAATTATTTGTTTACATAGGAAGTGCCATTCAAAATGGCCGACTGGGTAAATTAATTTGCATATTTGTTACTTCCCCTAGCTTTATTTCCATTTGACATTGCTGTGTTACTTTTTATAGCATTTAATTGTACCTTACTACATAATTGAATTGTTATAATGCTTATTTTTGGGAAGTGAAGTTTCCTAAAATTGATAATTGTGTGCAGGAAATTTCCTGTTTTTTCCCACAGGAGGGACATAATGATCAATAGACTGAATTCTCAGGAAATTCAGTCTATTGGATATAGACTACGTTGATGCCAGATGCAAAAGTGTTTGGTAATGATTTTGAGCTGAACTTTCTCATTGATGATTTTGCTTTTATCAATCTGAAACAGATCGTTGATGTTGCGCTGATGTTCTATTCTTGCACATGGGTAGTAAACATGCCATTGTGGGTATTCTTTTTGACCTCAGAAACGGTCATGCATTGAGTGATTCATTGTGTGCCTATAAAGGATTCATCTATCATGGATAATAAAAGAGTTATTTGATTTGACATTACTCGAGGTTTATATTTGGAGACTTTTCACATATGCGATGTTTGTTCCGAATTGTTGCCAGATGATTTTCTGTATTCATATTTATACCATTTATATAACATTTATATGTTTAATATTTTAAGCAGCAGAGGTCATTTTCTTTTGATTGTTTTTGAAAAATCTCCTATTTTGAAGAGTTAGTTGTGCTGTCGTTTTGATTTTAATTTCAATTTTTAAAATTCTATCTGATTGTTTCAGTTTGTTTTACCTTTGTCAAAAATGTGAATGAAATACCTGATATTGAACATTTCTTGCAGTCAACTTTTCTATGATGGCTATCAAAGTGTTGCAGTAAGTTTAGCTAACATTGTAAAGGCCCAACCAGCATGTCCACCTTCAGACAAACTACAGAGGATTGTGAGACAGGGCCTAGAGGCTGATGATGGTAATTTTCATTTTATTTTTTTATTTATTCCAAAATATTACAAGATGCAATTTATGATTTGCATCAAATGGGTAATATATCAACAATGGCGTAGCGTCATATACGCATAAAACGCCATGGCGTACTCTCAAAATTAAGAAAACAGTTGATTTTTTATATTGATTTGCCCCACACTTCAAAAATGGATAAAAATGGCTAATAATTAATTACATTCTATTTATCGATAATAGTCAGAATTTCGTATTTCAAACGCCCCAGAACGCTTCAAATGCAATCTCATTTTCAAATTTTCTTGGGGGACAACCAACCCCCCAACCCCCCAACACCCCTCTCAAAGCACGTCTTTTTCGCTTACTCGTGGCGTACACTCACAAAATACCCACGCTACGCCACTGTCAATAAATGTAATAAACAGATCTGTTTTGTGTTAAATGCTTCCTGTTTATTCCTACTTAATTAATCTAAAAATACCCATGTGATAACAAATTTGATAAAGGGTTTTATTATGAATTTTTGAGAGTGGTATGTTACCCTTTGGAAAACTTCAACACCACCAACAACCTTTAAATTAGACATGATTCTTTAAAGGTAGAATCAAATCTATGCGGAGTGACACAAATATGAAATTACCCTAAAGATCCACATAATGTAATCAATTATTGGTGAAGTTGTTTAAGTTTCAAAGTGCAAAAATGGGAGAAAATCTTTAAAGTCCCCGTCTAAAGTTTGAAAATATTTTTTTATCAGTCATTTTTTACTATTTGTCAGGACTTAAAAAGTGATTTTAGAGCTTTTTGAACAAAAAAAATTTTGAAAAAAAGTTGTGGGCATTTCATCTCTCGAATATTCAAATTTCCCGCCGTTTTTCAAAAAAAGTTTAAATTTCTTAATCATCAAATATTTCTTAATGCATTTCAAAAAAGATTATCTTTTTAACACCAATGCAAAGACTGAACAAAGGACACACTATTTCAATAATAAAATGCCATATTTAATGGGCCACTTCAATGTTTTAGCATATCAAAAATATTTTGAAACATTAGTGATGTCACTAAGGTACCAAAAACGTTTTGAAAAAAATTGAAATTTTTTTTTCGATGTCAATCTTTTCTAAATATGTTAGACTTTCATAAAAAACCAATGTTGATTGTCTAACCAGGTTAAAAGGAAGAATAAATTATGTTTTATATATCATTGTACCATTGGTTTCTATGAGAACTAGAATTTTGAAATGCATTTTTCTCAGAACCATTTTCATGCACTGTTAAGTTCATTTCTCGCTTATTTATGAACCGATTTTCTTAATTTTTTCGGCAAAAAACATGGGAGGATGAATGTTATGCATTGGTATTAATTGTGGCTAATTAGAACATATGAGTGACCTCTAAAAGTTGGTTTTAAATAAATTCACAAATTTTGGAACAAAAAGTCTAAAAACCACTTTGTGAAATTTAAAAAAAAGTTTCACATATCACACTTTGATAACATTGGGTAAGACTACAATATAAGCCAAAGTGGTTTAAACTTTATATGGGGCCTTTAAATTCTCCCAATACTAACCATATTTATAGACAAATGAATGTATTATTGTATTCCTCAAATGAGTATATACTTTGGGGATTTTTAAAAATAGATATGAAAACGAAATGATATTAATCTGGTGGTGACATAACAGTTAATAATAAAGAGAAAAAACTTTTTTTGTTTTGTATGAATGCTGATATTGATAATGTTTCATTTCTCCATGCAGTGATGAAAGAACAGCTTGCACTGAGGGCAGACACTGTTGCTCCTGGCTCTGGCATTGATCTGGAGTTTGAGACAGATGGTAAGACAATTTATCACAGAGTTATTATTAGATAAAAACAGAATCAGCGATAAAGGGATGGTAAAATTGCAAGTGATATGTTCATTTTCAGCAATCACAGAATTGACCAATCAATGGTCAGAGTTATACATCAGGTTCAATTGTCAAATTGCTTCGGAACAAAGCATTTTAACTTTAAGGTGATAATTGTGCCCCACTATGTTTCAATATACATGCAGGCAGGCCCAGTGGCCAGGATTTGCCAAGGGGGGTTCACTTTCTGATAAATTCCAGGGGGGGTTACTTGTGACAATTTTGGTCCAAAAATGGCCAAAATCACTTAAAAAATGCTCAGAATGGTGAAAAATTGCATGATTTTGAAAATTTTTTTGGCCAGGGTGGGTTGCCCGAACTCATCGAACCCCCCTGGCTACGGACCTAACATGTACTATGTAGAAGTTTGTTTTTTAGCTCATTTCATTAGTATACCATACAGTATATTACAAGTAGGCCACACCAACCTTTATATATTTGTTAAATAGCTTTTTAGATGTACGCAAATTAAATTTAACTTCAGGATAAGATTCCTATTCTGGCTCATAGAAAAATTGAAGAAAAGAACATCAACAATCAAATTAGATATTAATGTCTCTTCTGCTGAGTTCAAGTATTTTAATTGATTGACAGCTCTATTTTTACACTTTCCTTATTCACGGGGGATAAGCAAAACGAGGGCGAAGCCACGGACTGCGACTCGTGTAACTTTACACCGCAGCCCAGCGCCAAAATGGAGGGACATCCGGCAGTGCCTTCTGCTTCTTCCGACAAAATAGAGAAATCCAGGTATTTTAAATGCTATCGTAGTGTCTAATCGGTGACCAAAATATTACTCTGTATCTACTGTTGGTCTGTAGATAAGAAAATAAGCAGTTGTCCAGATCAAGCTAAAACAGTAGCAAAGTTCTGATTTTACCTGTAAAATATGTGCATATTATTTAATTTACTATACATTTGAAAGGAGTTTTAACACGTTTCTGATATCTAAACGTTAGTTGAGGCTCCGAGTATAATTCGTGAAAATGATTTAATAATAGAATGTGTTCATGAGGAGAAAATTAGATTCAAACTTCGCATTCATAGTGGACGCAGTCCAGTAAACAAAGCTATTTCAACAACGCAACACAGCCTCCATTGATATTCTAAGCAACGCAGTCCAGCCGCGAACACGAATAAATATGATAGTGTAAACTATATTCCTACGCTATTATTGTTTCAGGAAAAGAAAGTCAGCATCCAGATTATCATTCAAAGTTACGTTGATTAACATATATCTATTACCTGAATCAATGTCCCAAATTGCTATATTGTATCGTTTAAGACCTAGAAATATGGCAATTCAATAGCGTATTTGGCAGAACAGTCGAGCGCAAGATGACAACGTAATATGTTTATTACAAACCAATTTGTGGATAGGGTTAAATATATAGATAATTGGATAGTGGTGAGACTTTTTATAAGAAGTAGAAATGCGAAACAATTAACTTTTTGATGATGCAATAAAAGCTGTTGGGGAAGGGTACATTAACTAGTATTTAAGATATCAGGAAAATATCAAATAATTGGAGAGTTGGTGAGTTAATGTAATTTTGGATGATCCTTCCAACAGTCCATCAATATTGCTAGCTACCATAAATTCATGATTTCAGCTATATTTGACAGCTTGTATATATTTGCAGAATGGACTGAGACACGATGTAGGTCTATTAAAATAGCCCTTTATATTCAATTTTGTCCAAAGTTGCTCCATTTCGGCCACACCTGTACACACATTGTGCTATCTACCTTTGGCTGTGATTGCGTTCAGCTTCAGATATAAAGCAACACTGAGTCGCGGACTGCGTTGGGCAGATGGATGGACTGCGACTATTATAAATTCCAATTTTCTATGTAATTGTACGTTTTCCGCTTACCAAATATCACACGAAGATGTAATTGTAACAACAGAACATGAATAATTATATTAATTCGATGTCATTTCTGATTCCTTTGTTTAAATCGGTATATTAGGGACAAATATTGACAAAATTACATTTTTTGTGGCAGATTTCGAATTCATTTGTGTTCATGCTAAACTATTGGACAGCCGAGCACCAAGAATGCCATTGCAGGTGGAGTATGAATATGTTGATCACCGACTGGAATATACTAGCTATTCTGTAGAATATCCAAACCAATAATCTACCCCAAATCCTAACATGCCTTCCAAATTCAGTTTGGACTTACTGCCATTGTTCAGCTATAATGCGTTGTAACCTCGTTTTGAATTACGCGAGTCGCAGTCCGTGGCTTCGCCCTCGTTTTGCTTATCCCCCGTGTTATTTGGGAGTGAAATTGATGGCCTGTGTTAAAACTCCAAGGTCAAGCTGATCTGGTCACTCTTTAAGACAATTAAAATTAGGTTTTTACTAAAATTGGTACATTCTGTATGTGTTTTTCTCAGTTAAAGCATATTTATTGAAAAAAATTCCTATTAAATCATTCTAGGCCTTTTAATATCAGTTTACTTGATTGGTCTTGTTTTAATCATTTTTGTTTAAAAGGATGTTTTTGGAGTATTTTAGAGGACTGTATTGTCAAAGAATTTATGAAAAGAGCATTTTATTATCTTCACAAGTTCAGGTTTCAAGTTCAGGGTTTCATTTGAATTCTATTGTCTAATATATAATCAAGGAGGATTGGAAGCCAGAGTTCCAACTTGATATTCTTTAATCTCCCAGTAATGCGATATTGCCGATCATGCCTGTATATTTTTCTGGCTGCGGGGAGAGTGGACGATATTCTCCAACAAAGCTGGCATCATTATTGTTTGACATTTACCTGGCTACAAAGTCAAAATCAGCATTCAAAACATTGACAGTAAGTGGTCATAAGCCACTAATGATCTTAATCATTTCTTTTGTGTTTTGAATTTTTTTTGTTCAGTAATAAGACCAAATCTTGCGATTCAAATTTTGAAGTGAGAAATACAACTCCAGGACTGATGATAGTTTTTTAGAGAATATAGATGTTGTATTCTGGCTGCCAATCCTCCTTGATATATAATGGAATATTCAGTCATAACAGATGAAATTATTAATTGGCGATTGCTGGATTTGTCCAGATAAGCCACTTTTTGAGTCAACCAGAAACTTGAAATTAGGATCACACATCTTAATTTTTAACCAAAAAAGCTTTATTTTTATGTATGTAGAACAACTACATATGCAATTAATATTTAAGGCATGAAACTAATTATATTAGCATGTTCTCTCTAAGATTCAAATATGCAAAAAATTGAATATATTGATAAAGAACAGATTCAGCATGGAATTTCATCCCCAAGTCTGTGAAAATTTCTTAGTAATAACATATTTTTTATTTCAGTGAGTGCATTGTCTCCAGAGGTTGCTCAATACGAGACGTGCTATGTCACAGCTCACAAAGGCCCCTGTAGAGTTGCCAAGTTCCATGATTCAGGTAACATTACAAGGCTGCTTTCATTGTAGAGTAAAAGACAGCAGTATAAAAAACTTATTAATTACTTTTGTGAATGAACTAAATGACAGTCAAATTTGATATACATGCATTCATGTGTTTATGATAAATCAACAACAAAAAATCTGTACTTTTTAGTGATTTTGGGGTAATCAGAGATTAAGGTAATTATGTGTAATGAGGATTTTTATGGAGTTTTAATTACATGTGTATATAATTATTGATAATTAATGAAATGGGGATGTGGATATTATGGTTCTCTACATTTTTTAATGTCTAAATATATTTCACTCAATTAAATGAGACATTTCCCAAAATTTAGTTTCCAACATTTTTTTAAGAAAGTGTGAACTACAGTACCTTTAAACTTTTGTCTTATCCCATAGTGCTACGTGAACAGCTGAGATTGTAACCCACATGTTCCTTTACATTCTAGGTATGCTGATTGCTACAGGTTCAGAGGATACTTCCATAAAGGTAACATTTATGGGATGAGTTGTGATAAAGCTACATGTAGCTTTTTACAAACAAAGGTCCATTCTTATATTGCAAGTTTGTTTGCACTCTTTTTAATTGTTCTCTGCAGATTTTTAACTCCTTGGGTTTCTTTAACATTTATTACTTCAGACGAGTTTGTGTAAAAAACCGGGTGACCGGGTATCCGGGTACCCGGTCGACAGGGTACCTAACGTTTCCTAGCAGGGTTACCAACTTTCAAAGTTCCACATTTCCCCCGATATATAGTAGCGAATTGACTTGACAGACTTAGCCTACCGAGTGCACTGCTGTTCGTTATTTTCACCCTATACGAGACAGGGCACTTTTTAAATTAATCGATCCAGCAAACAGTGACGTCCATGTCACGTTGCTCATAAGTACCATATAAGTTCCTAGAAGACGTTGCGCACTTTCATTCTTTACACATCGATGCAACGTAAACATGAGACATCTATTGATGGTACAAAAAGAACGTTGTTGTAACATGTCCGTAAAGTTCGTTAGTGTGGAAAACATAACAAACAGGAACGTTTGATTTTTTACTACATTGGTCCATATGTGACGTAACTCAAACGTTAAAACATGACAAAATCTTTGTGTTCTCACTAAGTCGGTTCATTTCCGACGTAGTGTTAACGTTAAAATTTAACGTTGTCGAAACGTTTTTTCGATTTGAAATAAACGTGACGTCAATAATGACGTTTATGGACCGTATTGATCTGACGTTATTAAAATATTCAGCAAAGCTTCGATGGATGGTTGAATTTCAACATTGTGGAAATGGCTTCAAATTATTTTTTAGTTAAGGAAACGTTACAAAGACGTCAATATGTTCTCACTAAATCGGTTCATTACCGACGTTATTTTAACGTTAAAAGTTAACGTTGTCAAAACGTTCTTACGATGTGAAATAACCTCAAAACGTGACGTCGAAAATAACCTAAATGTATCGTCCAGATCCAACGTTATAAATAAAAAAATTCCTAACCCTGCTAGGAACGTTAAGTACCCGGTCACCCGGTTACCCGGTTACCCGGTCACCCGGTTTTTTACACAAACCCACTTCAGACACATCTGAAATCCCAAAATTTGATTTTACTTTATGAAAATGATTTGATTTCAATGTTGTTTGGAGACAGTAATGTTCCCTAACAATTTACACATTCTTATCTTTGCTACCCCTTAATGACATACAAACAATAAATTGTTTGATTGCAGATTTTGGATGTTGAGCGCATGTTGTCTAAGAGCTCTGGCTTGGATCCCAGAGTCTCATCTGATGGAAATGATGAAAACCACCCAGTTATCAGAACCTTGTATGATCACAATGATGTAAGTTCAAATACACGACTACCTTTCCTTATTGTTTTGCTTTATTATGTCACCACCACAAGTGGTGGACTGTATTCAGTGTCCAGCGGTTGGTGATTTTGAGATAGCCCTGAATTAGAATAGGAGTCATTGAATTCTTTGAAGTTTTTTAAGTACCTCACATTTATTTCATGTTAAAACGCCCACTTAAGGCATTGACAGCTACTTTTTCGTTTTTTGGAATTTAAATCTTATCAGAATCGAAACCATATTTCTTTTTGACATTCAGAGACTACTGTAGTCTGACACTTTGTGTACAAGAAAGATACTACTTTCCCAGATGTGGTTGTTTCCTTTATTTATGAACAGTATTATTATTGTAAATGTGATATTGTAGATTGGTCTCTAATAATATATAGCTATAAAGCTTATGAATACAAGGATCAGATCCGTATTTCCATTTTAAATACAGTTTACACTTGCTGTTGTATTTCATATTTTCTTGATAGGAAATCACCACTCTGGACTTCCATCCACAAACTGCTGTCATATGTTCTGGCAGTTTGGACCATGCAGTCAAGTTCTTTGATTACTCCAAGCCCTCTGTGAAGAAATCATTCAAAAGTATTCAGGTGAGTTATAAGAAAATCATATTAATTTTTTTTTTCATTTACGAAATAATTGCAGTTGCCTAATATAAGTCTAGTACAGCATATCAAAGGTGGTATAAGATGTTCATTTTAATTTAAAAGGCGCTTTTCATTTTGAGAGTTCTGGTGTGTAATGTATACATTTTTTTCTCTCCAGGAGGCTTACCCAGTGAAAGCTGTTGCATTTCACCCTTCAGGAGATTTCCTCTTAGTTGGAACAGAGCACCCTACAGGTGAGTCAGTCAGCCATGTACATGTTACCTCAAAAAGGCATTTAGGTGATAAGTTCTTTAATAATTCATACATTTGATTAATTTCCCAAATTTGGTATTGTACACCTCAGTAGCATACAAATTGCCATTAGGAATATAAGTGTGGTTTGAATAAGTTTGAATGAATATATGATTCACATCAGTTGAGCAATTCAGGAGAGTTCAAACATAAAACATTTTAATGCCTGATCTTGACTAATAACATTCATGGTATTAAGGTAACGCAATGCTAGTGGGCACACATCAGTTTCAGAATATTTTAATTTTAATTTTTTACTACTGTTAATTTATGTTTATGTACTCAATTTGTATACTAGTTCTATACTGATTTTTATACCATGGTCAGAGCAATATCAGATATAAAATACAGTAAAACCTGTATATCTGAACACCTGGCTAATCCGAACACCTTCCAATTTGAACACTTTTTTTCGGTCCCATTTTTTCCTCCCATTGACTCCCATGTTAAAAAAACCTTGAAATCTGAACACCTCCTAATCTGAACAGTGAACAATCAGATTTGAAAAACTGACCTGTCTAATCTGAACATTTTATCAGAAATCAAATGTCTGGACATTTCAATAATAGCCACATATTGAGTCAATGTTATAGTTCTTATTATCTTTACATATGCAATGTAATCAAAGAACCAATATTGTCCTAATTAACTTATTTATGTCTCAATGACATCCCTAATTGTGGAAAACAACAGGAAATGTGTGAATAGGGGAGTTAATTGGTTTATCTTATTAGAAAATAACTGAATGTTTTATGTCTGGATTAAGAGAAAGGTGAGAATCTGGGAGATAATTGGTTTATCCTTATTTTAAATTAACTGGATGTTTTTGATTTGGATTATGAACAAGTCTTAACTGTTTTATATCCCATGTGTCTGTTATGATAACTAGGATTCAATCAGTAAATGTTTTATAATCACAGAGACAACACAGACTATATATGTCAAGGTTTCAGTTCTCTATATCGTAAAATAATCTAAGTCCAAGAATGTAAAGGAATATGGCCAATGTAAAGCTTTTTGAAAATGCATGCTATAAAAATTCACAACTTTCAATCACAAAATAATCTAAGTTCATGATTGTAATGGAATTTCGCCAATGTAAAGCTTTTTGAAAATGCCTGCATAAAAAGTTCACAACTTTGCTTCGTGAAATATTCTAAGTCCAAGAATGTAAAGGAATATGGCCAATGTAAAGCTTTTTGAAAATGCATGCTGTAAAAGTTCACCTCTTCAGATCGTAAAATATTGTAAGTCCAAGAATGTAAAGGAATATGTCCAATGTAAAGCTATTTGAAATGCCTGATATAAAAGTTCACAACTTTCAATCGTAAAATAATCAAAGTCCAAGAATGTAATGGAATATCGCCAATGTAAAGCTATTTAAAATGCCTGATATAAAAGTTCACAACTTTCAATCATAAAATAATCAAAGTCCAAGAATGTAATGGAATATCGCCAATGTAAAGCTTTTTGAAAATACATGCCTTAAAAGTTTAAAAGTTCAGTAAGTGGGATGTTTTTAAATTTCTCAACTCGTCATTGTAAAGAAAAAAAGCTTTACTTTAAAATGACATAAATTTTTGTCCCTAAATCTTGACACTGATGACACAGACACATTTGAAGACAAGATTATAATTGTTTTATCATTATTAGAAATTACCTGGATGTTTTTGATTTAGATTAAGAGAAAGGTGAGAATCTGGGAGATAATTGGTTTATCCTTATTTTAAATTAACTGGATGTTTTTGATTTGGATTATGAACAAGTCTTAACTGTTTTATATCCCATGTGTCTGTTATGATAACTAGGATTCAATCAGTAAATGTTTTATAATCACAGAGACAACACAGACACATTTGCAGACAAGATTATAATTGTTTTATCATTATTAGAAATTACCTGGATGTTTTTGATTTAGATTAAGAGAAAGGTGAGAATCTGGGAGATAATTGGTTTATCCTTATTTTAAATTAACTGGATGTTTTTGATTTGGATTATGAACAAGTCTTAACTGTTTTATATCCCATGTGTCTGTTATGATAACTAGGATTCAATCAGTAAATGTTTTATAATCACAGAGACAACACAGACACATTTGCAGACAAGATTATAATTGTTTTATCATTATTAGAAATTACCTGGATGTTTTTGATTTAGATTAAGAGAAAGGTGAGAATCTGGGAGATAATTGGTTTATCCTTATTTTAAATTAACTGGATGTTTTTGATTTGGATTATGAACAAGTCTTAACTGTTTTATATCCCATGTGTCTGTTATGATAACTAGGATTCAATCAGTAAATGTTTTATAATCACAGAGACAACACAGACACATTTGCAGACAAGATTATAATTGTTTTATCATTATTAGAAATTACCTGGATGTTTTTGATTTAGATTAAGAGAAAGGTGAGAATCTGGGAGATAATTTGTTTATCCTTATTTTAAATTAACTGGATGTTTTTGATTTGGATTATGAACAAGTCTTAACTGTTTTATATCCTATGGGTCTGTTATGATAGCTGGGATTCAATCAGTAAATGTTTTATAATCACAAAGACAACACAGACACATTTGCAGACAAGATTATATCATGAGAAAGAGAAAAAATTCAACTTCTTAATATCCTATCACTAAAATGCCTTCTAAAAAGGCACATCTGACATACTGAATGCCCTTGATATTTTGAAAAAAAAAACTTTTTAATTGTAGAGGGTATCTACTCAAATATTGCTAATGCTAAAAGTGCCAAGAAACAACAATGAACGACTTTTTCAAGCTAAAGTAAAGCAGTGCTATGTAACCATAATATGATATAAGTCATTTAATAAGCATACGATTTTGTACAAGACTATCATATACTTATTCAGTGTATTACAAAGTTTTTGCCAAAATGAAAGAGTTATTTTTCCAAAAATAATGAAATTGTTCAAATTGTTAATAAAACATAGCATATACATGTAGGCTATAGGCCTATTGTAGTATTAAGTGTTCAATATAGTGGACTGAACAATGAAAATCCCCCCCCCCCGACCAACAATATCCTCGAAATTTGAACACCTGCCAATTTGAACGCTTTTGGCTGGTCCCATGGGTGTTCGGATTAGACAGGTTTTACTGTAGCAAGTGGTAAATCACATATATGGGACAGGGACAGTATCAGGGACGATATCGGGTTTAGAGAGATGATATTGATATCATTCCGGGTAAATTCAAAAATTTTACATTTTCCCCCAAAAATTCATTTTTTCAAGAAAAAACATTATTTCAAATTTTTTCATTTTTTCAAAATTTTTCATTTTTCCAAAATTTTTCACTTTTGCTCTTGACCATGGTATAAGGTCGTTATTCAACTGTCGGGATGATATGGGTAATATCCCTCGGATGATATTGATATTTGATATCATCCTTGTGATATTCCCCATATCAAATCCCTCCTGCTGAATAACTACTTTGTAACAATAAAACTTTTATTTTCAGTTCGCTTGTATGATACAAACACATTCCAGTGTTATGTTGCGTCCAACCCTGCAGACCAGCATACAGGTCCTATCACTGATGTAAGTAGTATTTTAACTTGTGCTTCATGAATTCTGAGACTCACATGTAGCCAATCCGTAACAGTGCCATACAGTGTGGTGACTCTAGAGTGCCAATTGAGGCCAATTGAGTGCCAATTGAGGCTGTAGTCTCAGGTCTTTTATTCTCATTTGGTGCAAAAACTGCGATAAGCTCCTTATCTAAAGATGACCCAATGAATGTATGTTCTACTAGAAATGGCATATTTTCTATTTTGTTCAGAGATAATATCACAATTCATGTCAATTATAAGTACTACTGTTAAATTCATGCATTTATGATTATTAAGATTATGTTTTTAATGTGAACTATATGGCCAATTAGTTGCTAATTATACCAAAAACTGATTTATTTGTTTTAGTGTAAATACAGTCCAAATGCCAATATGTATATCACATGCTCTGAAGATGGCAGCATTAAAGTGTGGGATGGCGTCAGTAATAAGTGCACAAATACATTTACATCTGCTCACGATGGTGCTGAGGTCTGCTCTGTTCAACTATCTAGAAATAACAAGGTAAAAAATTGATGGGAGTTACTTGTTTAGCATGTACATGTATACAGCTAGATGCATTGCAAAACTCAATATTGAGTCCAGGTTGAGGCCAAACCAGGGTTGAATCATGCTTGATTCAGCATTAAAAACACTCAATTAACATCAAATCAAATGACTAGTCTCGGTTTGGAGAACGAAGTTCATCAGTCTACTGCATGTTACGCCTGCTTCGGACAATTTTGATATTTTTACATATTGTAGATTTTCAATGTCCTCTTTTGAATATCCATCATTTAATTTATTTGATATTTCTATATTTTTCATAAAAATATTAGCGCAGTACACTTTTTTCTCCAAATAGAGACTTTTGTTTATTGATTTGGTCTACTTCACACAATTTTGATATTTTTACGTCGTAGAATTAAATGTCCTCTTTTGAATATTCATAATTTAATTTGGGTGATATTTCTACATTTTTCATTAAAAATTATGAACACATGAGACTGTTCTCCAAAGTTTATTCTATATGAGCTACATATAATCATTGCAAATCAATTAACTGAAGCCTTGTACATGTATATGTATAAGTATTATAACTATACTTTCATGAAAATTCACAGAAAATAATCATAAATGTAGCTCTCATGATAGAAACATATAAATGTATTAGTACATGTACATTTTTTTCAGTATATTTTATCAAGTGGAATGGACTCTCTAGTGAAGTTATGGGAGCTATCCACAGCCAGGTGTTTGATTGCATATACAGGAGCAGGCACTAGTGGCAAACAGGAACACAGATCTACAGCTTGCTTTAATCACACAGAAGATTATGGTGAGATGCCCTTATTTTGTTTTGCATTAAATTCTACATAGAGTTGCTTGCGTTTAGTATTGGGTTTATGCAATGCCCTTTTTAACTTAAGATGTCCCATTGAATCACGTTATAAAATCTCTCAATTGAACCCAGACTAGGTTAACCGTGCAATGAAACTGCTTTAGTAACATCATTTCCATGAGCAATTGAGTTCTTCTGAGCTTACCAAGCCAACCAGAGCCTCTTATTTTCAAAATGTTTTTTATCCATTGAGCCAAGCGGGTTGTGATATTACTAGGCCTACAATTATACAGTGTTGGTCGCATGCACATCAGATTATAAAGCAAGCTGCTCTTGCTTATACATGATGACAGAAAAAATGCTTCCCTCCAATTTTTGAATAACTTTTTCAATAATTGGTAACTTCATGAATTTTTTGTATAAATAGAGTGTTTAAAGGCAGAATCAGATCTAAAGGGATGACAAAATTACAAGCAATGTGTACAATTGACCTACCAATCTATTCCTTACAATCTCAAATACAATATCTCTCAAAAGATTAATGATATGTTATAAATTGGTGAAGTTATAATGGATTCAAAGTGCAAAAAATGAGTGAAAATGTTGAAAGAAAGTGTGCACTTTGGGGATTTTGAGAAAATAGACATGAAAAGGAATGACATGAGCCAGAAATTTGTAAAATTCTGTAAAATGTTTTGTCCTAGTCAGAGGTAGGTGTACTAGCTAATGAGCCAAGGATATTCCCAAGATGAGATGGCAATGTATTTGATGTTGCGTGTGTTATTATATTCTATTGTATATTATAATGTTATATTCTAGTGTTATTCCCGGATGAGAGAACAAAAAGTCTTTGTGTTTGGGATTCAAGGAATGCAGAGAGGCAGAAGTTGCTGTCGTTAGGTAAGTTATTTTTACAAGCAGTATCAAAATATTTTTTTAATAGTCTCTGATATTAGATTTTTTGACCTAGTATTGATTTTAAATTACTTTCAAAAGAACCCTCTCTGGATGTGAACAGGTACTAAAAAGGACAGTTATAATGGGTATGAGAGGTTTTCATCTTGTTTTATTTTTTCATTTCCTTTCAGGTCATAATTTAACAGTTCGTTGCATCCAACATTCTCCTACTGGTCCATCCTTTATCTCAACCAGTGATGACTTTAGGGCAAGATTCTGGTACAGAAAGGCTTCAACAGACTGAGAAACACTGGTGTATGGTATTTGACATATTGATCTTTATCTTGACACTGACAATGCATGGACACTGGAAGTGAAGACTCATTTTCTGAATACACAAAAACTGAAAATACCCCAAATCTCCATTCTAGCCACTCTTCTCTCTGACATGCAGCTGATTTGACAGTTTAAATGCTGTTCTTATTGTTGTTTTCATGAGTGTTTTTTTTACCTTGAATGTGAAATGACAATCAGTTACCTATATGCTGAATATGTAGGGAAGTGGCTCGGATATTATCAATATGCCATTTTTACAAAAAAAGGTATGCAAGAAAAGGAAAAAATCCTACCTATGTTGATTGCTAAAACATTTAAATTCAATAGGAATTCATTTTACACTGTATTGTCATATTAATAAAAATAAGCCCTGCCCAATAGGAAAAAGGATTAATGGTTGTCAAAATAACATTCTCAACCAATTAGTGCAAATGGGAGAAGACATCTCTGATCGATATGATGTTTCTGCATTTTTGAAATTAAGAACTGATAGATGGAGTTTATTTGGAAAAATTAACAGAAGGCTGAACATAGTAATTAAACAGGGACAAGATTGATAGTGTTGAAATGTGGAAAAAGCTAGTTTAGGCTATTCATAAGCAAAGAGAGTGGATACTGTTTAGTAATTGTGGAAATCATTGGTAAAGATATTTGAAGCTACAATTTGTAGAAATTTTTGTCAGTAGATATATTTTGTGGGATGTATGAAATATTTTCAAAATCTGAAATTATATTTTTTATTTTATATGTACACATCAAAATGTTACATGAATGCCATGGACTTGCAGATCTCTCTAAGTATAAATACATGGAAATAAACAATTTTATAGAAAAACAACTCAACACAACTCATGTTTTTATTTTATTAACCAAGTATTTTATTGAAAAAATAACCATAGTACTGGGTAATTAAATGGCCATGTTTGTTCTTAAATTGATTATGCATGTCATGGATGTATAAATGTCAACTACAATGATGAATAGCTATATCCAAGTGGCATTCAGTTAAGATGACTACATCGAGATGGCATCGGGAGCTGTTTGCACATTGCATCAATAGATAGGCTATTTAAAATCTCAAAAATAGGCTCCAAATGGAAAATTGGAACAAAAATCGTATTTTTCAGAAAATGAGTTTTTCTAACAAAAAAGAATATGGGAGCATTTTTATGTTAAAATTGGCAGTTTGGATACCACTATACAGAATGTACTACAATTACAGCACAAAATGTCACCTTGTGAAATATTTAAACATCATTTGACAGTTTATAGAGTGGAATTCATTGAGTTGAAAAGAGGCATTAAAGGTAAAAACACAGATATTCAATACTGGATTTGTCTTTATTTGGAGAGTGTTTAAATTGGCAAATTTTTGCGAAATGAAAAAATCACCAAATTAAAAAGTTGCCAATAGTCTTGATACAACAAAGAGAAATATTGAAGAAATTGTTCATCAACAACACTGACAATGGTCAATGAATATTTAGAATTTTGTTAGACGGGAGGATGGGACACTTGAAAAACTGCCAAATTAAATAGACGCCATTAGGGCCAAAAATACAAAATCACCAAATTAAGTAGCACCAAATTAAAGACAAATGCAGAAAGTACAGTGCATATGTTCTAATGCTATAAAATAAAATATTATAAAATATTGATATGATATTAGGAAATAAAAGGATTTCATTCAGTACAATAACATAAAGTGACCACTATGGCCCAGCACTATTGCTAAAGACTTCTTAACCAGTACTAATACCCCGAAAACAGGCCTCGCAAGTTGGTGATAACGATATTTAGCATTCTGCAGTACTGATATAGTCTATACTACTACAAGATGTAAAATAAAACATGTCAACTTCTACCCACTTCAGAAATAAAATGATGTCTAATAAAAGAATATTCCGATTCAGTTTCAAAATTCTACTTGTCATGATGTTGTTTCTCATGTTTGGCATTTAGATATTAGCCTTGTTATAAATGAAATAAAAATAATTATAAAGTATTAAAATCTAATTGTACATATATATTTAAGATGTTGTGAAAACATTCTTCATTAGAAACGAGATAAACATTTTTCTTACAGTTCATATTGCAATATAACACACTCTAAACTTCTTTTTCCTGACTTAATTCTCAATTGGTCTACAATATTTTGTAGTATTGCGATCAATTTAATCATCTGGAATAGGAGTATTACAGTTACCATGGTATATATTTATATAACCCTCACATGTGAAGTATTGATTGAAGACATTCTTGTATCCATTCTCCCTCCACCATGTACATAACTGTCTATTCCAAGTACATGGTAACACATAAAACAATTCTTCATGTTCAAGATTTATCAGACTAAAAAAATCCTGATCTCCAAGATGGCCTTTGTAAGTGTATTTTTCAGTATATTCCTTTAATGTATCTTGATTAATAAGTGAGTTGTAAAGCTCCGACTGACGCATGCGATCCAAATCAAGTAACATGACACCGCTGTTAAATCCAGTAAGGCCATCTGGTGGAGGGGCACCTGCTCGAGTGTTTGGATGTTTGTTGCGATACACATTCAAGAGATGTCTATATACCGGCTGCATTTCACGTGCTATTCCAATAACATTGTCTTGAGCAAATTCACCGAACAACATATATAAATCTTTGATGTTTCCACGAAATTTTAAATCTGCATCTAGCATTATAACTCTTTGTACATCTGGAAGAACTCTATGGATTGCAATGGATAAAAAGAATAGTGCATCGCTGTAATAGGCCCCTGGTTTGTAGCTAAAATATTTTTGCATCGGTTTAACGATCTCGTGCAATTGTTTCGCCATGGCATCAACATCATGATGGATCAACTGAAAATCAAATAAACACTGATATAGACAAAGATCATCAACAGTTAATACATCATAGTGACCTTTGGGCATGTAGCACAAATTAACCCCACATACGATTCTTATTTACCAGCAATTCAATTAACCAAATTGAATTTTATGTCTTCCTTGAGGGTATTTTGTAATTCCTGAAAATTCTGACTTAGGCATATACAGTTTGCATAGTTGTTTATTTGTCAATTAAATCGATTTTAAATGTACAGGCAACTGACACCCATACGGGTGTATATAGTTACATATGATTATATTACATAATTGTATTAATCAAGATGACAAGATATAAAACTGTTTTTTAAGATAGAAAGTTAGAAGAAAAGTGATAGAAGAGAAAGAAATATACATATATAAAAGCACATATAGCTAAATGTTATACAGATTAATTTAATACTTGTCCAGATAATACTTTTTCAAATCTGACTTAAATTTATTTCTAGAATTCAGATGTTTAAAAGTTTCAGGTAATTCATTCCATGTTATTTGTCCTATGTATTTAATGCTCCTTTGTCCAAATGTAGATTTAAATTGATTAGCTCTAAGATTGAATCTATAACGTGTCTCTTGACCATGAGTTTGAGCATTTGATATGAAGTAGTCAGAGAATAAAGTTTGAGGAAATTCTTTAGGTCGTTTGAGACAATTATATACAAAAATACCGACATTTAGCTTATGAATATCTTCTAATTTAAGTATTTTTATTTTCTTAAATTGTGGAGAGGAATCGTCTGTTCTAGCACTGTTTGTAATTAGTCTTAAGAATCTTTTTTGTACTTTCAAAATTTGAAACAATAGAGCTTTAGTTGCTGTTCCCCAGATAAGAATACAATAATTTATATGGCTATATATAAGAGAGTAATAGATAGACATCATTGCAGTGTGATTTATCTTATTTTTGACCTTGAAAGGAATTCCTACTACTTGTGAAATTTTGGTAGATACATGAGCAATATGCTCATTCCATTTAAGTTTATCATCGATAATAACTCCAAGGAAAGTGGTCTTTGAAATTCTTTCAATAGGTTTATTTCTAATTTTAATATTTAGCATTTTTATTTCAGATTCTTTTAATTTGTGTGGATGAAAGATCATGAATTTTGATTTTTCTATATTAAGCGATAGTTTATTTGCACATAGCCATTCGTCAAGATTTTCTAATTCAGAGTTAACATGATTAATGAGAGTACTTAGGTTTTTATGTGAGCAGAGAAGGTTTGTATCATCAGCAAAGATAACAAATTTAAATATAGAAGATGTCGTAACAATGTCATTGATGTAAATAAGAAACAGAATAGGTCCAAGGATCGAGCCCTGTGGAACCCCGCAGGTGACTGTGTTGGTTTTGGAAGTCTTGTCATTATATTCTGTTTCCTGAGTTCGGTTTGAAAGATAGCTAATGAACCACTTATGTGCATTTCCCCTGATTCCATAATAGTATAATTTTTGAAGAAGTATTTCATGATTAACCATATCAAATGCTTTAGACAAGTCGATGAAAATGGCAATATTAAGATCTTTCTTTTCAATTGACTGGATTAATGTTTCTAAGAAGCTGGTAATAGCCATATATGTAGATCTGTTTTTTCTAAAGCCAAATTGCTGTTCACAGAAGATATTATATTTCTCTAGAAAATCTACAAGTCGATTTGCCATTACTCGCTCCAATACTTTAGAGAATACTGATAATAGGGAAATTGGTCTGTAGTTATTGAATTTAGTTTCATCCTCCTTTTTAAATATAGGCTTGACCTTTGCTTTTTTTAGTAAGTCTGGAAATGTTGCTGTTGAAAGAGAGAGGTTGCATATATATGTCAGAGGTATAATTAAATTATCCTTGACTGTTTTTATTGAAATTGGTTTGATTTGATCTTGACCAGGGCTTTTGTCTTCAAGTTCTTGTAAGATTTTGCTCATTTCATCATTTGAGACATCTGATAAAAATATTGACCTATTGAAATTTTTTATTTTTTCTAAATAATACCTGGGCTGTTTTTGAGAGATTGGAATTTTTCTAGCAAGGTTGTTTCCAATATTAGAGAAAAAATTGTTGAAGTTGTTTGCAATTTCTTGTGGTTCCTTAAAGTGCTTATCTCCTGATCTAAATGTAGTAGAAATTTTTTTGGGGAGATTTTTCGCTTAAGGATGCCATTTATTAATGACCATATGTCCTTCATGCTTCCTTTGATTTTATCAAATTTATTGTCATAATATAGCTTCTCAGCTTTCCTTAAAGTTTTGCGAAGAACACATTTATACTTTTTGTATTCAGATTTTCGTGCTTGTGAAGGATTTTTCAAATATTTCTTGTACAGACTGTTTTTTTGTTTACAAGAATTGATATAATTGATATAATTCACCAAATTCAAGATGTTTATTTGAGATCGAAATTTTCATTGAATCAATTCTCATATTAATGACAAGGGATACTAGCATGTCGGATGCCCACTTGTCAACATTAGTGGGAGGACATTTAATTGATTCATTGAGGGGGAGTGTGTTATGGTGATTTCATGAGACTGAAGATTGTCTATTCTTGAATATTTTCAAAGAAGGACGGAAAGAATCGCAACAGATTTCGGACAGTCATATGTTGGATTTTGTCTATTTTCTGAGGATTTAAACAGGTGCATATGTTAGGCCAATATATTACCTCCAGGAAAAGCATAGAGATGATAAAACAATTTTGACTGAGACAGGGAAGATGCAAACAACCTACCCACATGTTTTTCTGAAATGTTGGCCTGATATTCAACCCCTTCCACCCATGCTTTTTCAAATTTTGTTGCATCAATATTTTGTATTTTGACACACAGTTAACCTCTTTAAAGGAATAAGTAATTCCTTCAGGGGTTTTAAAGATATCCATTATGGGTGACCAAAAAAGGCTAAAACCAATGGATCGCATGAGCTTTCCCTATTTATCCCAAAGGAATAAGTGTACTTATTCCTTGTATAAAGAGGTTAACCGTGTCTCAAAACGTAATATATTGATGCAACAAAAATTGAAAAAGCAGGGGTGGAAGGGGTTGCATGTTGAAAATCTGAGGAACATTTCAGAAAAAAAACATTTTGGTGGGTTGTTTGCATCTTCCCCGTCTCAAAGTCAAATTATTTTAGCATCTCTATGAGTGCTTTTCCTGGAGGCAATGCATTGGCCTAGTAACATGCACCTGTTTAAATCCTCAGAAAATAGACAAAATCCAACATATGACTATCCGAAATCTGTTGCATTCATCTGATCACCTCTGATTGACAATGGAACATAATCTATTAGCTATATTGGGTAAGCTAAATGCACATAGTCAATATTTCATCAAAACAATAATTGATCATGTTCACTTATGATGTTTTTACAGGTTTATTGATTGTTCTATTTTTATGTTACAATAACTGTGGTATGAAATATTGATCTATATTGTCAATGCATTGCTCACCCAGGAAACACTGTTATTGTTGCAAAGTTATCTGGAAATACTACATGTATTCAGAAGAATGAAAGACACCTAGGTTATCCACTAGGAAGTATTGAATATGGTTTTATTCCAAGGTACAACATGATATTAACCAAAAAGTATAACATTTTCAAAATTTCTGGACTTTATCCTGATTCTCAAAGCACAAAATTCTCTAACCAAAATCTTTGTTTTGTCAATAAAAAATGAAGTAATAGAGCCAAACTATTAATTAACTACTGATTTTAGGAGTTTTTATTTTTTTGGAAAAATAATTATTGCAAACGTTCGTCTAGTGTTTGGCCAATGCCATGAATGTGATACCAGCAACAACGTTACGTTGGTTAGATCTAGTTATATTTCAAATGGTCTCTAGTGCTGGGCACTTTTACGGCTTATTAGACCAAATAAGCCAAAAATTATGATATTATAACAACAGAGTTTGAGATACAGCATGCCATCAACCAAACTTCAAATTGCGGGACATACTAGTACTGTAGTACAAGTTTACAAAGTTTGAGGATTAGAGAATAATGAACTTTTTAATGCTGGTAGTCCTTCTTTATGCCTGGGGGGTTCACTGTATGTAAACCTTGACGGGGATCCTCGGCGCACATGGGGTACCTTTTTTGACATTTGGTATGGCAATGGACCCAAATTTTAGAATCTGGTATGAGAATGGCCCCCAAATTATGACTTTTGAGGAATGGCAATTGTCGGATTTTTCCACTTTCTGGTATGAGAATGGTCATGGAAAATACATTACCTCTCACTTGTGGTGAGGTATTGGTTTAGTTGTTACACAAATCCTTAATTTGAGGTTGTTTTGGATCGTTTTCCTCAAAGATTTGTCTTCTTCCCAAGGCTTTAGATATTTTGAAACCCCTTGGTCTTATATCTGGATATTTGGTACGACATTGGTCCTATATTTGGACATTTTTTGGGTTATTTTGGTTGGTATAGGAACACATTGGAAATTGACAGATTGGTATGGGAATACATATTGATATCTGAGGGTTCAGACTAGGACCCCCATCAGCTTTTGTATACAGTGAACCCCCTGGGTCTTTATGTTAGATTTCTTGCCAATTGTCTATAGGTTCTAAAAGACATACTTACTTTATGTTTTACTGAAACATACTTGATTGTTTCATCCAGAATTTGTTTTGCTATTTTTTGACTCGGCTCATCTCCGATGATGTGGAATTTAATATCTATGGTGGAATGTTTCAAAAGAGACGAAACTGTCACCTTGAATTTATCTCGTAATGCATAGTTATGCTCTGCTTTTGTGAATGTCACAATTACGTCAATTTCATTTACATTTTCACTGATTCTCCTGTCAGATCTGTCATTTTTGCCATCATTTCCTTTTTCAGAAATGGGGTCCAAATTGTTTTTGATTCTAATGTTGTTTGTTTCGCTTGTAAACGTTGACTTGTTAGCGATCTGATAGAACAAATATATGGAAACTATAACTGTGATGAAAATAAGAACCTGGAGTATCCGAGATCGTAGAATCCTCATCATAAATTGGAAACAAAAATCTTTAAAGTTCATTTTCGAAAAATGAAAACAAAGGTGTTTCCCCTAAATTTTATAGTCTCAATGGTATAACTTTTTCTTAAAAATAATAGATTCAGATAATATACAAAATTTTATTTGTTGAAATGTAGTGCTATATTATATATTTGACAGTATTATTAAGAAAATATAGTTATGCAACACTATTATACGTGGAATATTTCAGTTTAAGCAGCATTGTAAAATAGGAATCCCGTGAATGACGTAAATTTGTTCAACATTTTAAGCCAATCAGGTTGCAGATATTTGACCTACTTTCAAAATATGAAATTTTTAAAAATATAAAATTTCGATAACTCGATTCTTATCTTATATTAGCAAAAATAATCCATTTTTGATGGTAAACAGTAAGTATTGGCTTTTGTAATAGTTATAGCTTTTAAAGAACTAAATATTCGGATAGCAAGTCTGTGAAACAGTGTGCACTGTATCTTGGCCCCAAAAATAAATTGGTGTTGAAAAATCAACCAGTCACACAGACAACACATTTATGGGGGTCACAGGAAGTTGTATTAAGTCCTTTTTGGGCCATTCATCTGTTCCGTGAGATTGGGGGAGGGCTAGACTATATCCTCTAGTCTGAAATTTTGGCAGAAGGGTCCGTTATACAACTTCCTGTGATGGGGGTAGGCCACGGATAATGGGAAGTTCTCCATATATCTATAGGATACTCCAGGTAAGGCATCTTGAATCAGAAAAAATGCACATGCTATCTATTGCAAGTTACTCGAGTCTCTAGCTTACAGCTAGATGAAACTTCATTGATTTCGTATGTACTGTGCTACACGCACCTACACGCACCTAGAACTCACTTTTAATAAATTTTATAAATATTTTTAAGAATATTAATCATATTTAGGATGAAGCGTTGCTTGTCTGGATTTAGATATTTCAAAATTTCATTTCGGAGTTTTGACACATGGTGAAATTTTCTCGCTGTAGCTAAAAATGGCTTCCGGTTCTCAGGGACGTGAATAACATTTGAAATTATTCTCGCTTAAAGAAATCAAATATAACAATAGATTCAGACGGGGATGTGAGCTGATGTTCTTCAAATCTATACATGAAGGTATATTTCATATTATTATGCCATATTTACTGTGCGTGTGACACAATGATTTACAATATTTATAATACTAAGGCAGCTCAATCTTCCTCCTCAAAGCCGGAATATAGAGAAGGCTTTGGACCGAAGTAAATTGCAAGACTTACGCCTGCCACAGCCATCGCCATGTTAATCAGTGTTTTTAAGTAGCGCAAGGATCCTGCCATGACCGTGGTAGTGTTATCGTGTAAGCCTGGTATAACCGTGACAGGCTGGTATAACCGTGACAATGCTGTATTATATTCCAAGGCCTGTCATGACCCTGGAAGTGTTATCGTGGAAGCCTGGCGCGACCGTAGCCTTTATTGTGGTTTATAAGCGAATCTGAACATTAATGTACAGTAGTAATTTTGATTTTGACATGATTAAGGTAGTTAAACACCATGATCATAGTGTTCAACTGTTTAATTGTAATGACAATCACTTAAAATTGTTAAGGATATTCCAAGCATTAATGTCATACATATTTACTAGTCATTGCAATACATTATAACGGTCATTGTAGGACTAAGCCTAAATTTCTACATTACCACCCTCATACCTGGCCTTGCAATACTATATTACATTGTCACGGTAAGGCCCGTAGCTAGAATTTTCCAAGGGGGGTTCGTTTTTCTAAAAAATTCTAGGGGGGGTTCACTTTGGCAAATATGGCCAAAAATCACTCAAAAAGTAGTCAGAATGGTGAAAAACTGCATGATTTTGAAAGAAATTTTGGCCAGGGGGGGGTTCGCCCGAACCCCCCCTGGCTACGGGCCTGACGGTCATACCAGGCTTAACGATCCCATAAAACATTGTCACGGTCATGCCAGGTTTTCAAATACACATGGTCACGGTCACTTATATCAATCATACATTTCTACATTACCACTCTCATACCCGAACTTGGAATACTATATCACATTGCCACGGCGGTCATACCAAGCCTTGCGATACTATATTACATTGTCATGGGCATGCCAGGCCTTGCAGTACTATATTACATTGGCACGCTCATGCCAGGCTTTGCAATTCACATTGTCATGGTTATAGCAGTCCTAATCGTAAATTTCTACATTACCACTCTCATACCTGAACTTGCAATACTATATTACATTGTCATGGTCATGCCAGTCCTTGAAGTACTATGTTACATTGTCACGGTCATGCCAAGCCTTGCAGAACTATATTACATTGTCACGGTCATGGCAGGCATTGCAATATAATACAGCATTGTCGTGGTTATACCAGGCTTTCACGATAACATTACCACGGTCATGGCAGGATCCTTGCGCTACATAAAAACACTGAATAACATGGTGACGGTTACGCCAGGCGTTAGTCTTGCAACAGATAGGGTCTCAAAAAATGGCCTCCGCCCTGAGATATCATTATTCACTGGCATTACAACTGTCTATACTGTAGTCTAAATTCATAAACAGCACTTTCAAAAGGTTTATACTAGTAATATCACGATCACCTCTTATTTGTTTTGAATTTTTTGTTATGGAATAAGACCAAATTTGGCGATTCAAAATCTGAAGCGGGAAAAATATTCGAAATGGCGGCTTGAATTTGTAATTACAACATCCTTCAGATCGGCCTATTCACTCATAACAGGCGGAGCAGGGATCAATTCAAAATTCTCCGATTTGGTTCATTATCTGACCGAAGCCAGTTTGAGGTGAGAATCAGGAGAATCGTGTAAACATGCAAAAATTTTTTGTTTTACATTGGATTGAAATGATTTGAGTTTCAGCAGTCTCAGTCATTTAACAGGCCTATATACTTTTTAAGATATCTGAGGTATCAAGCAGTGGGTAGAATTGAAGGTGTTGAAATTCAGACATGGGTGTTTTAATCCTGAGCTTACATGTAGGTGTTCAAAAACAGAACAATGTTATGTGTTAAACCTGCATGGTCAGTCACTTATGTTGGGTGCCCTCATGTTGGCTGCGGCATAGACATGTATCATCTCATTCATCTGTTATCAACTTAGTTATTTCAGATTTAATGTCTAGTTATATAAGTCACTAGTACCAGTCATATCTGATCTTTCACTAGATATTGCGGTCATCTCAATTTTAATCATGTCATTTTGATACCTCAGAAAGTATCGTTTAAAGCACAATGCAAACTATTATTACTTGTGCATAAACTTTGTTAGTAAACATAGCACTGCATTACAAATCATATTTTTAGATTAATATTCTGAGCAGTACTGAACATTACGTAAGACGGATGATGGAGAATCTACGCTCAAAAAACCTGGACCTTCTTCGGAAACTTCAACATGGCCAGCAGAAACTCAAACTTAAATTATCACCACGTAGCAACAAAACCACCAGTAGAATTCTTAACTCTGACAGAAGGAGTAATAAAAATGCTCCGAATACACCTGCATCAGCTAGAAGAAAATTAGAAGCACTGAAAAAACATCATCTCCATTCAAGCCATCATCGAAAAGCCTTGTCTGAGGATAACAATCAGAAAAACTTAGAATCTTCCCTACTTAATGCTTATGAATCCGCCTTAGCTGGGAGCCCTGATTTACGTAACTTCAAGGCAATGTCAAGTACTCCAAAATTTGATTTAAGAACTAAACGTATTACTTCGCCAAAGTTTAGAATTGGAGTGAGACATTCTCCTAAGATACCATTCAGTAAACTGAGTCTCAAAGAGAAATTGAAAATCGAGGATGAAAATTTAGTGAAAGTGACACCTCCAAGGCCAACAAAACCGACCATAGATACCCCAAAATCAATTTTGAAGAAACGGAAAATTATCGATGATAACATTGTTGTTGATTCCAAATTTGATCATGGAGACCTGTCAAAAAGTAATAGGAATAAACGAGGATTAAACTTCTCCTACTCAAATATTGATGATTCTGTGTACATTCCGCCTTCTCGCTCCACAGAAAAGAAGAGAAAAGTGAGCCCCAAGAAAGTCCACTATCAGGCTAACAGGTAAACTATCATGTCTATAGTAAGTGTAGTGTATGTATTGTAGGTATATGAATTTTAAATTGTAATAACAGCTTTGGAATCAAATATTTAACTACATGTTAAGCATAGCTATAGATATATGTAGGTTACACATATGAATACTCATTGATCAATTGATTTTATCACCTTTATGAATGTACAAGTTAAAATGTCACATTATTTCAGTTTTCCCATGACTTTGAGGTCACGATTGGAGCCAGACAACCATGATGATCGTTTAAATGATCCTGGAAATGATCGTTCATACTCAACAATGGTTAGGAATCTTAGTCAGGATCCGAAGTCTATTCTACTTTCAACTGGTGTGAAAACTCCTAAAAAGGTACTTTTGTCCCATTTTTTAAAAACTTGTTCAATGTATGCTGTATATAATTTGTGTGATCTTTCAAATCATTTTGAGAATGAAAAATGATACCAAAGATTATCAAAATCAATATCATAAAACCATCAATCGTAGAATCTCTCTAGCCCCACTGTTTATCATTTTCAGACACCAAATAAGGTTCATTTCAAGAACTTCAGAAATTCAAGTCAGGATTGTGCTAACTCAAGCCATGATGTCTCAAGGCAACACTCATTTTGCAGTCCTGCAAACACCTCCTTGACTGGCTCAGCTAGGCGCAGGTCAGCACGGCTACAGCAAAGAGATGGTAACCATATCCTCTATTATCAGATTAAATTGAAAATTGCTCCCAGAAAAATAAAAACATTAATTTTTGGATTTTTCCTCTTATTTATGTTGTTTTTCTTCATCATTTTCATACATAATAATAAAATGTTTAATTTCTGCCAGTGTTGTGTAATATTCTGTAGTTTCATCTACATTTACTCATTTTCGAAGCTCATTTAGGTGGTAACAACAGTATTTTGGATTATCACTATCAAAATAATATTTGAATAAAAATAACAATTGACAGGGGTTTCATGAGATGTCAAACAATAGACAAAAAATATGAAAACAATCGGCAAAAATTATAATTTCAGCATGGTTAGTTAAAGTGTCTGTAAAAACAACAGGAAATAATGAAACCCCTGGATTAACAATATTTTATAAAACATAAAAAAACTACATGATTGCTGATTCATTGTATATGTATTCTATTGAAGGTCAACAGCCACTGCTAGGTTATGACTTCATTGCTGGAATGTTGGATAACACAAAAACATTCAGTGATTTCCCTGATGATTACTTCGAGAATCTCAAAGAGTTCCGTAGAGTTAATAAAGAAGACTGTGTTAGCAGTGCAAGAGGGTGAGTGAAATATGAATTTCCAAGAGAATATGTATTACTATAGTTGACATGTTAATATCTTACAAGGCAAAGTTATTAGTTATCACTTGTTTCAACTTATATAAACATTGTCACATCACACAAATTACATCATGCTTACAGTGAACAATTTCCTTACTTCAATCTGTATTTTGGTGAGCAGTTTAAATTATTAATCTATCCAGATATTTATCAAGAGTCAGGCATTTTCACGCCCGGTGATCGTGAAAATGGGACGGAGGGGGGAGCAAGCAATTTCTGGTAGAAAAATGAACAAATCTGCAAACATTATTTTTTTAGAAAAGGTTTATGATTTAATTGGTAAACGAATAGGCGCACGGTATGGTAAAATATGTCACATATTCTACAAATTTTTTTTAGCCGATTCTCTTCTATAAGATATATAGGTATAAGATCTATTAAAAAAAATGCTACGCCACCAACGTGCAAAAGTCAATGTTTTTGCTTTAAATCAAGCATCAACGGTCTACACAACCTGCAATAAATATTTGTAAGTGACATTATCATCATAAAATTAATGACCTTAATGACTTAACAAAATATGTTTCCATACGTTGTATAAAAAATAATCGAAAATAATTAAAATGGGACTTGCTCCCCCCTCCGTCCCATTTTCACGATCACCTGGCGTGTTTTATATCTGGATGATCTTTTGCAATGAAATCATTCCTTCATACATTATTCTTTCTAGGCACAGTGCCCTCCTGAAATAAATATAAAAAATAATGAAATACATATACACGTACTGCGAAATTTAGAGAAAAATCATCTCAGATAGTACATGTACTTCATTTAGTTATAAATATTCTACAGCTCCCATATTTCTTTCTCCGCATCAAATATTATCAAGAAAAAATTGAAATGAATCTTATATTCTTGTAAGTTGAATTCCAATTTTCCAGAGACAGTATTTATATTTTATATAATAATTAGTATTTATATTTTATATAAGTTGCATGTGTGCTCTTTGAGGATGAGTGCTCTTTAATGAGAATGGTATTAGTTCTTATCCCATACACTCCATACACTGTATCTCAAATTTAGTAAATATTTGAATTTATATTTATTTAGCTCTACATCAGCTCCACCAGCTCCTGAACCAATTTCTCCTGATGTTGAACCACTGGAACATACATGTAAGAAAACCATCTTTATATATAAATTCATGGAGAATTCTTTGAAAATTGAATTAATTGATAATTGTAATAACAGATTCATTCTTTTGTTTCTATTGTTAATTGATACCATAAAACTGGAAACTTTGTGAACTGGCTGGACTTCTCCCTGAATATGTGACGTTAAAAGATGAGGACTAACCAAGAATTTTAAAAAGAACATCGTTACATAAAGATAGGTTCATTGAATTGTGGGTTATTCACCCTTCTAGTTTGTATAGCTAGTGTCCACAAAAATAGATTGCTTGTATATGCATAATTAGATATTCATGACAAATATGGCAAAATAACGACAAAGTAATTGCATAAAATTACAGTAAATCTAACATTTAATTCTTCAGGTATTCATGGTTATACAGTGAATAAGAGACTGTTTACTGTACCCATGAACACAAATGAAGAGGGCAAAAGTAGATGCCCTATCTGTAATAAGGAAAGAAAGGACCCAAATTCAGAATCCCCAGCCTTTGTCAGGTAAGGAGATATTTCAGTCATAATTTTATGGTCAACAAGGCATTAACATGTAAAATGTCACTACCTTCCACTTGTTGCCGACCACCACCACAATAAAATTGGAGACTATAGCATTTTGTTTTGCAAATCGAAGTGATTCCATATACATGTAGTTTTAGACCGTGTTTCTCTCACATTACTTTACTTATGTAATTGAAACGAGTAGGTGATCTTTTTTCATTTTAATGCTTTGTGATGTTTATTAACAATTATTTTGACTGTCATCGAGTTCACTTGCAGCAAATTCAAGTATTACATAGCTGACATGTTTCAATACCCAGTTTCATAGCAATTGATATGGTCAAGCACAGAATTTCATTCTGTGTTTTCATAAACAACAAATTGTTCCTATCAGTTATTCTCATCTGGACTAGGCCTACCAAAACGATTTCTCCGAGTTCTTCTAAAATTCATCTAAAACTTACAATTAAAATTGTCTTGTATTTCAATTACTGTACTTGTAGGATCAGTATACCACGGTCGACCCTGCTGACCCCATATAGAGTGAAACCTCACAGGAGGAAAAGCTATGACCCAACTGACTCATGTGCTCTATCAGAGGTAGGTAATGCATAATTCAGAATTTCTATTTTATACACAGAAAGATGTCACTATAGTATGGTTGTATATCACAGCAGCTTTTAAACTTGTCGTCAGGGCTCAAGCATAATGACTTTTGCATTCAGGAGAAAATGTTTTAGAAAGGACTCATTGTAACCATTACATTAACAGGGAGCAATTTGAAGGAGCAGATATTATGCATGTATTGTAACATTTTTATTTTCGTAAAACAACTCTGATAAAGAGCCATTGTAACAGATTTTTTCAGGTATTAAGCATGGGCTTTCAATAGATTTATTGAATGCCCATGATAAGAGGCAGCAAATATTTTTCTCTAAGAACTGAAATTTCTCAGAGAAGTGATTTCCTTTTATGCAAGTTTAAGCAACAAATTTTTGCTCTGCTCTAGCTAATTATGAGCAATGCTGGTACATATACACAATGCTCTTACTTTATATGTAAATTGGTCTTTTATTGATTGGTAAACTAGCCATAGTAATGATGATTTTAAGTTTACATTAGATACTATAATCTGTTTCTGTCAATAATGCCGAGCAACAGTTGATTGTTATTTTTTAATGATTTTTTTATGTTTGAGAAGTGTTAATATGTATGTTCACATATCTCTATGTTATTAACTACAAACATTTGCAAATATTTATGCAATTGATAAATGAGTATGGTGCATGTATACCAGGTCATTCTGTAGGTTTTCTAAACATCACTTTTATTTTTTCTGATTTTCAAAATTTTTCATTATTTAGGGGTCATGTTGGTGTTGACTTAGGCTAGAATAATTTGCCTTCAAACTATGGTTGTTAAATATTGAATTATATGAATAATGGATACCTTGTTCTTTGACATAATATACCATAATACCATACTTTGATTAACCAAAGCGTGGGTTAATCACATCCTCCGAACGCAGGTTTCCATACGTCATCCACTTCCTTCTTCTAGCTAGAAGAAGGAGGTACGAGTTCTGGAGGCTTGGGTTTGGAGGATGGTAAATCAAAAAAGCCTTGCAATTCCATCTCCCTTTATGAGCAATGGTGGAAAGTGGAATCAGAAGCATATTGTGTATTGTTATTGTGTTGTATTACAGCATTGTTTGGCTGGTTGGGAATATATTGTGTATTGTTATTGTGTTGTATTACAGCATTGTTTGGCTGGTTGGGAATATATTGTGTATTGTTATTGTGTTGTATTACAGCATTGTTTGGCTGGTTGGGAATATATTGTGTATTGTTATTGTGTTGTATTACAGCATTGTTTGGCTGGTTGGGAATATATTGTGTATTGTTATTGTGTTGTATTACAGCATTGTTTGGCTGGTTGGGAATATATTGTGTATTGTTATTGTGTTGTATTACAGCATTGTTTGGCTGGTTGGGAATATATTGTGTATTGTTATTGTGTTGTATTACAGCATTGTTTGGCTGGTTGGGAATATATTGTGTATTGTTATTGTGTTGTATTACAGCATTGTTTGGCTGGTTGGGAATATATTGTGTATTGTTATTGTGTTGTGTTACAGCATTGTTTGGCTGGTTGGGAGTGCTCCAAGCCTTCTATGCTACCCAGAGCTTCAACTGTGGATCTCAGACAAGCTGCTGATGGTATCAAAACCAAACTGTCTACAGTAAGAAACCACCTATTCAAACCTACTTAAAGAATACGTTTTAACATTGTTGATTGTTCAGCATTTTGCCAAAATAAATGTTTTCATTTGAACTTCCACCTCATGAAAATGCCATTTTCATGAAAGGATTACACACACATGAGTACAACGTTAGAAACAAATACTAAAATCCTACTAAATACAAATAGTATTGCATGTGTGCCACTGACAAAAAGATAAATAAGCAATGATGGAATGCCATAATTAATACCTCATGTATTTGTAGTTAGATGCTCATTATTAATACAATGCATATTACACACTACAAATGTTCAATGATGCAGAGCTTTTTTAGATATTTTATAGTTTATACATGGTCTTTAGTCCTGTATGAGTATGGAATAGATATTATTTCTAATCCAAGCAAACAACATATATGGTATATTTATTTTAATATTTTAGCTTTTTTGATTTTGTAATGACCGATGGAAGAAACATAACAGCATTTTCATATTTTTCAGACTCTTCTTGAAGCAGAAATATTAGCCAAAGATTCAACAAAACAATACCGAGTTCCTATAGCAACACCATCGCCTAGAAACACAATGTATGATCTCCGTAGCAACAATAGTATCATCACAGATGACTTACTGAACACAACACATAGCTTGAGATATCAAATGCAACGCATGGAACAGGATAGGAAGATCAGGAATAAGATAAATCAATCAAGAAATCATTCAATGAAACTTTGAACTGGATACAAATCAAAAATTGGCCTGAGACTGTGGTGTGATAAAAACACTGAGAAAAGAGTGTGCTGTGATAAAAACGCTGAGAAACTGTATATTCACATCGGAATAGCCTGACAACGGTAAAGTCAGATACCATTGTCACAAATGGTGGACATAACTGTCTGACTTAACCGTTGTCAGACTATTCCGGTGTGATATTCAGTATAACTGTATGTTAACCAGAGTGAAACTCTTAATTTTTACTTGGATTAAGATATGGTGCTTGTCTACTTTGGTTGTCAAGCAATAAATGAAACAAAAACACAAAAATCAAAATAAAATGAATTTTTTCAGCAAGTATGAAATGAATCATATTTAAAAGAGAATGACAATTTTATATTTGTGTATTTTTATTTCATTTATTGTGTAGCCCAAAGGACCATTGTTATGTTCTCTCTAATACCAATCCAAGTTGAGGATTCTGCTACTCTAAATAACTAATTTTGAAAGCTTAATTTTTGCCTTCCCTAATTTAGCTTGAATCATTTTTTTCTGTATTAGTTTATTTTTTATGAATCACTTTGAAAAACAGTTTGTTAATAGTCTCCCAGGAGGTCTTTCAGGGGTTCCATTAGCAGTAGGTAACAGAAAGACTTGTCTGGCAAGTTGTTATGAAAAATTCGAATAAATCCCTTTGATACCCCTCCCTTGCTGAATGCAGTCTCATGTTTCACACTATAATTCTCCATATTTGTAATAGACTGATAGACCATTCCAGTAAATCTGCCACCTATTGGGTACAATGTCATTCTTTCAGTTTCAGGGAAGAAATAGGATTAACTTGTTTGTGGGTAAATTTCAAAACATTTTGTACATTTTGTACATTTTGTGTACACACATTGCAAAATATGACGTCATACATTCAGCCAATAAACATTAGTTGCCAGCTCACCAAAAATGGTCAGGATGTATTGGAACTATTGGTCTACTGTTTAGGATGTGAGTAGTGGAAAAAATAATAGGATATTTTTAATCTTATCATCCAAAAACAAGCAGAAATTAATTAATCAGAATAGCAATGAACAAAATTGCTTAGAAATTAGCACGAAACATTTGAAACGACCTCTAAAAAGCATGTCATTGATGTTTGCACAAGATTGTATATACAATATAAGTACTGAATTAAAGATTTAATAAGTTATTCAATATTCAATGGTTTACTTGTTTATATTAGTACCCCGGACAGGTTGTATGATGCAGTCATTTTTTTACTCTATATTTGCAATAGAACAACCATTCTTATCAAAATTTTCATATGTTATTCTGGAGACAATTTCCAACATGGAAAAAAAATATTTTAACGAAATTCCCAATTTTATGATTTTGACAGGCTTTTTTCAAAAACACTACACTGTCAATAAAATACAGGTTTTTGCTTGAACAATTGAACTTTTAACGTCATTTCAAATATTGTCTGGCTATTGAATTTTCGGCCGCCTAAAGTCTTTCCAGATATATCTGTTGCCATATTAATAACTATGGCTGATTATTGTTATTCACTTGAGTCATATTCAATATTATTACAGTGGACCAGGACAATAAAAACTTGTTGCTCTGGGTCTTGTTTTGTGAAATGTTCCCTAGATTGAGCCCAGATAGAGGAGGTCAATCTTCTTGTCCACGGACATGAGTTCAACCCGATTCGAACTGTTCAATACTGTCCAAAATGAAGTAAAACATTACGAATCTCCAATTTCAAGTATTCTTGGCATTAGATCCTTCAGATATGTTAATATAGCTGTGTCAAATTTTATCATGAAATTGTCAGGGAGACCTGACATTTTAAAAGCATGGTACAATTTACGTGCCATGGGCTTGCATGCTGAGTGATGGTGGCGGAAAAAACCAGTGGAGAAAAAGGTGCGTTATCAGAGGAAACATGACTCAGAGTGACAAGTTTTTCATTGGCCTAATGCACTGTAACAATATTAGGCCTATTGAATATGACAAAAATAAATAACAATAATCAGCCATAATTAATATGGCATCAAATACATCTGGAAAGACTTTAGGCTGCCAAAAATTCAATAACTAGACAATCTTTGAAATGAAATTAAAAGTTTAATTGTTCAAGCTAAACCTGTATTTTATTGACAGTGGAGTGTTTTTGAAAAAAGCCTATCAAAATCATAAAATTAGGAATTTCGTTAAAATATTTTTTTTCCATGTTGGAAATTGTCTCTAGATTAAAATATGAAAATTTTAATAAGAATGGTTGTTCTATTGCAAATATAGAGTAAAAAAACGACTGCATCATACAACCTGTCCGGGGTACTATATAACTGAAATGATTGTTCTTTCGATTTAGACCAGTGTGAAAGAAATTATGGTCCCCGGGGATTATGGTCCCCCTTCTTAACGGCCTGTGTAACACCTGTGTAAAAGGGTAGGTGGTACTATCAAATTTTGGTCCTACTCTCTATTGATTTACATGGCGACCTATTTACAATTATTTTTCCTTATTATTTATACACAGTAGGGGCCGTAAGGAAAGGGGACCATAATCCCCAGAGCACCATAATTTCTTTTACACTGGCATTGCCTGCTTATTTTGAACTGGGAACATGAGTTTTTGTATTAATGTAAATTATTTATGGAAGTTGAAATTCACGAAGTTGAAAGATTTTATGTATCATTCTCATATTTATTTCAAGTATTCTGTTCTATACATCATGTTAGTGGTAAATTGGCCATCTACAGTTCTTATTATTCACAAATACAATGTGTAGCAGGGCAGTTTCCAATAGCACAGTTGTCTATGCACCACTGGTCCATTCCCGGACCTGCGTATTCTTCGGTTGCATAACACGTTCCTGTTGCAGATGTAGTTGTTCCAGCTGCTACTGTTGTTGTTGCTCCAGCTGTTGTTGTTGTTCCAGTTGTTGTTGTAGCAGTGGTCCAGGAAGTTGGAGTTGTATCAACTGTGGTTGTCGTACCAGTCGTAGCAACTGGGTCATTCGAACCTACACTTATATCGGAGCAACCATAAAACTCTTCTTGGGGTCCACATCCAACACATTCTGTGCCATCTGGGTCAATGCCCCAACTGTTGGCTAGGATTAGACAGAAGAATGATTAATGCTTATGAGCATAAGTTTAATTCTTATATTAAATGAGTACACATGCATATTATCTGAGACTAACATATTTTATGATAGTCCCAGATATTACTTTATATTGGAAGCTACATGATGGACTCTACTGATATAACATTGTTCATTTTTCATCAAAATGTGTTTAGTATGCTTGCCAAAATATTCTCTTCCGGGGTTGAATGACTTTTACTTGGACTGAATGACATTTACTAATGCATTTATAAGTACATGATCGCTGGGAGAACAAGGACCACAAGGGAGGGGTTGAGGAGTTCACAAATGATTCAGCTAAAACAGCACTTCATAACTTAATTCATGATTTAAAACACAAACCCGTCTTGTATCTCCACTGAAGAACGCATTGAGAGCAGGATAACCCAGATGGCAGTTGGACAGACACCGTGTAATTCCTCTTTAAGTCATCGGGGACATAAAACCTACATTCATATATATTAATATTGTATATTAAATGTGTTTTTGGTCGTTGGGAGAGCTGTTTATTTGGATGTATACAATTTTGCCAAATGATCTGATATAACATGATTGAATGCGCATATCTGACTATTAGATATATACTGTAGCTTGTAATATACACAACGTGTTGCCATTGAAAGAAACCAAAGAGCAATGAAATTGGAGCATTTAAAGCCCATAATTCGGGAAACTCACCTCGTGTCAGAGGTCCCAGCAATGGTTAAAAGGTTCTGGTCGAGACAATCATGCGTGATGACTTTGGTGACATTGTTATTGACACAGAGACGATACTCAAAGAAACCCCAATGGTTGGCTGTCAGTTCAACAGTCACATCGAAGACGCTCCCCACCTTTGATAATATCATGCACATTATGGAGGTAGATGTCATGAAAATAGAGGGCGAATATTTTCACATTTGGCTCTAGTGTTATGTTTATGCCAGATTTGTAAACGTACCTCGTAATTTGCGACAATGATTCCATTAGCATAAGTTCCACCAGCTTCATTTGGCCACGGTCCGTCCCAGGGATCACCACACACTCCACACTTTCCGTCATTCACGTTTTGTTGATGCTAAAGCAACATACATTTCGTCACTACACGTATTCCCTCATAAATTAAGTCCCCAATGTAATTGATTCGCTGGCTAGGAAAATTCGTGATCTGCGACGATCGATTATGATTAATACATGGGCTTTCAACATGTGGATTAATACTATCGGCTGTTTGATTTTCTTGTTCAATCATCTTGCATTTAGTGGAAGAGGGGCTTATCTAATTCACATAATATAAAGAAACATTGTTACCCCGAATCCTCCACAGAAAAGTTCGTTGTCATTATAGTTCACTGGATTATCGTAGCCCCATCTGAATAAGGTTGATCGTCCCGATGGCCACCACAATCTGAAGTACAAGTTTCAACCAATTCTAGTTATTATCAAGATAATATCTTCAATACAAAATACTTTTTTGACGAATGCGGTAAGTAAGACATTAGTATATGTCAATTATTGTTATGGTCTCGTTTTTGTGCTTTGATGCCAAATTTGAAAATATAAAGTGAATCGTCGCCCAAGGGGTCAACATCTCTGAATAGGAGGATAAGACTATTTTCTTGATATACATTACTGGAAATCTCTGAATCTTTCTCCATTGACTCATCTCATTCTATGTACTTTAAAATCATAACGGTTCAACATACCTTCCATGTCCATCGACGGATACAACCAAAATGGCTATAATGCAGAACACCTTCATACTGTTGACCTCACTGTTAAAGTGAAAGACTTATATAAGGTTGAGAACAGGGCAGCGGATGTACTTTAATGTATTATATGACTTCACCATCTGGGCGGGCCTCAACAACACGGCAATTTTTGATTTATTTCTGATAATAACGAATTTGAATTTTATCAATGCCAGAATATAATTAGGCCTAATATTAAAGTTTTATTACTTTTTTGACTGATAATAATTTTTGACTTGCCCTTGGTACAACATACCAAATAATTTCTTCGCGTGAAAATACCTCCTCGACCTTCTTCTATTGACATTTTTCTGACCAAAAACAAAAAGTTTTACATCTATCACATAATTTTCTTATTGAGCATTCACTTCAACCACCTTTTTTATTTCTCTGTCAAAGATATTAGGAAGCGATGGATGTGTTTTTATTCCATTTATACTCCAAAAAGAAAGTAAATATCCGACTGAATATTATAAAATATTTTTCATTTTATTTATACACAGTTAGTTACAACCAAGTTACACAGTAACAATGTGAAGCAGGGCAGTTTCCAATGGCACAGTTGTCTATGCACCATTGGTCCATTCCAGGACTTGACGCATAAAGCTCGGTTGGATAACATCCAGACTCAAGAGCAGACGTAGTTCCTGATCCAGCTGTGGTTGTAGTTGAGGCAGCTGTGGAGGTAGTTAGGGCAGCTGTGGTTGTAGTTGGGGCAGCTGTGGTTGTAGTTGGGGCAGCTGTGGTTGTAGTTTGGACAGCTGTGGTTGTAGTTGGAGCAGTGGTTGTTGTCCAGGCAGTCGAAGTTGTATCAACTGTTGTAGTCGTACCAGTGGTAGCAACTGGGTCATCAAAACCTATGCTTATATCAGAGCAGCCGTAGAACTCCTCCTGTGGGCCACAACCAGTACACTGAGTACCATCAGGGTCAGTTCCCCAACTGTTTGCTAGTGACATGTAATCAAATATAAGTGATGATAACTGGATTAAACACCAGCGTTGTAAACTTGGGTCAGCTCCACTACCAGTGAATACGAAATGAATGCCACAAGAAACTAAGATCAACTTCTAGACAAACACTCATATTTTACGTACGAATAGGCCAGAGCGGTCGGGATAATTTGTATGGCTGGACTGTCACGGTGACAGTGTCACCACATTTTAAGTGTTAATAGTAGGACTGACATCGTGTCTCTCCGGCATTCACATAACCTATCACTAGACTTGAGGCCAGCTACAAATGTATTTGAGGCCAGCTACATGAATGTATTTGTGACCAGCTACAAATGTATTTGTGGCCAGCTACAAATGTATTTAAGGCCAGCTACAAATGTATTTGAGGCCAGCTACATATGTATTTGAGGCCAGCTACATATGTATTTGAGGCCAGCTACAAATGTATTTGAGGCCAGCTACAAATGTGTGAGGCCAGCTAAAAATGTATTTGGGGCCAGCTACAAATGTATTTGAGGCCAGCATCCATAACTTCAATGAACACAAGACAATGTAAGATGAAAATGGCCAATTTTGGCACCAGTATGATAGAAACTAATTGTTCTGACATCAGGGACATACCTGTCTTGTATCTCCACTGAAGAACGCACTGAGAGCAGGATAACCCAGATGGCAGTTGGACAGACACCGTGTAATTCCTCTTCAAGTCATCAGGGACATACCACCTATATATATTTATAATCCCTCAACACCATCTGACCTTGTATTCGCGAATAGTACTTGCCACTATTCTATTCATATTAAAATGAATTGGTCATAAAATAGTATCGTAGGTTAATCCGGTAGCCGACAGCCAAAAGTTGCATTCGCAAATACATGCATTTTGTAATCCACCTATTTTCAGCTTAATAGTACCATTTGAAAAAGATCAGGGCCAGTGACGTCATTCTGGATGCTCAGGGGCTCTCTTCTGAATACTAAAACTTTTTTTGTTCAGAGAAAGAAACTAACCTAGTGTCAGAGGTCCCAGCGATGGTTAAAAGGTTCTGGTTGAGACAATCGTGCGTGATGGTTCTGGTGACGTCGTTATTGACACAGAGACGATACTCGAAGAAACCTTTATGGTTGGCTGTCAGCTCAACAGTCACATCAAAGACGCTCCCCACCTTTGAAAATGTAAGTGTACATCATAAAGCAACGTGCCAAGAGAATATACTTTGGGATCACGCTGTTGTGGTTAATTCCAGTACCCGCCGAAGCATACCTCATAATTTGCGACAATGATTCCATTAGCATAAGTTCCACCAGCTTCATTTGGCCACGGTCCGTCCCAGGGATCACCACACACTCCACACTTTCCGTCGTTCACGTTTTGTTGGTGCTAAAACAACATACAGTTCGTCAATACACGTATCCTACCTGATTTAAATGTGCTTCGCTGGCTAGAAAATTGAGCTTGAGTCGCTTATCTAATGCACATATCTTGAAGAAACAATGTTATTCACCCCGAATCCTCCACAGAACAGTTCATTGTCATTGTAATTAGGTGGGTTATCGTAGCCCCATCTAAATAGGGTTGATCGTCCCGAAGGCCACCACAATCTAAATTATAAGTTATAGCAAGGATGAAGAAGGTCCAAGAGTGTCCGATGGATTAGGAAAGGAATTTTCAAAAGATTAAGAAAACTACATGGATTTCAGCTTATGCCTTGATTAAAGTTTACATGAAATTACAAAAAGTGGCGTGTCACTTTTCAATAATATAAACTCCTATAGAAATACAATAATTTTTTAAATTGTTTAGTCACCTACATAACATAACATAATTAGCTCAAAGTTTGAATGGCCTAATATACGGGTGTCGAATACAGTCCTATTTGTTCTTACGGACAGCGGAGACTTCAACAATGCAATCGCAATGATGTAACAATCAATCATTCGATACCATCCAACCATCAAAAGCTTAAAACGACTCCGAATAAGCACTTATTGATTCATGCCTCATATATAGGACACACGTTTTTATGACATATATGGTATCAAGTCCCTACCTTCCATGTCCTGCCACAGACACAACAAATATGGCAATGAGGCACACTAACACAACACGTATCTTCATTTGAATTGATCAGATCGGGGTCCTACAAAGCTGTTCTGTACGACTCAACTCTTCAAAGCAGGGTGTGTTCATATTATTCTTCAGGCTTCTGGGGTTTGATTTATTCGTTTTTTGATAAAACGTATGTTATCAGAAGTCAATATATAAAAACAGCAAAATCAGTAAATCAAAACTTAGGTCACATGCAAGACATCTATCATGACCATTGATGTGAATCCAAAGAACAATCTTGGATTTTCAGAGAATCTTGGAATTAAACTCATAATCGTCTGACAGTGGGGAGGGTCAATTGATAGTCTTGGTAAGTTTCTTAAATCGGATTTGTATTGTTGTAACAGGTTTTGTTTTACACAGGCCTGCTAGACTTCCACTAACGCGACCATCAGTTCCGACCTCGCGAATTATGTTCCTTCCACCCAGGTCGGAACTGATGATCGCGTTTGTGGAAGTCTATATGAGGCACGTTGCAGTGTTCTATTTTCTAATTTCTTTCTTCAGGCTAATAATTTAGGCTAATTCTTTAGGCTAATGTCTTCCACTTTGTACAGGCGACTTGAGCCTCACTTTCAGGGTAAAAGCAAACGTGATATCAGATTTTAGATGATTAATCAAAATGTTCATTTAATAAAATTAGTCCTCTGGGATTTAGGTTATTGACTTATTGCAGGGCGGAGTTGTCTGCTCATTGTGTTAATATATATTAGCGAGTTATCAGCAACACTGTAAAAATCACAATAATATTGTTCAAGAAAAAAATGTTCAAAAACTATATAGCAGATTCACCTCATGCAGACAGATCGCCTTAAATTACATTCGTATGATGCGAGACTCGACATTCACCAGGAAAGGAGAAACATTTTGTAACCCATGAAGCAAATTAATTTTTACTGCTTTATAAATGGTCAATGACAGTCACATTGAGTTCTATAAGTATGAGAGAAGCATGACGTCTTGATATTTCAAAGTTTTGTTCGAAAAGTGATGGCGGTGATTGAAATTACGATGTAAAGATAAAACCGTATTGAAATCTTCGTAAATTTCTTTGAGAAATTCATACGAATGTAATTTTAGGCGATCTGTCTGCATGGGGTGAGATTACCCTTTCCCATACGGCCATACATTTGATTTGAAAACTGGGCACTGGCCACTTCTTTAAGTACATTGATTTAGATTATCTTAAAGAGAGCTCAATGGGTTTAACAGGAAATACTTTACATCAATGCTGTCACGCTATCATGGAAGAAAATGCTCTAATATTATTGTGTTTTAAATACCGACTTCAGACTTGAATAGAGACATAATTTTGAGGAGTCAACTTTGATCATTTGTAAAATTAAGACACAACTTGAACAAATCCAGCATATGAGGACAGTCATCTACCTATTTCTATCAGGTTTATCACAGTAGATAAATGTTTATAACTTATGCACTGTAACTACATTATATTGGTAACATTATATCTTAAGGTTGACAAGATAAATCAAGCTAAATAAACACTAGACATTCAATAACTTTTGATTAGAGGTGATAAATGATAGCCACCTGTTGCAGTTATACAGTGAAACCACTAATGATGAAATAGATTCATAATTTGTAATTTTGAGACTAAATTCTCAAAAAGGTAAGCCAACTGGTTTCTCAAAATAAGCTTAATTTTCAAAAAAAGCGTGCCTATTATCTTCCAAACATTTCAAAATTGTGGCCAACATTTTTTCTGACCAAGCTCTGTTGTTTTTCTAAATAAAATCTTTTTATAGGCTACCCACAATCTCCGGATCAGCAACTGGAATATTGATAACTGAATGAACCTAGTCTATCTATATAAGCAGTAGCCCTGGACCCAGCAGCTCAGTACATTGTGGTCAATCATTCCTCAAAAAGGTCTTAATTCAACCTTTGCACAGCATCAAGTGTGAAGATTAGGAAATAACCCTGAGTGGAATGGATCAGCCATAATGCATCAAGGCTTTGGCATAAATTCTTTTGACACATTGCAAAATACATTGTACAAAATCAACTAAAAAAATCACTAAAAGAACAATGAAACTTTTAGCAAGGGTCAAGTTGGCAAAAGCATCAATTTCAATCCATAGAGTCAAGTTGGCACCTTGACAACCATTCAATGAATGACCTTGCTTGAGTTGTTTGTTATATAATGCAGTGCAGTTATATGAAATACTGTGTTCAGATTGGCTGAAATCAGACACACCTTGCCTAGCTATGTGTGAATTAATAACAAGACCTATAGATCATATAAAATGAATTCACGTTCAATCCAGTATTGGGCATCAAAAAGGACCTCAATTTATAGAAGAGATAGAGATTTATTAGATAAACTAGCCTTTGACACGTTTATTTGTTTGCTTCTTTATTCCAAAGAATACATTGTAGTTTACATTTTAGTCAAATTTGACACACCATTGCCGCTTAGTAAAGGTATCCACATGTACAGTACATCTCAGTAGCATATACTAATTAAAATCAGTTACTCAGATTCTGATTACATATTTAGCACAATTTTTTCTCTTCAAATGTCCATGCTTACGAGCTTGAAATATATAGCACCTACTGTATATTGACATATAACATAAGACTATGTATATCTAGTATATGCATTATCCATGCAAAGTAAAACCAAGGCATTAACATGACAAAATGTCACCACCTGGTTGATCAAATCTGAAATCTAAAGTCAGATATGAACTTCTGAGAATTTGTGAATGCTTTTGAAAAATAAATTGGTCAATTTGAAGCACGTTGAAAAAGAAATTTTGACCTTTTTGACCTTGAGAAGGTCATTGATGGTCAAATCTCAAATCTAAAGTCAGATTTGAACTTCTGAGAACTTGTAGATGATTTAGAAAAAATTGAAATCAGTCTTAACAACAGTCAGTATTTGTTAATTTATAAAAAGATGCAAGAATTTGTTACAGACGCCAACCACCAACCGTCGTTACAAAAAAGGGAGACAATAACAATATGTCACCACTTTTTGGTGGTGACATAATAAAAATTAACATCATATCACATGTGATACAAAACTACAACAACTATTAAACCAAAATGGCAAACTCAGCAGTTAAATAATAGGATTGACTTTTCTATTTCGAACTATTCTGGGATTGATGCCTTGTCTCATAGATTTCATGGCCATAGCACGATTGAAATGACGCTGTATTTTTGATGATTCGCCAAAATCTTCAAGGGTCGAATCAAGAGAGGTAAGAATTCCACAGAGCACTCCCATAACAAGAAAGAGAATGATGAACAGTGTATAATAAGTGACTGTACTATCAGGATGGGCTTGCATTTCTCGTAAATGTGCCAACGCAGGCTGAAAACTTGGATTCAGTTTCAATGTGTGGGTGAAATGCAACGTTGCTTCATGAAAATGTCCATATGCCTTGAGGATTTCTCCGAGGGTAAAATGTTGGAGCCACGGATTCTGTTCTGCCGCTTGGTTGTCCAGTGATTCTCTCGTTAAAAAGATAGCATCTTCAAGATAGTGCAGGTTGAATAATACGCGTCCAAGGTTAAGAAGAACATCTGGATTATTGGGTTTCAGAGAGAGAGCTTTTCTAAAACATTCTATTGACAGTTGGGTTTGTCCTTTTATCCTCCAAAAGTTACCAATCTTGTTCAGGATTTGTGGTGACAGAGGCTTCTGAAAGTACAAAATGATATTGGTGGTATAACAAACCTACAGCTAAATGTATAAATGTCAAAGGATTTAGAGACATATATATCAATCCATGAAAATTTGGGGAGTTGGGGGGGGGGGTTCACTTTTTGAGAAATTCCAAAGGGTTCACTTGTGACAATTTTGGTCTGAAAATGGCCAAAATCACTTAAAAAGTGCTAAGAATGGTGAAAAACTGCATGATTTTGAAAGATCTTTTGGCCAGGGGGGGGGGGCTTGCTCGAACCCATCGAAGCCCCCTGGCTATGGGCCTCATATCGATATGACAGCTTCATTTTTGTGAACTTTATTATACATTCATATTGTGCAGAGTGATTAGATTAAATATGGGACTCACCTCCTTCAGTGCCTTCTTCAGCTTGGATTCCAAGTAATTCATGTCAACTTCAGAATTTTTACTACCCTTTTTTCGAAATATCATGGCTACCTCCGGTTCAGGCATTAACGGATGTGAATCTCTACTGGCTATCCCTCTAAGGTGATCATACTTTGTAAAATTCACTGATTTTCCACAGTTTAGGGTGTGGTCAACACTGCTTAGTGAGGTTGTACTATGGACAGTGGATTCTGCAGATACACTGGATGATGATATTTTTGGCTCTTGATCAGTTTTTTTAATGGATCTGAAAAAATGAGAAGTAATTTACGTATAATGACATTGAAGTACATGTATTTATTCAACCTATTTGTAATTTATATTTTCATCTAAACTGTGTAGCTGCATTATTTTGTGAAGGTCGACCTTTTCAGATGTCTGCTGGTTGTAGAAATGAACCATTTGGTATTCATTTTGAGACTTATTAGCCTGGACATATGCCATAGCCAAGGGGTAGTTCAGTTTAAAAAAACAACCAAATGGGGGTTCAAATGTGATCCAAATCACTTGAAAAGTACTCAATATGGTGAAAAATTGCATGATTTTAAAGAATTTTTGGCGGAGGCCGGGAGGGGTTCGCTGAAACTCACCAACCCCCTGGTTTAGTGAGTCTCTAGCCAATAACTTGGCTAGAAATCATGGCATGTGGATCACCGTGTACTAATGGAAAATAAGATAAGAATTAAATTATATGTTGTTTTTTTTAAAATCATTATGAGAATAGTCCATCAATTGAAATTGAAACGAACACTGTCCTTTGTGAGATATTGCATTCTTTCATCCAGCTTTTGTCTAAAATCAAAATCACAGAGTCTGTCATTTTCTAAAACAGTTCTGAAATGAATGTCAGACATTGATTATAACTGGTTGTAAATTCAAATAGCAATCCAAAAGATGTGAACTAGTATTGATCACTTCTTGCTTGACATTTTGAAATTTTTTATTTAAGTAATATCTCGCGTAAGTGAAAAAATGGTGGCTGAATTTTGTAATCACGACATCATGACTCCATGATGGCAGAATATTGCAGTATTAAATTGCAGCCGGTGATGAAAATGCTCTAAACTGTCTCTTAAAAAATAAATAAATAACAACCGATGTAGACAGATATATGCACTACATATGAAGATCAATGAAAATATGTCTACTTTATTTAAGTTCATAAAAAGCAACTGTTCGTAAGACTATAAGAGGTAGTGTAAAGAATAATAACTAGATTTTGGAAATTGAACGAAGTTCAATTTCAGACTCCAGATCTAGACTTTTTTTAGCCGAGTCATCCAGAATAAGCCGTGTCATCCAGAATAAGCTGAGTCATCTAGAAAGAGATGGATAAATAAAATAGGAAGGTAGGATAGGATAGAATAGGAAAGAATGATAGGATAGAATAAGAAAGAAGGATAGGATAGAATAGAATAGGAAGAAAAGATAGGATAGGATAGGAAGGATAGGAAGGAAAAGATATGAAGAAAGGATAGAAAGGAAGGATAGGATAAGATCAGATAGGAAGGATGGATGAATTTTTCAACATTTTCTTCTCTACTCTTGACTTTCTATCAGGATACCATCAGATCGATTTTCCGAAATTTCAAAACGCCATAACTTCCGAGCCGGGAGTCGGATCGAAATTCGATTGAAAAATTCGGATTCCTGACAAAATTCTACCCCTAATTCATAACTCATACGTTAAATTTGGAGATTTTTTATTTTGACCTACTTTTCGGACACGCCATAACTTCCGAACCGGTAGTGGGATCGAAATTTGGTTTGCAGACTCGGATTCCTGACAGAATTCTACCCTTAAGTCATAACTCATATATTAAATTTGGAGAACTTTTTATTTTGACCTACTTTTTCGGACACCATATCTCAAAAGTGGGTCAAAATACTTTCTGACGGCAAAATGCTAACACTATTAGCATATTCTTGGCAACATGTATACACAATTTCGAAGAATATAATTAGAGTGTAGTGTCAGAATCGAAAAAATATGGAAAACCTATGAATTTGACCTAGATTTTGACCTAGGCATTTCGGTGTCCAAATTTTAAAGCTAGATGGCTTTTGAGGTCCCCTTCTTTTAAAGGCTTTGATTATATGGAGCTGAACTCAGTCTTTATTCCGTATTTTTTACTTCAAAAAAATATTTTTTCCCATTGACTTAACATGGGCACCAAATTTAGCGATTTTTGAGTTTTCAAAACGCCATAACTTCCGAACCGGAAGTCGGATCGAAATTTCGTTTTCAGATTCGGAATCCTGAGAAAATTCCCTATAAGATTAATATCCTGGACATTTGATTCGGAGAACTTTTTTTTGGACCTCGTTTTCGGACACTGATATCTCGAAATCTGTTTGAGATATCGAAAAACTAAATCGACCGTAGGTTTCCTACTTTTTTATAAGGAACACAATGAAAAAAACCCGGATCGAAAATATTGAAGGACGACCGAGAAAATCGAAAAAAGTGACAAAGTACTGGATTTGACCTAGTTCTTGACCTTTGACCTAGATAAAAATTTGACCCAATTTCCGAGGAACTAGATTCTGGACCTAAATTGACCAAATGACTGACTTTACTGAAAACCTTATGGTTATTGAGAAAACTGGTTTAGAATAATAAGAATAAGAATAAGAATAAGAATAAGAAAACTGACGAAAACAATAGACTCCAGATTTCATCTGGAGTCTAATAAAAAGAATAACTAGATTTTGGAAATTGAACGAAGTTCAATTTCAGACTCCAGATCTAGACTTTTTTTAGCCGAGTCATCCAGAATAAGCCGAGTCATCCAGAATAAGCTGAGTCATCTAGAAAGAGATGGATAAATAAAAAAGGAAGGTAGGATAGGATAGAATGGGAAAGAACGATAGGATAGAATAAGAAAGAAGGATAGGATTTGATAGAATAGAATAGGAAGAAAGGATAGGATAGGAAGGATAGGAAGGAAAAGATATGAAGAAAGGATAGATAGGAAGGATAGGATAGGATGAGATAGGAAGGATGGATGAATTTTTCAATATTTTCTTCTCTACTCTTGACTTTCTATCAGGATACCATCAGATCGATTTTTCTCGAAATTTCAAAACGCTATAACTTGGTTTGCAGATTCGGATTCCTGACAAAATTCTACCCCTAATTCATAACACATACGTTAAATTTGGAGATTTTTTATTTTGACCTACTTTTCGGACACGCCATAACTTCCGAACCGGAAGTCGGATCGAAATTTGGTTTGCAGATCCGGATTCCTGACCGAATTCTACCCCTAATTCATAACTCATACGTTAAATTTGGAGATTTTTTATTTTGACCTACTTTTCGGAGACGCCATAACTTCCGAACCGGTAGTTGGATCGAAATTTGGTTTGCAGTTCCGGATTCCTGACAAAATTCTACCCCTAATTCATAACTCATACGTTAAATTTGGAGATTTTTTATTTTGACCTACTTTTCGGACATGCCATAACTTCCGAACCGGATATCGGGTCGAAATTTGGTTTGCAGATCCGGATTCCTGACAAAATTCTACCCCTAATTCATAACTCATACGTTAAATTTGGCGAATTTTTATTTTGACCTACTTTTCGGACACGCCATAACTTCGGAACCGGAAGTCGAATTGAAATTTCTTTTGCAGATTCGGATTTCTGAGAAGATTCTTTTCTTAATTCATAACTCAAACGTTAAATTTGGAGAACTTTTTATTTTGACCTACTTTTCGGACACCATATCTCAAAAGTGGGTCAAAATACTTTCTGACGGCAAAAGGCTAACACTATTAGCGTACTCTTGGCTACATGTATACAAAATTTCGAAGAATATAATTAATCTGTAGTGTCAGAATCGCAAAAATAAGGAAAAACTTTGAATTTGACCTAGATTTTGACCTAGGCATTTTGGTGTCCAAATTTTGAAGCTAGATGGCTTTTGAGGTCCCATTCTTTTAGATGCTTTCATTATATTTAGCTAAACTCAGTCTATATTTCATATTTTTTACTTCAAAAAAATCTTTTTTCCCATTGACTTAACATGGGCACCAAATTTAGCGATTTTTGAGCTTTCAAAACGCCATAACTTCTGAACCGGAAGTCCGATCTAACTTTGGTTTTCAGATTCGGAATCCTGAGAAAATTTCCTATATGACTAATATCCTGGACATTTGATTCGGAGAACTTTTTTTTGGACCTTGTTTTCGGACACTGATATCTCGAAATCGGTTTGAGATATCAAAAAACTAAATCGACCCTAGGTTTTCTACTTTTTTATAAGGAACACAATGAAAAAAACCCGGATCGAAAATATTGAAGGACGACCGAGAAAATCGAAAAAAGTGACAAAGTACTGGATTTGACCTAGTTCTTGACCTTTGACCTAGCTAAAAATTTGACCCAATTTCCGAGGAACTAGATTCTGGACCTAAATTGACCAAATGACTGACTTTACTGAAAACCTTATGGTTATTGAGAAAACTGGGTTTGAATAATAATAATAAGAAGAAGAAGAAGAAGAAGAATAAGAAAACTGACGAGAACAATAGACTCCAGATTTTCAATCTGGAGTCTAATAAAACACACAGGGCTTCATAGTCAGCATAAGGCCATAACATAGCAAAGGCCTTAGAATAAATTAACCTACCTGCCTGTATATACACTAAGGTTCAGCTGGAAAGTAACATTTTACCAAAAAAATCCTTTACCTGCACATGTTATTTTCTGGTACAAAATTATGTATTTCCTTACTTTTTTCAGGAAAGTATCATTACATTGTCTACTTTTAGTAAACCTGGAAACAGGTCAATGGTAGCTACTGTGTTGTCTGGAAACTTTGAAAGAAAATTTCCGAAAATAGAAAGTGTGAAATATTAGAATTTCCTGGAGTTCCCATTGACCTCTTACCAGATTTACTAAAAGAAGACAATGTAATGATACTTTCCTGAAAAAAGCAAGGAAATTAACACATGCCTTCATACTTTATACCAGAAAATCTGTGTACCAGAAAATAACATGTGCAGGTATAGCAATTTTTTACCAAAATGTTATTTTCTAGCTGTACCTTAATAATGGAAATGAATTTTCAACCCATCCCTATAATATGTGAGAACATGTACATTTTGAATTTCAAGAGTGACGAGACTGAATGTCTAGTTCTGGTACAATCTAGGGCAAAGGGGTGTAACGTCGACATGTGGGGTAATGTTAACATAAGAAATGGGGTAGCTTTGACACTTACGTACATATTAGAAGTTAGAATTCCATTTTCCGCCATTTTTAATTTCTGGAAAAATTTAAATCTCGCGAGATCTTGATCCATGCTAGAAAAAGATTGGAAATTAGAGCAAATAAACAACTAGAGTCCATTTCACTGTTTAACTTCGTCAGTAAAAGCTAAAAAATAAGAAATCAAAATATCATTTTGCAATAATATATAGAAAAATATATTCCTATTGTACATGAATGACATTTGTATATCTTGGATTGCTTCTAGTTTAGCTTATGAAGTGTGTGGCCTCTTATATTTGGATGCTTCTCTGCCATGTTATTTTCAATAAGATTAACATGGCTGAAATTCTTCAAATTACAAGACGGCACAGGCTTATTGCACAAAAAACTAAAAAATCTGAAATATACAAATGTCATTCATGTACATTATGAATATACTTTTCCATATATTATTGCACAATGGTCTCCCAATTTCTTATTTTTGCCGTTCTACTGACGAAATGAAGCAGTGAAATGGACTCTAGGTGTCGAAGTTACCCCATATGTCGAAATACCCCAAATTGGTGTCTACGTTATACCCCTTCGCCCTATACATGTATACTGTGGTGTTTGCCTGGGATGGAAGGACTATGACCTGCTTCCCCTAATTTTCCATGTTTTGACCTGAGTGTCCTTACTTTACATGTAGATACATGATTTGACACTTTTTCCATGTTTTGACCTGAGTGTCCTTACTTTACATGTAGATACATGATTTGACACTTTTGACAGATGATTCCACATGCTATCTATTGCAAGACTTACACCTGCCACAACCGTCGCCATGTTAATCAGTGTTTTTAAGTAGCGCAAGGATCCTGCCATGACCGTGGTAGTGTTATTGTGTAAGCCTGGTATAACCGTGACAGGCTGGTATAACCGTGACAATGCTGTATTATATTGCAAGGCCTGTCATGACCCTGGAAGTGTTATTGTGGAAGCCTGGCGCGACCGTAGCCTTTATTGTGGTTTACAAGCGAATGTGAATATTAATGTATAGTAGTAATTTTGATTTTGATATAGTTAAACACCATGATCATAGTATTAAACTGTTTAATTGTAATGACGATCACTTAAAATTGTTAAGGATATTCCTGGCATTAATGTCATACATATTTACTCGTCATTGCAATACATTATACTGGTCATAGTAGGACTAAGCCTAAATTTCTACATTACCACCCTCATACCTGGCCTTGCAATACTATATTACATTGTCACGGTCATGCCAGGCCTTGCAGTACTATATTACATTGTCACGGTCATGCCAAGCCTTGCAGAACTATATTACATTGTCACGGTCATGGCAGGCATTGCAATATAATACAGCATTGTCGCGGTTATACCAGGCTTTCACGATAACATTACCACGGTCATGGCAGGATCCTTGCGCTACTTAAAAACACTGAATAACATGGTGACGGTTACGCCAGGCGTTAGTCTTGCAACAGATAGGGTCTCGATGATTCTCACCTTTTCTTGTTTACATGATCATATGTTTCTTCATCCGTGTTTATGTTCCGTTCTTTTCCTTCACATTGCATGCATTCATTATCTTCACCTTCTATTGTCCATTTTCCATGTATTATCTTTTTATTGGTGAGTATATCAAATATCCTATCATCTGAGTTATTCTCAGAATTTTGATGATCATCCAATTCTGAATCTGCCACCGTGCTCGTAACACTTTGCACTTTGCCTGCTTCGATATTCAATTTCCAATGAGTAGATGTTCTGGAATTAGTATTCAGAATATGCATGGACACAATGTATAGTGCCATGTAGGACATCGACGGCATATCGCACGTCATTGTCCAGTGTATAATGGTTAAAATGTCACAGAATTATTTCAACTTTGACAGATATCCAATATGGCGAACAGGAAGTAAAGAAGTAGGTCAAGGCCATCTGAACCTCGTTCTCAAAGTCAGAATGTCGGCGGATTATGAATCGGTCAGTTGCGTAAAAAATGAGGTTTTTGTCTACAAGATACCCCCAAGACCGTCAAACAGAGGATATAAGTGAGTAGCCTGACAATCTTTTCTAATGTAGACGTATTTCCTTATCACACGAGTGCAAAGTCTTTGAGAAAAAGGTTTCCAAAATGAACTATAATTTTTAGATCGATTTTCATTTTGATTTCGTTTTCTGATTTCCCAACCAAATATGTCAATTTTCAAAGAGGATGCTGTTACTCTTCCCAGGCATAAGTAACTTACGTTAACTTAGTCTATCAATACAATCTATGTTTATATAGCATACAGATCAGAGATGATACCTTATGCTCACAAAGCAACAACATGAAATTTTTCTTTTTTGATTGAATTTGAAGCAACTCCCCTCACAAGTCTTGTGCCTTAGACCCAGTCTATTCCAAGTGTATCTGACCTCTGGATTATAGAAGGTATTGGTTTGAGCTTACTCGAGTCTCAAGCCTGATACATGACCTGTATACAGCAGTATAAAACATGCAGGGATTTATCTGTGGACGAAGGTCACGATATAGTGGCCTTAGAAGAAGATAAGTTTGAGCAAGAAATAACACAAGTCTCCGAATAAAGATACAGTCCATACATGTATTGTATGTACAGCTTCTTCGGGGATGTATCATGAGTTACCTATGTCAGAGGCTGCTGATTGATTCTGATAGACAGCCTTTACACGCATACAATAATCTGATATATACATGTACATGTAATTGTATCGCCTGAAATTGAAATACTGAATTGAGGTGCCTACTTAAGATCTCTGAATGTTCCTAACATCAGTGGCTTTGCTTATGAAACTATTGAAGGTTTCAGGTGTGTCTGTGCTGATCAAGACTTCTTTTTATCGGTTGAGGTTGATATTTTCTACAAGAAATTAAAATAGCGGTGTTAACGGAAAAAAACGAATTGTCCGGAGATTTTTGAATGAATGTTAACAAATAGCTGCATTTCAGGGTATACACATTTTTCATATTTCATATTCATCATCAATTTGATCCACTTTAAATGAGATTGGTCTATTTATTGACACTTACAGAGACTGAAGAAAGGTCAGGTCTTTGTAGAATTTCTGACTGACCAATTTATCTAAAAAGTATTGACTTTTTTTATGAAAAAAAATAATCAAAGGACCAAGTGTAATATTATTTCAAATTACAAACATACAATGTTGAGATATGGCTTCTACATTTTGGACTGTGCATTTGTGCATTTTTATTTCATGGAAACAAAAGTTCAGTAGTAACTAATGTGGCCAATGTAAAGTATTAATGCCTGGTTCAGTTAGATATGTTTGTATGCTGGTTTTTCAGAGCTGCAGATTGGAGTCTAGATAAGCCAGATTGGAAGGGAAGGTTGCGTGTAGTTGCCAAAGGAAAAGCATTAGCCATAAAGTTAGAAGACAAAGTATCAGGTAACTTTGAGGCCTACAGACCATTTCTACTTACTATGTTAATAGTTGGATTTACACGAGAGCCCTTAGGTGTCTTGGGTAAAAATATTGAACTAATTCACCTGCCTTTCTTCCATAATCCTAAAGCTTTTAAAGAGGCTCTATGCCATAGGATGGTACAATCAGGATAGCTCCTCATATACCCATCTACTTTCAAAGAAGAAGTCCCAGATCTACCTCTTTCAGTGTTAATTTTGCGATTGTGCTGGCCGATCTAATTATTTTTGAAGAAATTAATTCAACCTGAAGTTTGAATATTCCGGGAAAGTCCTCCTGTTATCTGATTGGTTGTTGAATTTGTTTACCATACACCTGATTGGCTCCCTGTTTCAAGGTGCTGGTGGGCGCTTGTGTGACTCAATGGGGATTCCCCTCGATAGCCGAGTAATCGATTGTGTTTAATTCTGGAGTTTGGTTGTTCTGTTGATTATTTCCGATATTTCGGCAACAATATACTCAAGAGTTATTCTCAAGATATATCCATGATATGTGAGATATTATATGAGCAATAACAATAGTTATTTTTGTGAAACCGATGCATTCTTTAGCACAAAGTATAGAAGTGGGAACGGAATAGCTATGTTGACTGAACCGTCTTTAAACCAGTACTGAACTGCTTTTTCATTCATTTTACATGTATACCTATGTACATATCTCTAAGACGTTTTAGAAAAACAGGTGTAATCTCAATTATATTTCGTAAGAGGTCTTGAAAAAGGTGGTGTAAACTCAACATAATTTTTCAAAAACGTTTTAGTCAAGATGTCTTGGAATGTTGCATGTAGTGTAAATTGGGCTAATGTGACGCTTGTTTATCCTTTATTTCAAAATAAAAATCAGTCTATATTCTCATGTTTATTCGTGTCCGACATTCTCTTCATTAGTTCCTTCAGGGACGTATTGTAAAAATTTAAAAATATGCAAATCTGTAGCAAAATCAAATTTGAATAATGAATAATGAACAGGGAGGAGCAATGTCTTACAATCATATTATCATACTTCATTGTTGTTTTAGAATATGCTCCAAATGCTTTAATATTTATTTTCCCAGGTGAACTATTTGCAAAATGCCCAGTCGAAACATATCCAGGTCCAGCAGTTGAGGCAGTCACAGACTCGAGCCGTTACTTTGTCATCAGGATCCTAAATGACAATGGCCAATCAGCTTCCATAGGGATTGGTTTCCAGGATCGGGGAGATTCATTTGATCTAAATGTGGCACTTCAGGAGCATTTTAAGTAAGTGCAGACTGCAGGTTATGTATAGAAATAAGGATTAAGTCATGGTTTGACTCCTAAACATACAAACAATACTGATGAATAAATTAAGGTGCCCATTAAAGGTGCAACAATTCATCAACCAGTGTCAAAATATATTTAAGTTTGGATATTTCATCCAAGACTAACATAAATTTTTATTATCTACAAAGAAACCCTCTGGATGAACATTATTTCAGCTGATATATCTCTTGAAACATGGTGAATCTTAAAAATCTATTAGTGGGACTCCCTTTAAAGAAGCTTTGGACTGAATTTACACTTCTTAATGCTGAAATTGAGAGTTTATCCATACATTTTAAGAAAATAGGTATGTCAAAGAAGATGTTAAGCGAAATATTGACCTGATAACTCAGAAAAAATTAAAATTGCGAAATTTCTCTCTACAGTCCTTGTTGCCCCTTTAATGAAGGTTACAGTTTTGAAAAAATGAGATAAAAATGAAATGGATTTTGGAGTATTCTTTTGAAACCTTTATGCAAATCAATTCAGGCATATGTTAAAAGTAGGGATGTCAGTAAATGCCATCTAGTGGCAATTGCTATAAGTAATTATACTAAATGAAGATTCAGGATAGAACATGCAGTTTTATTGATAACAGTGTTTCCCTTTGAAATATGCTTCAATTTAAACAATAACAATTAACTTTATCGGCGAGAAAGTTAACAACTTAAAATTAATCTCAGATTACAAGTTTTTGCGCAACATGCGGAGCAATCTTATGACATTCAAAAGATCCGCGCTGCATAAGCATAACCGGAAGTAGACGGAAAATGTAAGTTGTTGAACTGTTTTAAACTTATCAACTACTTTATTGATTATGTCCCGTCCTGAAATGGATAATTCCCGTTCTGTCCCTTCCCGAAATATTTTTGTCCCATGACATCCCTTGTTAAAAGCTGCACAAAGTATTCATAATGGTATTTTGTTGGCACGTGTTAATGCCTGGCAACCCATACAATAACTCTAAGCATGGCACACTTTGAAGTTCTGTGGCAGAATTGCGAAAGGATTGGTAGTGATAGGATGAACTAAATTCAACATTGTTTTTCCATTAAATCAAATATTGAAAACAATCTGTAAAAAACACATCCTATGTATAATTGTCAGCAATTGACAACAATTAAATGTGAAAATTATTAATATGTATACTGAGAATTAACTGTTGGCCAAGACAGTCAACAATCTTGATTCATGCAAGAGGTATACAGTTTTGCCAGTCAACCTCTGGACCAGTCATCATTGTATCTAACCCTCAAGGAACATCAATGTGTAGTTAACATGTCAATTTTACCATCATTTCAGATGGTTAAAGACAACAGATGATATAGAAAAACAGTCAAAACAGTCTGATTCTGCACCTAAGCTGGACTTAGGTTTCAAGGAAGGACAAACTATCAAGATTAATATAGCGGTAAGTACACTTATAGACAGAACTTCCTAAATATGAAGAATGTAGAATGTACAATTCGGTCTACAGTATCTTGAGAAAAATGTTACTAGATTGCACCAAAGATCTAATTGTTAACCCTGATAATTACACTTCTTATCAATTGTGTTTAGGGTAGAAGTACAAAGCCAAGGGAGAAAAAGCAAAATACTGGTGGAGGTCTTGGCTTGTTACCACCTCCCCCAGGTAGCAGTGGTGGGGCCGGTTTCTTGCCCCCACCCCCAGGTGGTGCCAGACTCTCCTCAGGTCAAAGTTCACAGCCAGCAGCAGTGCAAGTTCAACAAGTATCCCAGTCCCAGCCCCCAGCAAGCAATACTGACCTCTTAATGGGTATTTCTGCGCCACCCCCAGCACAACAAAACACTCAGCAAGTCACTGGCGATCCATTTGCATCTTTAGGCAGGTGAGTAGAGTAAAAAGTAAAGTAAACAATTCAGAAACAAGTGACTGTCACTCATGTTTACTTCCAAGCAATTTCCTAATATTACATGAGGGAGGGCTTTGATTGACCATTAAATGCAGGAATATTACTTTGTTTTTATGTAACTAACAAGGAGTGGTCACCTTGCGGTATAACTACCATTTTTGTGACCAGCATATGTAGTTCTGCAGCTCACATTAACAATACGTATTATGTGGACGGAAATATTTGGAAACCTTGGATCTCAAATTCCTATCGTGAATATCACTTTATAAGACAAATCTAAGGAGGAGGGAAGTTAGCGCAACAGATTTTGGGCAGTCATATGTTTGATTTTGGCCATTTCCTGGGGATTTAAACAGGTGCATATGTTAGGCGAATGCATTACCTCCAGGAAAATCATTTCTAGAGATGATAGAATAATTTCGATTTTAAGACAGGGTAGATGCAAACAACCCTCCCACATGTTTTTTCTGAAATGTTTTCCTGATTTTCTACCCCTTCCATCCTTGCTTTTTAATTTTTCTTGCATCAATATGTTGCATTTTGACACAAAGTTAATCCCTTAAAAGGAATAAATGATTCCTTTTAGATAAAGTGGAAAACAATATTTCCCATGTTATTTTCCCATAGGAAAAATCATTGCTTTCAGCTAAGTTTGGTAACCCATAGTGGGTATCTTTAAAACCCCCGAAGGAATCACTTATTCCTTTAAAGTGGTTAATTATGTGTCAAAATGCAACATATTGATGCAAGAAAAATTAAAAAAGCAGGGATGGAAGGGGTCAAAAATTAGGAAAACATTTCAGAAAAAACAGGTGGGTGGGTTGTTTGCATCTACCCTGTCTCAAAGTCGAAATTATTTTATCATCTCTAGAAGTGATTTTCCTGGAGGTAATGCATTGGCCTAACATATGCAATTGTTTAAAGCCTCAGAAAATGGCCAAAATCCAACATATGACTGTCCAAAATCTGTTGCGCCTACTTCCCTCCTCCTTTATGAGACTAATCGCCTGTAATCTAATGTAATTAAGGTTTTACCTTATCATTTTAGTCCATATTCAAAATATAGATACATAAGCACATACTCTAGCTTGTAGGGAGAGGGCAATACAACCCTATCCTTGCAAAAAGCAAAATCAATTTCAAAATTTAGATAGTAGTAGGTGTGAAATATTTTGTGATATTTTTGATCACATGGTGCAAGATTGACCAATCAGAAAGCAGGGATTCTTGAATTGAGACAATAATATTTTTACTTTCCAGTTCTAGTGGTTCAGTAGGAGGAGGAGGATGGGAGCAGTTCTGATATCTTCATATGTCCGTCATAACCTTTTAGTTCAGACCATTCGAGGATAACATAGCGTGTCAACATGTGATATACTGAGAGACCAAGTGCATTCCATTAATTCTTGACAACTACTCTGATTTTGTATTACTCTATCATGAAAGCATCTTATGGACAAACTATTCAGTGAAGTCTATGTCACCAGTCACCACCAAAAAGGAATGACATTTTTATGACTTGTGTTTGTCAGTTGGCCTCTGTAACTATTGTTACACTTCTGTAACTGCAACTAGGTCCTTACATTCTGTCATGTTAATGTCTTGTTCCTACAATACCATAAGTCTTGTCCCAAGACCCAGTTTGATTTATAATATATTGGATTTATAAAGAGATCACAATATGATATGCTTATGAAATACCACATATTAAAAAGGGATACATTGTACATGTCTTTGATATCTCTATAGATTCTAACATTTAGCAGGCTTTAGCAAACTTTCCAAGACATAAATGAATGAAAAGCAATTATTTTAGATTTGTGCCATACTATTCAATACCAAATTTGATAACTGTGGGTCATATTGTATAAATTCTTGCCATGCTTTGTTTTAAAATCCTAAGATTTCAGAATATGTAAATTGTATATGAATTTCCTGTAATGATCTGATTCAATACATGACTCCTGATGCATGACTTTACTTACAATTTTACTAGCTGTTCACATACATATTATGCATCCAGTATCCAGCCAAGGGTTTCTTACTCAAATGGTCGTAAAATTACCATTTTATAGTTGGTCAGAATATGTCAGTTTATTGTGACACAATGAGCCTGCAGCAATAAAGAATAGACAGAAAATTAAAAATTGAATTAATAATTTTGCTTGGTCTATATTTCTCTGACTACTCTGACAGTGAAATGTATAAATATGAACTTGAAGAACTGCTAAATCTCGTTGAATAAATGCAATCAAGCCAAAATGGTACATCTGGTATTCTAAGATCCTCTTCTAATAGTATACTTGAATATTGGATTTAAGGACATATAATATAATTTACAATATTTGGTTTTGAACATCTTTACAATATCTGGTCACATTGGATCACAATCAACCTATCAGTTGAGTTTATGTTGAGCTCACAATCAACCTATCAGTTGAGTTTATGTTGAGCTCACTATCAACCTATCAGTTGAGTTTATGTTGAGCTCACAATCAACCTATCAGTTGAGTTTATGTTGAGCTCACAATCAACCTATCAGTTGAGTTTATGTTGAGCTCACAATCAACCTATCAGTTGAGTTTATGTTGAGCTCACAATCAACCTATCAGTTGAGTTTATGTTGAGCTCACAATCAACCTATCAGTTGAGTTTATTTTGAGCTCACAATCGACCTATCAGTTGAGTTTATGTTGAGCTCACAATCAACCTATCAGTTGAGTTTATGTTGAACTCAATAATAACATGTTGTCGTTACACAGCTTTCTAGAAAATCCAACACATAGAATAGAGTTCCTGAAAACAGTATCCAACCAAAATGGCTAAGAGATTATCTACAATGTAGACATGACATGTACACCCTCCTATAAAAGTATGGCAACTAGATGTGACCATTGTGTTAAAGCTTGTGAATGTTTTTTTTTTGATTTCCATATCATAAAAATTCATCAAATATGATGAAATTCGGTTCAAATCGGTAAACATAAATAAGCTTTAACACGGGTCCAAAAATTGACTTTTGATTTCTAAACTTTTAGAGGAGAGTGTTGAATATAAATATATGTATAGACTATAAAGTGTATAATGTATAGCAGACTACGAAGTATATGTATAGAATAAATAAAACAATGTGCTATAGAATATTATTTAAATCTATTTGTTTTTAATTATAGTAGGAAACAACCAATCAGGCTTTGGAATTTTGTTCAATTGAAATGTCTCCAGACGTACAGTCCAATTACATTTGAATTTGCATAAATGCCTGTACAAGTATATTTATTTTAATTGAACTTATTATCCCAACGTAACGAATGAAGTTAACCAGGGATATAGTGAAGGCCTCCGTCAGTCAGTCCGTTTGTCCATCCGGAAGAATACTCGAATACTAGTGGATGGATATTTTCATATTTGGTGGAAAGAAGTATTGGTGAATAGTTTTACGAAAGAAAAGTTTTTAAAGTTGGCCGCCACTTCAAAAATGGCGGAACTATACTATTGTTTGAAATTTTGGTATTATAATCACAACATCTATCTATTTCACACATATTCCCTGTTTTTCACCCTAACCCCCAAGGGCCGTGTATTTGGGATCGGGGAAGTTATGAGATCTTTCTGAATGAAGTATAGCTTTTTTATACTTAAATGAAAGTCAATATAGAGTCGATTGCTAATATTGTATCGTTTTTTTGATTCCAGCATTGAAAAATTCAAAGTGGCCGCCTAATGTGGGATTACGCGATAATTTCCTTATCTATTCAAAGTATGGCTATATTATACTCAAAATGAAAGAATTATATAGTAGATCACAATTGTGGTATTGTTTTTCCGATTCGTGTCTCAGAAAATTCAAAATGGCTGCCTACAGTAGTGATTCGCTATAACTCGGAGAACTCTTCAAAGTAACAAGTAAGGTTCTATTATACTACATCTATATTATTGCCTCTATGATTTGTGCCATTACATATTCATGAACAGTGTTCGTTGGGATTTGCTTCTCATTCCTAGTTCGAACATGCATTTTTGAAGTACAATAATCAACTAAAATAAACCACATAACTAATCTGGCATTATGAAGAATGAACTTCCACCTTGGTATACTATTGTAAATATTTTAAGAATGTTCGTGTAATGAACAATGTGGTCCATATTTCCATGAAGATCTGTTCATCAGGTGCATCTTTACATGCAGGTAGGTTCATGAAGTTAATCTTTTCATGAAGATGGGTCATTTTTCATTTGATTTTCATTTGAGTTACATACGAGCATTATGAACATTATCTCGTATATTAACATGATTAAGTTAATCTTTTTTATTAAGATGGGGTCATTAGGTTAATCTTTTCACTAAGATGGGTTCATAAGGTTCATCTTTACATGAAGGTAAGTTCATATTTACATGAATAAATGTTCATAATGCTCACCACTACACGAGGGTATGTTCATAAGGTTAATATTAACATGGAGATCTGTTCATAAGGTTCATCATTACATGAGGTAGGGTCATTTTTACATGACGATTTTTCATTGACTTCTGGGCTATTTCCCTCTTCATTTCAGGCAAACCTTCAACAATGTTAATTCAAATATTTACTACTCACCATGGTGATATGTTGTTAACATCTGGTTACTAATATACAAACATTACTAATTAGGCTACTTTCATTAGCACATTTCAGGTATACCAATGTACAATGTGTCGCGCGCCTAAACTCTCGTTATCGGGAACAAAATGAATCGTTCCAAGACCAGGTTTAAAGGGTGACGCATATCGTTTAGCAAATCGAACGCTCGTTTCTGGTGTTGCTCACCGTTTAGTATAAAAGGCCCGATCCCGGAATAATACTCAAGGGTTCACAGGTTCGAGGTCGTTGTGTCAACACCTCTAACTGTTATATAGCATAAGTATATTATAGATCGTCACACATTTATAAAAGGGTGATTTTTATTTTGACAAATCAATTCCACATTTATGGGTGAAGTTTCAGGATCTTCTATTTGTGTATAATAAGGAAAAATTGGCATCTAAATTTCCCCATAACGTAATAGCACAAAGCTTGGCATATGAAATATCCTACAAATGAAACAAAGCAAGACAACCCGGTTTCTAATACAAGGATTTATATTGGCTGTTGTACATGTATTCTTTGAACGCAATCACTAATGGATAACGTTTTCAAAATCATTATAAACGGATTACTTTATCTCAAAGACAATTTCAATAAACTGGATTTTACAGAACTCCCCTTATTTCTTAAAAATGGACTGATCCAGTTGATTCGCCTGGAGCCGCCATATTGTTTTTATACGGGATGCTAATCGGAACCCTTTAAGAAGTAAAATTATGTCTTACATTAAGTGCCTAATCACTCTTTGTTATTTGTGAAACATATTTGATATAATTCCAATGACATATGATCAATGAGAATGTTGATTAGTTGAATGTTGATGAAATGTTGTTTAGGCTGATCTGTTTTTTACTCTAGTTGCGCAGAGTGGATATAATTTATTGCTTTGAAAAATATGCCGAGGAAAATTTTCGCGATTTAGTAGCTGTATGTGGGGTCATGGGATTTCGCGGGGATACCGTACGGCCTTATAAATATACAATATGTTCTTCTCATTCTACCACTTATGTCGCCCTGCATAGCAGATCTTTAATGGCGACAATTATATTTAACGATTGTCATTGCTATATATTCTAGGCTACTGTATATTTCTTCCATGATTATGAGTTAAATGATTAACTGACGGCAATCAAACAATTTAGCTACCTTGGCCTCAGATGTGTTATGGCATATATGCAGGCAAATGCTACATGATCAATTGTATTCTATTAACACTAATCACACTTGTTGCTTGAACAAAAAACAATATTTTAATATAAGTGTGTGGCGCATGCAGCTAATACATTCTGCAGTTAGTGCAAGCGTTCTGCGAGTCGAACAGAAACTGCTTCCAATCGTAATAGATAATTTTGCGGATCTCATTGATTTCGAAGAAAGAATTTTTTCAGTTTTATTTTCATTTGTAACCAGTGCATCATGACTCTTTACCAGCCATGTGATCATGTATGGTTCGAGGAGAATAGAGAACATATCTACACATCGATTGTTTCATCTACTACAATCACACGAGGTGAGTTCACTTGTGATCCGCTCAATTACGTTGGTTACCGGAATGTCTTATTATTACCTATTCAAAATTTGGAGAGATGTGGTAGACATTTTTGGTATTTTTGATTGCATGATACATACAAAATTTGTAATTTAAAAAATGATTAATTAATATTAATACATTGGATTACCAATCACTACACTTTGGGCCTAGAATGTTAATCATGCATTACAATGGTTTCTATGCGAAATATTGTGCCCTAGAAAGTCTTTCATGAGAAGGTATATTTTGTTTTCTGTTTAACAAGAAATCACTGACTCACATGACTACTTATATAAATCTTTAATGATTGGCGCGTGTGATTTTTGAAATACATTTTTTGGATAAGAAAAATGTGCTCTAGAGTCTGCGACTACATGATGAGACAAACTACAGCTACTCTCGTCCTAAATGAAAGAACATTTTTCCGATATCGACAGATATATTGGATGAGACAGTTCGCTTTGAGAACAACGCAGCTTGTTTCAACGTATGAATCCACCGTATTCAATGCAAGTTGCCCTGTCATCGATTTCGTGTCTATTTCAGGATCTTCAAACTCTTCTACACCATGTCGGCACAAACGATTCACGAGTATTCATGGGTTTTTAGCATTAATACTGTGTCCTGCTCTAGTTGTGTTCGCTGTCACAGCTCTCAACCTTTTAGAAGATGCCAGTCTGCTATCCGATATACAAAAGGTATGAATGGGAAATCTGCAAATTCGCATGTTGGGGTTTACAGCCGTGACAAAACGAATTCCAGGAATACTCTCGTTTACATTACTTTGCCTCGCCCATAATTGATGCATATTGTTTTCCGTAAACCATTATTTTAAAGTGAAGATTCTTATGAGAAAGTGAAGAAAGAAATCTTAAGTTGTGGATAAACTTTAAGTACTGGGTTTTAGGATAAACAATAGCCGATGGCTGATAGGCAAGAAGCTATTAGTTGTCATAAGACCCGATGCGAATGGTTTATCTAACTTAAATCCCACACTGACTCTTATGAAAGGTAAATGGTCCATGGTCGAGTTTTAGGAAAAGTTGATTTATTTTGTAACTAACAGTGTAACTAAACAGTTTCTTTTGTAACTAACAAGTAACAAGGACTATCAAAACAACGTTCATGGGCTCTAATTACAAGAGAAATAGACCAGGAAACAAGTCTTATTCAAGACAATGAATATTCTGGACATTCGATGCTTTTGTATTGACATATATTATTAAAATAACGTTTCACAATGTCATTTCAATTAACTGCTTTACATATTTCTAGGTCATTCGTTTCGTTCATGAGGAAGAACAGATCCATTTGTTCATCTCTAATCTCCAAGAGGAAAGGTATACTTCATTCATCTATATCAACAAAGATATTGCGATTCTAACAGAACAGGACGGTAGCAGGCTTGCGGAGGTATATTCTCACACAGATGGCTCAATAAGACAGTTATCGACAAATGCCCATCCAAATATCGATGATGTAAAAAACAAGAATAATGTGTTGAATAATATCACAGCGTTGCGCCTTGATATACACATGCATCGGATGAATTTTTTGAACAATTGCCTGAATAGTACTGGTTCCAATCACGATTGCAGATTTTACACTGATCTCATTCATAATCTAACTGTAGAACTTAATTCAAAGAGTTCGTTAAGTTATAGTCACTTTCCATGGAAAATACAAAGCAGAATTTTAAAGATACAGGTGCGCATCGAATTATGTAGTCGAGAAACCCATGCAGCAACGATGTTGGGTAAAGATCATACACAGTCGTTCCTTGAAACAGTATCACCTCAATCCAAGGCTATCTCATATAATCCGGAACTTCATTTACTTCGTCTAAGCATGCTCAATCAGATCATGTCCAAACAAAATAAATCACATAACAAATCAACTTTGACAGTTAAGCAGCGGACATTGATTGATGAACTGAAACAATATTCACAATCATTGCGAAAGGAACAAGAACAGTGTTATATGGAACTCAGAGCGACTCTCAAGAGAGATGAAACATATCGGACATTGACAATTGGTGTTACTGGAGTAATCTTATGCATAACAACATTGCTTATTATCGCCCAAGTGATGACTTTAAGGAATTCGTTACGTACTGCGAAGATACTAAAAACAGCGGCTGTTGTCACTCTTAGAGAGATCGCAAGTACCCGTGAAAAAGTATTTTCGGTTATGAACCACGTTCTTCCAAAAGAAGTCAGGGAAGAATTCAACTCAACCATAGTAAGTTTACACTGGCGTAATGTCGTTTCTTTAGTTTTAACAATTCATTTCAAGTATTCCCTTTTCAAAACCAAACACCCAAATTGTCTCTTTAAAAGATTGACTGTCGAATTAAAATAAAACTGGTAATGCTAATTGCAGGAACAGAAAGGGAGACATGACGCCAATATGACAGTTTTAACAGTTGAACTTCCAAACTTCTCTGAAATTTTGAAACAGAACTCATGCCACCAAGTTATAGATCTAATGGGATCCATATTTACCCTACTTGACGAAAGGGTCAGTTTGTTTGATGCTTATAGGATAGAAAGTCCGCGGAACACATATGCTGTGACATCCTGTAAGTTCACCATTTATTGTTCACTGATTTTTGGCTTTAAATTTATATTACGAAGTTGACTCTTAGCAGATACAAAAAATATAAAATGAGAAATAATATTCATACAATAATTCAATCAATAATAAAATGAAATAATGAAATAAAAAGGCCCCCAGCTAAAACAGCAAAATGAAAAATATGTACTTCGTAATCATAGATAACCTTCAACAAGACAAGCTAACAAGATAATTGGAGCACTGGATTGAACAATAAAATATATCTATTTTACACTTCAGCTCTTCAAGGTCAAACAGATCATAGAAATGCTCAGGAAATTGCAGATCTCTCTCTGGATTTCATGGTGGTAACATCAGATCTTGAGGTCCCACATTCAGGAAAAGTCAATCTAAAGCTTGTTATACATACAGGTAAATCAACTTGCAGTCGGAAAGTCGCAATTTGATCATTGAATACATTTTGCTTGGGAGGGGGCGGGGCGGGGCGGGGTGGTTTCTTTTTCTGCTCGATCATAGTTTGGGATATTTGAGTTTGTTTTCCGTATGACCGAGTGATCTCTCTGAATCACACATCCAAATATTATGGCTCCATCACAAACAGTTTTTAGATGTCTCTTTTTTAGTAACATCTGGGTCAGTACCACAAACAACTAAATTTGAATTTAAAACTAAAGTGCCTCTGCTTCCGAAACATTTGGCATCTTGCTGCTATAGACCCATTCATGTGAATGTTATATGCATCAAAACTAGTAACTCAGCTAACAGAGAACAAATATACAAACAATATTAAAATGGACAAGTGTATTCATTTTTAGGTTGGGGAATAACTGCCATAACTGGGAAGGAACATCTCAGGTACTCTGTCTTTGGTGAAGTGTTACAGACAGCGAAACTGATGTTGAAGAAAGCAACGCGTAAGATTTCTTGTTTGTATACATTGCGAAAACACATTGTAAACTAAACGAAAAATCCAATGAATTATATTAATACGAATATTATAAATATAACGATATAGTATATGCACATATGATTCAGAAATAGACGAAAACAACAGTCATGAAAAACAGACAAATATTGTTCTATTTTATGTGAGTGTTGCTCAAACAATTTACTTTTTAATATCTATATCTGTCAAAGTCATCAATACATCATCAAGATAAATCAGAAATCTCAGGAAATGTGTACAAAAATCGAGATCGCACTGAATTTACACAAAGATACATATAGCAATAACACTATCCTTCAGCCACCAAAATCTACTTGATATAACTTTGAGACTAATATAAGTCTGTATTATCTTTTCTCGTATTGATCTTGATTTTCATTCTATACGAAAAAACAACAGCCTTTGGCAAGGCCACGAACATACCTAAAGTTACAGGTCTCGCATAGTTTCCAATCACTTTTACGTTAGTCACAGGATATATCATAACTGGATTTTTCATAAGCTTTACATAGGCTACATATTTATACAATCCATAAATTTTTTTTGATGCAGCCAATAGGATAACGATGACCGAAAAGACGTGTCAGCTCTTAAAAAAATGTGGGGGCTACAGAATTAAACTAAGAGGACATATTAAACTGGAGGTAATTAATTATTCTGTGCTTAGGAGTCAGATTTTCTTTGTTCTTATTGTACATATATAAATTTTATAAATTATTATCTTGAGTGATAGTAGTATATGTATTATTTTTCTATTTTTTGGTTACCATTTTGAAGAATTGGGAGAATTTAAACATTTCCCCCCCATTTTGGCACTTCGAATCTTTAACTTCACAAATTTATAACATGTCGTAGATCTTTTGGTACTTGGGATTGTGAGGAAAATATTGGTTAGTCAACTGTCTATGTTGCTTGTATTTTGTCACCACAAGGATATAGATTTTTTATTTTTCAGAGATAGTTTATTACTCTGTCTTGACGGAACATCAATTATATCTGGAAAACAAAATATATATTCTGCTACTGTAGAATCAACATGTATTTACTTTCAGAATGGAAATCGGCTGAGCACAATGTATCTTCTCGGTCGTGACATGATTCTTTCAGGAAGCGACTTTGACATTGAGCCATCATCTATGGACATATCATCAATTTCAAGTCGGATTTCGACCGTCAATTCAAAATCAGGTGATTTGAGAAACAGCAAAACTAGTAAAACACATAGTTTCATCGATCAGGTTAAAGAAATTAAAACTAAGATATCATGGCCTTTAAATAGGTCATTGCGAAATTCATCAGAATCAATGCTAGCTCTTCAAGATATTCAAGACTTTGAAACTGAGCAACTTGGATTGACAAGAAAAAATTCAATCTCAAAAAGAAGAAACACTCAACTTAGAAAAATGTCAAAAGCTTTCAAAGACGGCAAAACATCGACATCTACCCTTGCTCCAATAAATTGTGAAGATTTGCTTTTTATGAACGACTCATTGACGTCATTAAATAGCTCACTGGGCTCTGTAAAGGACGCTGTCATAGGTTCCTCACCTTGGTATATCCGTAAGTTATCTGCATGCTCGTATAAAGTCGAGCAGAAGTATAGGCCGAATCTTGGTTCTAAAAAGACATCCATCGGTTCCGATTCTAAGCATCAATTCGTTCAGGATCATCCTCGGAACCAAACTGCCAACACGAATTTAACATCAACAGGAAAAGAACCCAATTATCTATCATCGAAACGTAAAATTAAGAAGGCCTCAAATGTTTCAATGCTAAGTACTATGTCCCGGTTAGAAGACATTGAAGAACCAATTTGAAGTTATATAGGTTATCAACAGTCTTCCAACATCTCTCGGGACCTCCCCCGTGTAGAGCTGAGACGAGCAGGTGCCCCAGTGGGTTGAAGAAAGACGATGTGTTCATGTTATTGTTAATATGTACATATGTATTTCACGCAATTGTAATTGCTATACTAAGTGTTAATAAAACGCAATTATGCTCTCTGATGTATATTTTCAATTCTTACTCTTTTGAGTATTATTGGAATCAGAAACATTGATCAGTAAAACTGGAGTAACTGGAGAACCAACCAATAAGTGATGTTGTTTAAAAAAACGAAATGAAGTATTCCATTTCAGCCAGTCCGAAAACATCTCACAAATTTAGCAAGCCACACAAATCCAAATACTCACTACTACTGTACTAATTTTAATACCATAGTTAAAATATTGCTTAAAAGAGCATTAGAGCAATTAGTGCAATTATCACGACTGTCATTTAGGCAAATATTTTGTAACAGATTTATATATTGCATTACAGAAATATCATGAAGAATGTTATTTAATACAATATTGGACGTAGATGCAATTATTATTTGTACAATTTATTACTTTGTTCTACAGGGCGTCCACAAAAAACTATACCCAACTTCAAAGCCAGGATACTAGAATTCTGAGCAATTTTAAAAATACGAAGGTAAAAATAATAGGCCCGTTTTTCCTCCATCAAATGGTACTCATTATGTAACTATCATGGATGACTGAGCAATCATGACCATTATGAAAGGTGGTGAAATCAGCACTGTGCCAAGTTAGCATTCAAGTAGGAATGACACAGTGAATGTTTTTTTGTGTTCAAAACATTATTTATGTTCAAATTCAAACTTGTTCCATGTTCTTCACACTTTTGCATAACTTTTTGTTGATGCCTCCCTCTCCGGATATTGGATCCAAAGAGCCTCATGATCAGCAATGAAACTTCTCCTTGGTGATATGCAGCTTTGAAGTCAGTTGCATCCCCATGTAAAGTCAATAACCCTTGCTGAAATCCTCATTTTCTCGGAAGATCTCACGTTGATTGAGTCTAAAGAAGTAGATTCATGTGGAACAGTATTGCTTGAATCCATTTCAATAGTAAGAATAGGGGTTCTATAAACAGTACACTGGACTTGTTTTTTAGAACTTTTTGTTGGCTCTGCTGCTCAGTTGTCAGTTGAACCATTTTTTGCAGGCCTACTTTAGAATAAGGTTATTGTCAACACTTTTTCCATAAGAGAGTTACTCAGTCCCCGGTCCAGTTCAGTTAAAAGGCCTGTCCTCTAACATAATGTTACAGAAAAAGAATACTAAGTACATATCAATTGCCACACATGAAGGTAACTTGGCACAGTGCTAATTTTACCACCTCTCATAATGGTCAAGATTGCTCAGTCATAGATGACCGTAACATAATGATCTAAGTTCCATTTGATGGAGAATAAATGTTTTTTTACTACTGCCTTTAATTTCTAAAAACCTGCTCAGGATTCTAGTAAATTGGTTTTGAAGTTGTGTATACTTTTTTTTGACGCCCTGTAGTTTTAATAGATGTCCAATATGATTCACATTTGACAAGAGATGATCTGAAACTCCCTGAGCCATAATCGAGGTGAGATTGACATTTACCATCCTTGCAGCAAGGGTATATAGTCCCGGTGTAAAAGGGTAGGCGGTCCTCTCAAATTATGGTCCTACTCTCCATTGATTTATATGGTGACCTAAATACAACTCTTTCCCTTATTATCTTATACACAATCAGGGCCAATAAGGGCCGTTTAGAAAGGGGACCATAATCACCAGGGGACCATAATTTCTTTCACACCGGGTATAGTATATTATGAATTTAAGCATAAATAAAGTCCTACACTGGAAAGAATGACATTGATGGCGCTTTTACAATATGACGGAATAATATCAATTTTGACTTGTCGCAATGGTTGCATTTTGTCACCTGTACTCATTCTGTTAAATTAGTGTATTCCTTCAGTCATATGTAACACCTTGATGGATCAAGACGTCCTTAACTGTGAAACATCATTCTGATTTATCAGAGCCCCTCTTTACCTAACGCTTATGAGTCTGAACTATTCCAAAAGGATAGTAAAGGCTGTGGATCCCACAATGGTGAAACATATAATGTCATAATGATTCCATTCCATTTATCATTTGTCAATCAATATTTCAATATTTGTACAACTGCATTTACCAGAATAGACCTCATTCTAATAAGTTTTAATTAAATACATTGCAATACAATTATTTTGCATTACGTTCACATTTTACGACTGCTTGTAATAATCACGATATTCTGATCAAAGGGAAGTAAGTGATTTACATGATTACACCATATTTATAGAGACGTTGTATCTCAATGCGCATGCGTGTTGTTGAGGGATGTTCCAGTGAAACCGGTTTGAGTTAAGGTAACATTTTTCATTTTAGCTCTTTTGTTACATTTCTCTCAACATTCGTATTTGAATAATTTCAAATCTGATTTAGTGTTAATAACACCAGGAAAATAAAAATGTCTCATCGAGGCCCCATGCATGAATTTGCCGCCATTTTAGATGTAAACGTTTAGACTTTTAGATCATCTAAAACGTTAATTATGATGCCATTAGCTTAATTCAATTTCTGAGGTCTATGTCTATATATATCTATGTCAATAATCCGCAAATGGCCAACGAGCCCATTAAAATCATAAATAAACACCTGCATGTACAAGCGCACCAATGATAAACAAGTTGTGCCACAACAGTATGTCGCTAATACTTTTAGCAAGAAACTAATCCATTTTCATCCGTTGACTTGGTCTTTTTTACTTTTCCACGTTTGTAGTTGGTAGTATATCAGATTGATCCTTATGTGTTAAACAGTTTTATTTCCCTGCTAACGTTTTATGCCTCCATTTAACGTAATTTAAGACAAATATCTTCTGGTTCGCCCCTCGCCACAAGTCTTAAATTTATCTCTACTGTTAGTTGAGTTTTCATGTTACTTTATTATTTCTTTATCTTTTATAAAAATGCATGCTCGTTATATTAAACTGCATCGAGATTTCCTAGCATTAACATTATTCATATTTGCATCAGTGGCAACCCATATTGAAATCTAATCATGACGAACGGAAACCAAACATATGTTATTTACCTCTTTAAATAACAGGATACGAATGTGCGAATCAATTAAATGATGATCCGGTATATTATATAGATAAAGTTCGATTGTCTTGTAGAATTAAACAGATCACAATTATGTCTACACCTGACCGATTTGTGCAATGTCTGTTAATGTTATGGCAAATATCTGATGGATTATCCGAACAGCAACAGATAGGTATGATTATTGTTAAGTTATTGTTAAGAAATGCTTATTTTGTCACTATTTTCGCAAAATTCAGATATATATTCGTGTGAGTATGCAAGGGAAATGCTTCGATCAACCAATACATTGATTTAAGACGTAAACGTATATAATAAATAATTATAAATGATGATTTATACACGCCTAATCATCGAGAACGTATAGTGACAAAATATACCGTCGTACACTTAAGGTGTATGGTGTCACTATTAACTGATTTGAAGCGAAAACTATGATGTAGGTTTGATGGTACAGATTAACAGGTAAAGGTGATTTTTTACCCCTTGTTGAATGCTATTTTATTTTATGAAAGTGTGGAGATCTATACTAGCTAATCGAAGATGCCTTTCAAAATCCAGTTTATGCTATATCTGGAAAGTGCTGAAGTTCAAAGGTTCTAGGTTAAATAAAGTTGAAGTAATACTGTTATTGTTCAGTTTCACTTTGAAATGATGAATGATTTAATTTGTATTCTCTGTAAAACGTACGTGCTTGTTTTGTTTTGGCGTATGCTTTCAATGTTTATTTTTATAATTGTTTAAACGGGGGCGACATAAAGACAGTATTCAACGTTTATAAACCACTATTACTTCAATGATACACATTAATTAGCTTTCTTGCAATATGTGATTTGAGTACCACTTCTAAGGCATCTAAGCACCGCCGTTTAATAGTAACTACTCACATTTAGATTAATATATCGACTATGTAAGAGGGGAAACTATCGCAAATTAATTCACGTACAAACCAATAACAATATATAAGGAAATCTTCAAAGAGTGTTTACCAAATGAAGCCTGACAGTTGGACGCGCTGGGTAAGGTACAACGCAAGGGTGATGCAAATTGAGCTAACTGCATGGTGTTTTCGTCTGTACTTTAACATAATAAGATACACTTTTATGCATTTTAATAATCTTAAGAAGTTGACAGAAAGATCTGTACTAACTAGTCGAAATATGCTATATCTGAAAAGTGTGGAGGTTCAATATAGTTCAATCAAGTTGAATTAGTAATGTTGTGATTGTTTCGTTTCAGTTTTAAATGAATCTGACCCCCCTGCCCCGTAGTATTATGAAAAATACGTTGTCTACATTAGGGTTAACTGTGAATTCAGATATGTTAGTTCAATGGGACAACGTACATCGAGATGACATCGTACACTTATGATATTTTATTTTTATTATTCTAGCAAAAACGTGACTATATATTAAATTTTCAAACGACATTAATTATGTAACTTAGGGAAACATATTCTCATAAAAATAATCGACACTCCTAGGCGACAGGGGAAAAGATGACCAAAGGAAATGTGAAAAAACCAACATTTTCCAACCGATTATTGTTGGTGGGTAGATTTACTGCGAAAAAATCGAGTACTGCTCGAAAATCTTTTAACGTTATTAGAAAAGTAAATGTCTTCCAAATCGAATACGTACGAAATTAAACATGAAATCCCTTAAGTATTCCTCAGATTAATCCCAGTTTTTGCTTCATATCAGTTAGAATAGTGACACCGTACTAAAGTGTACGACGGCGTGTTTTGTCACTGTACGTTGTCGATGGTTAGGCGCGTTATAAACCAATTATAATTGATAAAATGATACAGGTTTACATAGCATAGATTCATGTGTCTACTACATAGGAATACGATCGAGTGATACACATAACATGATTGTGACAATCGAATAGATAAAAAACGACCCAAAACGTTATTATACAAGGTGAATGTAAAATTGTCAAGATGGTTGAAACAAGAAGTACATGTATTTTTTATCACATTTTGTCCATAAAAATGTATGTCTTTCAGTTTGACCTTGTTTCAATTTTGTTAGTTCAACGTATCATTATATCATATATCACCAAGGTTAGAAAAAGAAACACTATTTCAGAAACATCACTAACATAAACTACAAAGGAGTTTAAGCATTCTTTTTCTTTTTGAAAACTTTTTCTAAAAATTGGATACAGAAAAAATGTTTTGAGAAAAAATGTTTTTTTGTCTGGGGTGGCAGTTGGTTTCTGTTGGTTGGCGTCTGTAACAAATTTTGGCAACTTCAATAACCTAAAAAATATACTGTTTAGATTGACTTAAATGTTTTCAAAATCATCTACAAGTTTTCAGGAGTTAAAATCTGACTTTAGATTTGAGATTTGATCTTCAATGACCTTCTCAAGGTCAAAAAAGGTCAAAAAGGTCTTTTTTCAACTTGCATCAAATGGACCAATTGTTTTTCAAAATCATCTACCTTCAATGAACTTTTCAAGGTCAAAAAGGTATTTATTCAACTTGCTTTAAATTGACCAATTTTTTTTCAAATCATCTACAAGTTCTCAAAAGTTCAAATCTGACTAAGATTGAACTCATAATTAATATTGTGAGCAACTAGGTGGTGATATTATGCCTTGTTAATGCCTTGTTTTGTTGAAGGTATATTGTAAAATAAACTAGATTTCGAACGTAATGAAATATGGCTTCGTTTTTAGGGTCTGGTTGTGCAAGTCAGCACGTCATAGAATTATCCGTTACTCCCAGTGCATCTCTGGATCTCACAACGTACCTTTCAGAAGAAACTTGTGTCAATCCCTTCGGCACATGTACATCAATTGAGCCAAGTATTGCAACATTGCGTTTATCTCAAAATGGGCAAAAAGAGACGGATCCTTTTGCGAAGAAAAAAATATCAGCATGTTTTGATCCACGTGACGGATGGAAATGGACGTACATTTCCTCAACCACACTCGGACACGATTTGTTTTCTTTGGTGTCCGTAGATGAAACCATGCTTGTATTCAAAATTGGAATACTTGATAATGAAGGTAAGCTATGTTTAAAGTTACTTTACACGACTAATGTACACTGTAATCATGGGCTCTACACTGATAGAGCCCATGCTGTAATAGAGGAGTGTGAAAAAGAAGAACCAACAGATTTTCATGTAGCAATCCGTCAGAAATTAAAATCAGATTGTATATCAATATGAAATTCTGATTATCGGTTTCCTAACTTTATTAATTGTAATTGGCGGATATTTAAGGATCAATAGCTACGATTTCTACAACAGAAGAAATATCAGATGAACGAACAAACAGACCAACGCCAACTATTACTCCAAAAATGACAAGCACACCAGGTAGAACAGCACTTTCGTTCTTTACGATTCTAGAAGCATCCGCAGTTGGGATGGACGTCACTCTTTTATGACTTGTAAATCATAACAATATTTTGTAAACTAATTAGTCACACCTAACTCATTTATATCTTGGATTACAAAGGTATCAGGTTTTCATTGATTGAATATTTTCATTTGATTGAAAATCAAACTGGTAAAATAGTATGACATGTCTTTTTAGAATCAATTTATGTCCGAAAGAAACGAATTTACTTAAATGACTTTACAATCGGCAGAATATTGATAAACAGCTAACAAAATTTCAATGACAACATTTTCATTTTCCTATTGAATAAGCTAATTTGCTAAATAGTTAAATATTCTATTAGATCTTTATTAACGATTAAAGTAATAGGTTGTCTATAAAACTTCTCCATGGACATTTGCATATAGGAAATTGTATTAGTTAATCACAAAATTGCTATTATTTATAATTATTTAGAAATAACAATTAATGGTTAAAAAGTGTTATTAGTATTACTTAAATAACAAATATTCTATTCATTAATCCGTCCAAGGCTGAAGGCAAACATAATATATAAAGGTTATGTACTGGGAGGTTCTGGATATAGGGTTTATCAAGAAGGAGATATGCAATTATAACTGGAGGGCCGAGGGTAGATATGCATCATCTCGCGAGGGATGAACCCCATTTCCAAACCGACCGTAGATAACTGCTTTATCCTATACCCAGTTGAGTTTTCTTGAATATTTTTTTATCCATTTCTTCAAGATTTTATCAATTTTTTTTTGAATTACCGGAAGTGGGAAGATATGCCCAGGAGCGGGAAATATGGAGTTTCTGGATATCGAAACCTCAAAATCAGGATACAAGATATATCTTACCAATTTATCTTCCTAAAACTTACCGTTTGCATTCATTCGACTTCACTTCTTGAAAGAGAGCTTGTCTTCAACTTCAACTAGTTTATAACTAGACTCTGCGCGCAGGGTACCTAAAAAACTAACTAAAAAATTCTACCGGACATAGGATAAATAGAATTATGCCTCTGATATTTTTAATTATCTACTTATCTGGTTTCTGTAATTCGATTCCGAAGATGGGAAATTACATCTTCACCTCTTTTTGTCTTGGTTATTAGGGTTGTGTACTGGGAGGTTTTGGATACAGGGATAAATCCTGTATCCAAAACCGACCGTACATAACATATGTATTTCATACCTACTGAGGTTCTAGGTACATCATACCTTATAAAGTTCTAAAATTCCAAAACATACTTAAGGTACGCGTTTTCTTGGTCTTAAAGTTTGCGAGATTTGCAAAAAATTGGAAAAAAGACATTTTGTTCTAGCGACAGTGTGCTCCTTGGAGAGGCAAATTAAGATAACTGTTGGAATAGGTGAGAAGGTAGAACTCAATGAATACTTACGTGATGAATACTGCGCTAAGAGTCAACAGTCGTGCTCACCAGTCAGACCTACAAGAGGGAACGTGTATGCTACAAATAGAGGCAAAAAGCAGAACGTCTTCAGTCCAAAAACCTGGAATTGTTTCAACCCATCGCGTAACAAATGGTTGTATGTGCCCAACGACTTGCCAGGAAATGACACATTTTCAGTAGTGTCGAGAAATAACACAAAACTGACAGTTCACATTATGATTGAAGGTATGTACCCGACTACCTGAGACTAACATATCTTTTTTTGCATACCCATGCATGTTTCTTTATATATCACTATTTGCGCGAATGTGTGGCGGTTGCAATTTAGGGATAAGTAACTTTGTCCCAGTTATTTTGCCAACGTATTTTAGAGAAAGTGTGCCAATTGAGAAAGAAAATAAACCTAACTGTTAGAATTGGCGAGGAATTAGAAATCACAGATTACATACAAGCAGATTATTGTGCCAAAATCCAACAAACATGCTTACCGGTTCAACCTACACGTGGAAAAGTGCATGCCAAATATAGAGGCAAGAATATCAGATTCAACGTCTTCAATCCCAAAACCTGGAATTGCTTTAATCCAATGCGTTATAAATGGTTGTATGTGCCCAATGACTCGCCAGGAAATGACACATTTTCAACAGTGTCAAGAGATAACACAAAACTGACATTATATATTGTGATCGAAAGAAGAAAACGTATGTATGAAAGTTTTGCGAACATTTTAACATAAACGTAGAAATTGTGAAATTATTTTGTGATGGAAATGCCTTATTGAAGACAGATAATATACATTGGTTGTAGAAAGGACATGTGTAACAAAGACTTTGATTGAGTTAAATGCTACTATTGGGAGGACATTAGATATCACATCGTATCTAAAAAATGGATTTTGCACAACGACGACAGCAGTTTCGAATGAATGTTTGCCTGTCAAACCTTCAGTGGGAACTGTGAAAGGTAAAAGAAGGTACACCCGAAGAGGAACATTTGAACCATTTGTGACGAAAACCTGCTTCAAACCGAATATCTACAGATGGACGTATGTTGCTTCCGAGTCTACATCGCACAAGGAAGACTCGTTCTCTGTTATTTTAGCTAACAATGAAAAATTGGATTTCAAAATAACCATGAAAGTAGAGCCATGGTTCTTTCCTATTTTTGCGGATGAAGAAGGCCGTAACTTCCGTAAGTGCTTGTTATTTAACGTGGTAATTTAGTTCAATAATCGAGTTTCAGGAGTTGTTATAAATTTCCATGGTAGAGTTGAGTATGGTTTGGCAACTGTACCATATTTCATAAAATTGATCAATTGAATAAAACAGCTACTGTAGTTACTGAGGAAACCGTAGATGTCGGCTGCGACCACCATAACAAAACGCCCAAAGGTATAATTCATGATAAAAATGAAGTGGTTTAATGTGTAATGCGACTATGAAAATACAGCTGAATGTTCGAACATGCTTTGTGTGCTTTTCAAAAGGGTTTGAAACCAGAGCATTTTTCATTTTCTGCTAGTTTTCTGAATATTTACATCTAAAAACACAATGTTTGATATTTGATGTCATAAGAATAGTAAACATAGACCCATTACATACATTCTAAAACATAAGTTGTGAAGATTGGATAAAAAATGCCAAAGTTAGAGCAGTTTTAGTGAAAAATTCTTTGACAGATATATCTGTAGCTCTGGGTTCCAAATGGATTTTATTTGAGACAGATATATATCCGTCATTCTGGGTATTCAAGAGGTTAAGCGACATCTGGAGTTCTAAAAGGATACCCACAGGCCCCTTTTATCAGCAAAGCGATTGGTGTTGCTAGAGGTTTCGTGTTTTACGTTTATTCATTTGTATGAATGACATTTTTCTGGCTTATCATATGCTTATTTTTCAAAATATAGGGCAAAGAAATTTCGAGCCTAAAATGCATTAAAAGTAGTGTTTCGACTGATCTAGTACTATTTAGTGTATTGCATGGCTCATAGTGTATGATATATATTCAAGGTTTCTAGCCATGCATGTATTCTTATTAGATTTAGAAAGCAGAGCCAAATTTATACATTTTTATAATCAAACTTTACACAAAAAATCGTTCATGGACTCATCTTCAGACTAACTTAACTAGCAGAGTATTTCAAGGGGAGGAATTACCAAATCCAAATCAAGACTTTTGACGTCAAAATACTCCCGAAACCGTTACATATTTGAGTCCTGTACATATCTTTTATCGTGTTGTTCCCTGATGTTTTCCAATCATCTCCGATCCGCATCTTTCGGTCCCTTACCCTACTATCACACCAAACTAGTTCTCACTACGTTCTCGAAAACGGGCTTAAACTGTGCACGAACGGATTTGACGTACTAAGAACCAACTAAGAACCATTTGGGATCTGTTTACAAACTTCATGAAACTACTAGAACGAGTAGGTCCTCCAGAACTTAGAGCATGCTCAAAATTTTCTGGTGATCGTCAAAACGTTGCCGAATGGGTTTTAAACTGTGTGCGAACTGAATGAACGTATATACAACGTTCTACGGTCTGTTTACGAACTTCATGGACTTTCCCGGACGGGGAATGTGATTTAGAATCGATTCAAAATTCGATGGCGACCATGCCGTTCTGTAATCAGGTCATGATGACCTTCTAGACTAAGGGACGGTTTATACTACGTTGCACACCGACATGGTGCGACCTGAACGAACTGCGAATAAGATGGACGTATTGAAGACTGTTTATGAACGAAGTAGCTAATTATTTTAGACATATATCCCGACCGCAGCCAGATTGAGCCCGTTTTACGACATTTTCGTAGGACTAACAAGAACGGCTAAGAACTAGTTTGGTGTGATAGGGGGGTTAAAAAGGCAATTGTAATCGTATTCATATCCGGGTGAGGAATGGTCATTGAAGTACCACCGATAACATGGGATATGTTTATATCGTTATTATTTGAAGCATTTTGAAATTTAAAATTTCAATTACAACTCTACATTAAATACTCTTGATAACATCACAAAAATACTAAATTGTATTGCAGAAAACAACTGCCAGGTAACAGAAGTTGTATATCTAAATGTAACAGCTACAAAAGCAATAGGGCTTACCAAGTATATGGAAAAGGAACGATGTACGGGTACTCACGGTTTATGCTCTGCAAGGAAGCCGTCACAAGGAGCTCTGCGAGTGAAAGGTTCCGATCCATTTAAGATGTCTAATCTAGGAAACTGTTGGAACGCAACACGCCTTAAATGGACTTATACGTCAATGAATGATAGGGATGGTCAGGATGAATTTTCTATTGTGTCACTTGGTAACACTGAACGAAAATTCGTAATATCCATAATCAAAGGTAAGATGTTTATCTCCGTCTACACTGATTTCTGACTTGGTTATGAAAACGTGAGTTATGCTACTGACGAGGAGATCAGGAGGGCTGGAGCAAAATAAAATTTTATTTATGAGGACGTTCTATTGTGATTTTTATTTTATTTTATTGCTTTTTCATTTCAGAAAGCACCTGTGTGTTAAACGATGTGGTATATTTGAATGTAACTGCTACAAAAACATTAGACATAACAGAATATTTGGGAACTGAATATTGTACGGGTGTTCAGAATGCATGCTCTGCAACAGAACCGCTAAAGGGAGATTTGAATGTGAGAAAAAACGTAAATCGATTAAATCCATTCGAGATTACTGGCTGTTTTAATCCCAAAAGCGGCTACAAATGGACGTACACGTCTCTGTTTGATACTAGTGGACAAGACGTGTTTTCCGTTGTATCAAAGACTGGCACAATACTTACATTTAACATATCTATCTCCAAAGGTAACTTTCTCATGTAATCATATACATAAAACATTATTACCTATATGACAAGTAAATTGTACTTGGCACATGGCGTCTTTTACTGGCACGAATGCATGTGGTGTATATATCTACCTTATATCACGTACCAATCAAAACTATGCTTGTCTAGGCTTGTATAATAGCTAAGCCACAAAAATCCATTGTTTTATCCACATTGAGAACCATCATTCAACAATATATCACAGATCAGAACTACTGAAATGTGAAAATTAGTAAGAATTTTTCTTCTTAAGTCAACATACCAGGGGCGGATCCAGGATTTTGTGTTATCTGGGGGGGGGGGTGTTTGATAATAACCGTGAGCGAAGCTTAAGGGGACCGCGTGAGTGGGCGCAGCGACCGAGTGCGAGAATAGGGAGGTCTGGGGTCCCCCAGAAAATTGAACATCATTTGGTGCATTTTGACCAATTTCAGAGCGTAGGTCCAATTCCCGGGTCTGATTTCAGCAAAACGCAATTGCGCTATTCTGACTTTTTAGGGGGCCCACGCCCCCGTCTATATCCGCTAGTGCATACTACTGTTTATAAGATATACTAGATATAGTAGTATAATATAGATAATGCTGCTGTAAAACGGAGCCGAGTCAAATGTGTTCATTTTGGCCCGTACAACGTCTGGTATCCCGGCTGGTATCGAATATTCAATAATTATTAGGTGTTAGGGTTGACATTCGTTCAAATACATACAGTATTATATATTTCAGATTGTATTCTCCAAAAGGGGGAATCAAAACGCGTGACTGTACATGTGCTAGGTGAGTTCATACTGAAAGAACTAACACCCGATGCAGTATGCACCAAAGTACAAACAACAAGAACTTGTCGAATCAAAACACCAGAAATGGGGAAATTAACGACTTCACTGACAACAACTACAATCGACCCTTATAGAAACAAGGGGTGTTACAGTGCTGATGGAACTTGGACTTACAAAGCTAAGCAAAATCCCGGCAGAGACAGATTTTCTTTTGTATCACCTGACTGTTGCCATAGTGTTGAATATGTCGTCAATGTGATTGAGTTGAATGGTAGGAGTTTTGAACTTTTATATGATCATATTAGTATTCAGTAGTGGGTATTAGGTACCCTGCGTGCAGAGTCTAGTTAAACTACCATTCGAAGCTCTCTTTTAACAAGTGAAGTCAATCGAATGCAAAGGGTAGGTATAAGGTACAGCCATTGCGTCTGTGCAACAAGATGGCCTTCCTTCTGGTAGCAAATTTTCTACATTTTGTTTTGTCCATTTAAACACATTCTTGGACGATTTTCTCCGGCCATCATCGAAGGCGTATATGCATGCAGGTATCGCATCACTATGCAGTGTGCGAGCCGTGTTACCCGCATTGGTTTCTTTTATTTTACTTCCAGTAGCTTGGTTATATTTTATCATGGAGCCTGTACATTTGAGGCAAATTCTTGATTGGCTCGTAGATAACTGCACTTGCAAAATGGTTCATTGTTTATTTGCAGATAAGAATTCTGTTTGTGGATTAAAAGATAAAGAATTTAAAGGTATAGAATGTAGAAATGTATACTCCAGACAGTGTCCAAATACATATAGATGCGTTAAGAGAAAGGCGTGTTGTAGATACAGTGATGTACCAGCCTGCGAAACAATTCTTAATGAGAATTACGGAAATGAAACTGTACCATGGGCTTGTCGTGGAGGAAACAGTAAACGCTGTCCAGAAGGCTTTTCATGCTACACACACCCCATGAATGTGTATACAATGTGCTGCAAAATCAGTGAGTTTTTACCCGTATAATATTTGCCCATTTGAAGTATATTTTTTTTAATTTTTTTTTTCAAAATCAAAACATATACATTTAATCAAGAATACAAAAGTTAAGTAAGGTGTCATAATATAAAATATAAATTTTCAGTAAGTACATAAACCTGCAGTAATCTCACATCTATAAGATGTAAAAAATAAAATAAACCTATAAAGATGTAAAGATGTGAAAAAAGTATATCTTTTTAAATATAAATGTTATGGAATTGGTGGACAGTTTTTCAATAACATAAAATTGGTGTACTAAACAAATCATCAATCTTGACTTAAAACAATCGTTGAAAATAATATAGTTTAGTTTAGTTTATTATTTATTAAAGTGTCACAGGCCTATTATTTTACATAATTATACGTTCAATTATTCAAAAGCCCCAAGCCAACAATGGCTTATGAGACACTGTCCATCTCAGAAATATTGCTAATAAAATTATTGTTTTTGAATGAAAAAAATATTAAAGACCGACAATCAGTCAATAACTAGAATGTCGAATAATCCACTCATGCTAAGAAGTCTTATTTATGATACATTTAGGCAATGAGAGTCCATGATCCAAATATAACTTTTAATATCCATGACATTTTACCACAAGTATATCAACTCAGCCGGCTATTGCAAAATTGTTTGTTGAATCTCACTCACATAATGTTCTTTAAAGTCCAATTAAGCGTGTGAGTATTGACCTAAATTAGGTTACTAGATTTTATCATAAGTCCACTGCAATGCTTGTTTCATGTCCAAGGCTTGAATGTAGGATGGCCCATTACCCAAATAAATTCATGTAATCCTGGAGCTCTTGGCCTCAATGTTATTGCTCTGGTGTGGCCAGATTTTACTGAATCTCTGCATATTCCTCAAAGTATATTCCAATTCTAGCTGTTTTCTGGTCTTTTGCTGCTCCACATATACGTTGTTGTATTCCTTAGAGTATCTTAATTTCGCTTTTGACTTCAATATACGTGCTTTGTCCGCGGGAGATTTCAACGTAACCAGTACAATACCAGCACTATCATGCCTTTTTGGTAGTCTTTTGACATCAATGGGGCACACATCTATCGGGCCATCATCACATACAATTTCGGACAGTACGTTGTTTACCATAGTAGAATCCAATATTGCTGAAGATTCCGGCAGATTCTTTAAGACAATTACAAGTTCATTTGCTGAACTTTCATTCGAGGTATAACAAGGTTTCTCAAATCCATCAATACGGTATTTCAATTTCTTGATTTCAGCAGATACTGCATTTACATGTTGTAATATTTCAGCTTTTTGTTGTTCCAATTTAGTCTCAAAATAACTCACCAACTCAGCTCGTTGAAGATCAATCTGTTTGAGGACTCCAATATTCTGATCCATGATTCTGTTCATTTGTTGTTGTAATGTTTGGATCGTTGCACCCAATGCCATTATTGATGCTGAAGTATTTGAATCCATTTTAGGTCCATCTGTATTAAATCCAAATCGTTTTCCAATGTCAGCCATGTTTGATTTTTCAGTGTTTTCCTTTGTACCAGCTGAACTTTCTGAAGTCTGTTTTTGACTGTCCTGTTTACACTTTTGCGATTTCTTGAGCTTACCCATTCTCTTTGTATATTCCAATTGAACGTTGATACAGTTATAAATCCATAAAGTTTACAAAAACATCAAAATTGCACAAAATAGTAGCACAGAATTATTCACGTGTCATGTTGGTACGGTGGCCTATATAATCTATAATATTACCTTTCAGCGCAGTGTACCGATAAGGTAGGAAAGACACATAGGCCCGAGGATGGAGATTTCAAAGATCCAATTGATAAGTGTAACAATTGCAAATGTCTGAAGAACGGACAAATCCAATGCACTGACAAGCAGGCGTGTAAACAATGCAAAGTCCCAAATATGAAAGCACTTCAACCGCGAGGCTATACCTACACTATAAATGATGGTTGTGATGAGTGCGAATGCATTTCGTCTCCTGTTACCAACTGCAAAGGACCTTGTGGTGAATATTCTTTGTTTTAAATTTAATTTACTTGGGACTCGAGATAACTAATGAATATTCTACGTTTTTAATTAGATTTTCGAGGGACTCCGAAAATATTGTTTTTAGCGAGTCGTAAGATTAAGATAACTGGTTTATCGATACTGCTTTTAACATTTTATTTCATCAAGAGCTTGAAGGTGCCAAAGTAACGGAATGGAGTGGAGATTCACCTTGCACAGAGGAGTATGGATTATCAGTGAAGATTAAGCATTGTATTAACACAAATCTAGACGATACAACTAAAACATGCAGGATAACAAAGACTGAAACTAAAGAGTGCAATCCGCTCCTTATGCCTAGTAAGCCATTTTATGATTTACACTAATAGTTTAGCGTGCAATTTGAAATCCAAAGATTTCATGGAAAAAAAGATATTTAGCAGAAATTATAATTTGGTATATCTATCATAGCTCGGTGTTTTGTAGACAATTAATACAAGTTTACGATATTTTCCCTCGCAAATCCCATTATTAAGAGTGAAGTTTTAAAATATTTATACTTATAGAGACAGGAATACGCAAAACAGAAGCAGCCCCATTGGTGATAGGAGGCAAAAAGGTCAGTCCTGCTAGAAACTATCGATGGATGGCTCGATTGTCCCACATCGAATCGCCGCATGGATTGTTGTGTGGGGGATCAGTGATATCAAGACTCCATGTACTTACTGCTGCCCATTGTATCTGTTCATACTGTGAAGGTTGTGTTGTAAAAGACAATCAATTGGTTCCTTTTTTTAAAGGGTAATGTATCATTGTCTCATTAATAGAACTTAACGATCGTCATCAATACATTATACATGTCATGTACACATGGGTAATACGTGTAAGGCACCCCCTCGTATATTCTCTATGGTTTTAACATAGATAATATATAAGAGAAGAATGTGACTTACTCCCCGTCCGTGTATGTACAACTGTAGAACGCCGTCAGAATGAATATATATTTGTTATGAAGATCGCTGATGTTATAAAGGGGTGATATGTAATTTCAAGGTGTGGAATCCTTGTTACTGTTGGTGATCACTCTATATCGACGACTAATGAGGATGTGGAACAAGTACGAAAGTCTTTTGTAATGCAAATACACAGGAATTATAACAGTACTTCGTTTGATAATGACATAGCCATTCTAACCCTGGAGCATCCATTGATTTTCAACGATGACGTACAGCCTGTTTTATTGCCTAAAATACCACCTGGGATACTAAAGTTATCCAAGAGATATTGTACAGTAGTAGGTTGGGGTTTGACTGGCCCCGGAGGAATATGTAAGAAAAAACTCTAGTTCCTATTTCTTTTAGTATATTGCATAGTAAAGTAATACTAGATAAAGTGTATATTCAAATATTTTTTTACTATAACTCTCGGATGAAAACGTTTTACTGAATTGAACTTTGGCTTCGCATTCTTTTCAAATGGGTGAATGACCCGCTATCAAGATGTATAAAATTATTCAATATCACATGAAATTTATATCACACCATTTTGTATTTTCGAATGAATTTTATTTTCTCTGCCTCATAGCCAAAACCTACCAAAACCAACAGTTATGTTACACCACACATCATGATACTTCCCAAATAAGGTATTGACTAGATGGACGCCTAATATGCTGATTTGCATTATTTTCTTACTCATTAGATTGAAATTCATGATGGTTCATAAAGTTGGCTCGACCATGTAATTAATGGTACATGATCCCAGTTACATACACTGTAGACCCTTTTGAATTTTGTATTTCAAAGCTGACGAGTTGCAGGAAGCAGGATTGCTTCTCGACGAAGAATGCAGCCGGGCGAGTATCGTAACAACAGAGAACATGATATGTGCAAACATCGAACGTTCAGGAGCAGATTCGTGTTATGTGAGTAAAAACTATTCAATCAATGTCTTGAAAGTAAAACAGATCAATGTAGATACCATGCTTATATTCTTAATATAGCTAGTTGTATAATTCAATCAACGCATTAATCGACATAATATAGTAACTATTGGTTCATGTATGTTTTATTTATTTAATAGGGTGATTCTGGCGGGGGATTATCCTGCCGTCTATTTGGACCCAAGTACCCATGGGCCATATTTGGAATCGTTAGCACTGGGAGTAGACGCTGTGGAGCGAATGGTGGAGGAGCTTACACTAAAGTTCAAAACTACGTGGATTGGATAGAAAAACATATATCTAGTAAGTGAGATCGACAGTCAGATGTATGAGTATTATTTCGGATAGTATCTACGCCAAATGCAGTGACAAATTTGGAAACTCACGGGTAAAGACATGGTGTGGAAAGAAATAATTTTTGAAAATCCATCAATTTTACAAATGTATCTCAAAATTAAATAATGATATTGTATTGTAATTATTGAAACATGAATAAAGTCTGATTTTTATTATTCAATTTAGCCGATGGGTCATGGGGCGAATGGAGTACGTTTACACCTTGCTCTCAACTTGGACAGAGGTCCCGTTCGCGTGTTTGTACAGACCCGTTACCAATTAGCCATGGGAGTTGTACGGCGTTGAATGGTGAAAAAATGAATATTGAAGTGGACACAGAAAATTGCTGAATTGCATTATGTTAAAATAAAGCATATTCAACAGTTTATTTTCCCCCACTTTTGTTTTGAATTTGGTTATTGTTCCTTTTATAATCTTAATAAGAGAACTTTAAGTGCAACAAAATTTTATTAACATTTGTGACGAAAAAATAACATTATGTACATTTCTATATATTTGTGATATTAACATATACATGAGATTTGCTATTTTTATTCCATGATGGTGAAATCCCAAGCAATTTAATTAGCCAATTTGATTTAATATTTATTCACCCTGGAATACACGCTCCATATTACACGCAGACATCTTTTCATTCTGTATTCCACTTACATATCATCATGGATTAAAATCACAGTGTGGTTACTATTGCTATGGTTATTGTTTCCGTGACATTAGCATATTACAAAGATGGTGTAAAAATTGTTTTTCAATATGATCTACTGTTTTCTGATCATCCATGATGATTAAATAAACCATGATTACACTAACTGGTATACAGCAGATTAGTCTTCTACTTACCTGTTATTTAAGTAGATAAGGGGTATCCAGAGTCTTGATTCAAGAGTAACAGTAGATCATTCTGCAGCAAACGGTTTGTTCACATAACATGGAATACAATGAAGCATTTCAATATAAATGGTGACCTTATCCTACGCATATGAAGATGTATATCATAAGATCGATGCCATCATGAATTTATAGAATTACCTTTAAATACCATTTCAGTTAATAGCCAGTCAACAAGGTGCAGTGTGAAACATCGTACACCTTTACGCCGCACCTTGAAAACGTTTGTTAACATATTTGTATATAATTTCTTTTAACTTTTAATTTCGCGCCAGCGCAAATTTGTAACAGGCTCTAAGCTATAACGTTAATACCTGTATCAAAATACATTACAATTGCTCTTTAAAATCATTGATATAAGACTTAAAACATCTAGAAACGTATTTCGTGCTATAAAAATTTAAAACCTCTATCATGTCTAAAACTGGAGTCTTTAATTGCAAATCGCAACCTCTTTGGTTGATTGTTTAAACAAAATAAATTACCAAAATCAAGACATCGATTGAATTATTTGATAACGTAGAGTTAAGGTCGAAAAATAATTATTACATTTCATTTTGATATTTTTGTTTGATTTCGACAAAAATGTGGTATCATATTTCCAACTTTAATTACTTAATAACGCAACATTATTGCGATTTGTTATTTTCCCTTTAAAGATATGAATTCACAAAAAGAAACATGTATGATGTACACTACATGTACGTGTATGTCTGTTTATAAAAACACTTTTCACTTAGCAATGGTTATGTAGTGAATAAATAAGGTTATAAAATATGTACTGGGAGGTTTTGAATATAGGGTATATCCTGAGGGATATATTTATATCTCACCGAGGGGAGATATAAATATTTCCCGAGGGATTTACCCTATATCCAAAACCGATCGTACATAACTGCTGTATCTCAAACTTCGAGTGGGTTTGGGGTTCTACCTTTTTCAAATGACAGGATAGGCCTATTTATTGTAAAAGCACACTTTTTATTTAACATTTTCGTAATATTCCTTTAGTTCAATACAATGAACTTGTAACATTTAAACTTTAAAAAAATTAAACTTTCAAAATTTAAAACTTTAGATTTAAAAGTTTTGAAAAAAAACTTTTGAAAAATTCCCGCGAGCGGGATGGATATATTATGTCTGCCCGCATTTGGCCTGGAGCGGGACATATACAATATATCCTGCCCGCCTTTCAAATATGATGTATATTCCCGGGTGATATCTTCCCCAAACCCACTCAAGTATGAGATACAATATATTCTCTGAAAAGATATGAAAGATATTCTCTGTCATGACTGAAACTGATTAGAAAAGCAGTTAACTTTTTGAAAACAAGAAATCGCTGACTTAAACCAACATTTATATAAAATGACAAGTAACTGTGTAACCTGTGTATTATCAACATAGATTTTGATAACACTTTAATCATCTTTTTAAGTTTAAGGAGAGCACGCACTAAGAAGTTTTTAAAACTTATGGCATTCACAATATCCATGTTAAATGATTTGAGAGAAAAATAAAAAGGTTTGTACCAAAGTCTAGTTGTTTGAACAAGTTACTGTCACATATCCTTATAACTCAGAATGGGTATTACGAGGCTAAGTCGCTGTATGAATCACATCCCTAATCGCCTTTTACAGTTGTTCGCTCGAGTCAAATTATATAGGTTAACGACCTCTCAGAATGAAAACATGTTTTTAAATTGCAAGTTTTGTGATTTGATCATCCCCGCTCACTATTGTCCAGAATTCATTCCACAAGTGTCCTCATATTCAATCGTATTTGATGGCGTCATAAATTTTAATCTGGACATTGCCTAAACTTAAAGTTTAACTGCACACGTATGCGGCGAAGGACCAATCGGAGCCACTTGCCGTCAAATCAGATACATCTGCTCTACTATCCAATAGTTCACAGACCTTGTTCGAACTATCATAGTTGACGGACATGCACAGAGCATTCTGTAGACAAAAAACGCAGCAGTTCATCTTGCTCTGACTTGACATGCTGAGAAGGACGTGTCCTATAAGTTTAAAGCCATTTTGAACATTGAAATATGCATCTCTCCCTTGATTGAACATATGTACACAGTTGATCCGCGAAACAACGGTTGAAGAAATGGTTGAAGCATCCGTTGAGGAATGTGACGAAGAAACAGTCGAGACAACGGTCGAAGCAACAGTTGAAGCAATAGTTGGTGCAGCCGTTGGAGTATCAGTTGAAGTAATGGGTGGAGCATTCGTTGAAGAAGATGTTGACGAAACGGTTGAAACAACAGTTGAAACAGTAGTCGAAGCATCTGTTGAAGCAGAGGTTGAATTACTCGTCGGAGCATCGGTTGAAACAACTGCTGAAACACATGAAATCAATAAAGAAACATGCCTAGGGAAAATGTCGGTTTAAGAATTGTCTTTTTGCAGTCTTCGACCTGCTTTGAATGGTCAGGTGCTCCAGAACTTCGAGCATACAAATTCTGTTTTTTGTATGCTTTAAGAACTCGTTTGCTGTGACTCATCATGAGATATCATGGCCTTCTATTACCTTCTTTCTGATGATTATCAGAATGGGTGTGACTGGTTGATTAGGGAATTTCACCCAACCCCAGTCCGTTTTACCATATTTTTCGTGACGGGATGAAAGCCTTAAGAAAAAACAAGTATATAATTTGACGGGTTCAAATTAATGCAATTCTAATCACTCCAGTCTTCGATACAAAAACTCCCTTGAATGAAAAGATCTGAATGAGAAGCAACTGCGAACTTTTATAAATGTCAAGAAACTATTTTGTCAAGTTCTTTAGAACTATTTATTCTTGAATGTACGCGAATTAGTCTCTCGATGACATCACTTTCAAGCTTGGCGTGAGTGGGGTGTGGCAGTTTGGTCAGATATGACATATTTTTATCAGGCAATATCGGAACTCGCTTTCCTGGATTTCCGCTTATTTTCCTGGTATGTTTAAACAAATAACATATATTACAGCTACACTAGCATTTTACGTAGAGTTAAGGTCGAAAAGATGCACACGAAAAAAACTGTGCAAGATCAGGGTTTAAATTAGATGCAAACTATACCAAATTCAAATGCATTGAACCCGTTCGACATTACACATACCCATATAGGATAAATCACTTACTCGGACAGGTTTTCAGCTGCACTTCGTCTGCCATGCCTACACCTAAGGTAAAAGGAGCTCCAAAATATGCCCAATGGCAAGTCATATAAATGAGGCTATATTGAGCTACCTGGCAGTTACTATCCAAAAAGCACTTGTTCAGGCAGTCATATTTATTAAGTGATTGGGCTGCTTTGTTGACCGAAGACACGTCGTTGCTTGTTAACGACCCCATTCTGCATTGGCCTTAAAGCAGAAAGCAGTCAAACACTTCAAATAAAACATGTTTTTTAGGAAAAATATGCAATATTATATATTTCATACTGTTGAGGTGAATACCTAGGCCAGTAGATCTTCAATATCTCATCAACAAAAAATGCTAGAATATCTTTGTTCTCGTGGTCGTCACGTTCTACAATTAGAACGAGTGAAAACGTACTAACGACGAGCTGGACGTACTACGAACGGAACCGTCGTACTTCAATCCTACTAGGGACGTTTTAACAATGAGTTGAACAGCTGTCTGAGGACGTGTTTAGAACGAGGTAGAACTAATATTCCAAACGGGTTTAAACTGATTAAGAACGTATTTAACACTGCTTATGAACGAGTTAGCAAAAATATAGCTATCACACCAAACAAGTTGCCACTGCGTTCTCCAAAACTGGTTTTAAACTGTGTGCGAACGGAATGAAAGAAGCTGCAACTTTCTAAGGTCTATTTACGAACTTTATGAACGTTCTCAGACGGAAATGTGATTTCAGAATTTTGAATTGATTCAAAATTCGATGGCGACCATGCCGTTCTGTAATCAGGTCATGTTGACCTTCTAGACTAAGGGACGCGTTCTACTACGTTGCACACCGACGTGGTGCGACCTGAACGAACTGCGAACGAGATGGACGTATTGGAGACTGTTTAAGAACGAAGAAGCTAATTATTTCAGACATATTTCCCGACCACAGCCAGATTGAGCCCGTTTTACGACGTTTTCGTAGGACTGGCAAGAACGGGTAAGAACTAGTTTGGTGTGATAGGGGGGTTAGAGAAGATTCATTGACTAGACTTTATTTGTATTTTCAATAAAAAGAGATTAATTTACATATATTTGGGAGAACTGACACGTAAACGTGTACGTAATACTTTGACCCTCAAGAATTGTTGTCCACCTCTCAATTGGTTGAAATGGGAACTTTTTTACAACTATTTCTTACACCGTCATACTCAATCCGTCAAATAAAGGCCAGTGAGGTGAAAATAGTCCATAAGAGGGGACCATAAATTACACGTTTCACGTACACGTTCTTCAAAACAGTGCACCCCTAATAATATAATACGTGCAGAAAAGTCATCAGAGCATCAGATATGTTGATTTTAACATTTTAAACTAATTTGGTTATGTTATCCAATGCATTAGCAGAGAACCTGAGCAGAGCATGGAACGTTTAGAGTGAACTATAAATGGGGTACTACTTACTATCTGTAAGCTCACACACGTAGCGCATCTGTGATGAACATGGTGCTGCGTACCATAACAAATCCTGGTCGATGTTAACACAATAACTGGCCAAGCCAGGCTCATTCACTCCCCAGTTTAGATATCCCGGAGATGAAGCATCGTTCCAAGCAAGTGCACTGTGTACACTAGGATCGTTAGATAGGCCAATCCACATATTTCTGAATGAGAATTATCTAACAAATAATTTCATTACAACAATGACAATTACCAAATTATTGTAATCCGTATCTTTAGTATGGCAATATGGTTTCAAAAGTGACATCATAGCACACAATAACCCCGACTGTGTCAAAATGGCAAATGAAACAAGAACGTGAGCAATCTAGGACGTGAAGATCAAATGAGAATTGGGTGAATCCTTAATCTTTGTTTCTTTCAAGAGATCAACATGTGGCAATACATGCAATACAAAATCATATTTTGAAAATAGAAAAATTGCATTTATGTTGTTAATTCATATTTGGTGTACTAATAAGCCAGCAAAAATTAGTTTTGTAAATAATTAAATGACGAAATTCAACTGAAATTATTTTACTCTTTGGAAAAATTAGTTTTGTAAGTAATAAACGAAGTAATTTAACTGAAACAACTCTATGGAAATCGCACAAGTAAGTTTTGAAGATTGAAATAGCTACAGTTATGTTCAAAAACTGAACAAATATAAAAACTGGAAAAAACTAAAACAAGCCCAATTGCATACCCGGCTGCGCCAATATTTGTTGGCGCGTTATGTTTGAGAAAGATCACTTTGTCTTCAGTGTTAAGCTCTGCTAACTGTCCCCCTAGATTCTGACACTGAACCTGGGCGTCACTGTAGCTTCGAACGTCACTGGCAGATGATACCCAATAACATGTGTTTTCAGCGACAGTATGTGCCACGTATGTTTCAATATTGGTATCTGCAAACACAAAGTTTCATTTCAAGCAAAGCTAATTACCTGTTATGTTATCGTTTAAAGTTAATGAGTACTTACATTTGATAAGAAGTAAAGGGAACTCAGAAAGTGGAGGGAACTCAATAAGTGGAGGGAACTCAAGAAGTAAAGCGAACCTATCTTCTCTGAAGGTGTACCGGTTTTCTCAATAACTTTCAGAGAGAAGTTAAAAAGTTGGATACAAATCAGAGTTTATTTTTATGATTATATCAATAAACATTATACTCACTAATACCCACAGATGGTGTATAGTAATATTCGAAAGTGTCGTAGGTGATGGTGTCGATTGCGCAGACTTGTGATGGCCATCCAATGCAGTTTTTTGATTTGAAATTATAATTGACGGATTTGCAACCTGCAGCTGATGCTGCACATACAGTTATACATGTCGAGAGTGAGTCTCGAGATCCAAATGCTTCACTCTGCCCTAAAGATCCCATACATTGTTGTTTAGTTGCGTGTGCAAATCCATCACCAAGGGTCACTGTAATTGTCAAGAATAATGTGATAAGTGTATGGTTATACTATACAAGTACTATTTATTGAATTCCAAATCACTACTCCCTATACGAAGTGAGCGAAGGTAGCCAGGATTTGCAAAGGGGGGGGGGGGGCGTGGCGGAACAGTGGTTGCAAAGGTAAAGCTAACATCTAAATAATAATTTACAGAAAAAGTTACAAGATTTTTTAAAGCTATTTTCCTTGAAGCGGAATGTATTTCATGAAGTCGACAAATCAAAATGAACAATGCATGTATAGTACACATCTTCGTTTTCCAAGGTGATTATAACGTATAACACTCATCTTCGCTCAGCATTGTCATTCTGATTATTTGATCTTTCTCCTTTCGCAATGAATAAAACAAATCACTAGCATAAAACATACACCGAGTAACGTCAGAGCCTAGTACACTAGGGGATGATGCTATATTCTTCTAAACATAGAAAGGTAAGGGGAACCGTAGAAAATGTGACTATTGCAGCATGTGACCGTACTACGGTGGCATAACTGCTACGTGACTGAGCGAGGCATTAACAAACTAAAAGCAAGATTAGGATGAAATTTACCCTTGATCCCAGAAAAGAAGCGGAAGTCACTCAATGATTTTGCACTTTAAACTTATCTAAGACAATTGGGCATTGTTTTTGAAGGAGATAATTGAAGCCATGATATTATGGTTTAATTGAAACGTAATCCGTTTTAAGAGTCAATTACTAGTACATTGTAAAAGTCAATACAATTATATTCGTTTTTAATGCTTTCGATCAGAGACATACAACATGTCTCTGTTTCGACATATTGTAATTCCATTATAAAATGGTGCAGTGTATCAATAACTTCATCACGTCTGTCAAAATACAATACAGAGAAGTTAATTCGATTTCAAGAGGAAGCTTTTTCGAGAATTCCATATCGGAATAGCAAGAATGTTAATGCATCGTAAGTTATCTGTTAATGTTAAGACACCAGATTCAATAAGTGACACCTTATATAAGAAGTGCATTGACCAATTATAGAATAGCCCACATTGTTGTATATCCGCATAAAATAGTTAAAAGTGTTATGTATTAAGAAAAAATCTATACAGGAATTAGCACGATTAACGCATCTTACTATGTAAACTTAACCCGGATGGGGTTTTATACACCAAGGTGATTTTAGTACAAAGTCAACAACCCCCGTGAATTATGGACTTTTTTCTGCTTCTGCTTCATATACGTATTCGTATTCGTATTTGTATATTTAGGATATTTATAGGTAGATTGACAAATGTATTTGTAAGTTAAACATTTGTACTCGTTGAATTTACGCATCTTATACTGAAATAAATTTGAAAGTCCTTACGTACTTAAAGTATTAGTAGGTGTCATTCAATATGTATCAATGTAGTTTATTATTCAGTTTTACGGAAAATAGTACTTATTATTCTCCCGGGATTATTCTCTTCTAAAATGTTGAAAATACGACTGAGAGTTCTCAGTATATCAATGAATGGGATCATATAAATAAAAAACTACTAAGTATCATCATATTTCAATGTCTCACGCTTCAGTATTGTAAATTAAGAAAATGCATCGATCGCGATGATATTTCTGTATTATAAAATATCGTTTATGGCAGAATGAAAAGTTAGAAATACCTATGGTATCAATATTTTCAAATGCAACTAAAAATAAAGAAAACAATATCGTAAAACGAATTAGCAGATTATTTTACACTCCCCTCCATAAGTTTGGCAACCTTAGCTCCCCCATTGAACTACGTGTTAAAGCCTCTTTACGATTGAATTTTTTTATTAACTTAACCTGCGATGAAGATACTTATACTATGATATTCCCATTGGTTTACTTGGGAATGACAATTTTCAAAAATTCATCAAATTTATCATCAATTTTCGACCTATTGTACTTGAGGAAAAAATTGGGAAAATTTGGAGGGATTGGAAATAAAGTCAAGTCACGTTTCCATTGATATTATAAGTAATTTCGTCGCAGGGTAAGTAAATAAAAATTCAAACGTAAAGGGGCTTTAACACGTAGTTCAATGGGGGAGCAAAGGTTGCCAAACTTATGGATATTTAGTATCGTACGAGAAGGTCTTGACTTGTATGTTAAAAATATATGTTGTGGATCTAATAAGCAAAGCACTTTTTGCATTTAGTAGTGTTGAAGGAAATTATACAGATCTAATTTTATTGTATTGACAAAATTAAAACAACTTCATTTTTTCTTTCTTTCTTTCTTTCTTTCTTTCTTTCACTTCAGTTTCATTTTTAGACCATCATGTATATTATACTGTCAAATAGATTCTGCCAATGCCTTTTTCCAATGGCATAAGGGGAGGCATCAAACGTTCAATGTCTGATGGGAAAGTAAATAAATCTAGTTTTGAATTTGACCCCCTCCCCCAAAAACTAAATGCCACGAAAGTTCATCCTCCGATCACAGGGCTTCAAAATCCAGAATATATTCTTTCTTTTTACCTCCTGCGATAAGCACTTAGGCTTTCCCCGATTAAGAACTCGCAATCTGATTGGCTGTCGCAACACCGCGACAGAAATCATGTATGTCATTGCGCATAATAAGATCACGTGATTCAGTTTAATCGGGCGCTTCCAAATTGGTTATAGCAGGGGGAAGAAGGAGGTACGGATTCTGGATACCTGCTTAGGAAGATGTGAAAGTTGACAGCGAACTTTTCGCATGTTTTCATGGATTTGGAAAATTCTTAAAACATGTGACAACAACAGAAAGCATAATATTACATGTTGCATGCAAGAAAGAATCAGGTGAAATCTATATTTTTAAAGACATTTCCAAGACATTCTGAGTCAAAATTGCAAAAGTATTGAAATATCGAAATTTGTCGGATAGCAAATTGAAATGGCTTTGACCCCCCCCTATCTAGATTTATTTAGTTTCCCATCAGACATTAAACTTTTGATGCCCCCCTAATCAAAAATGATTGAAATCACATGAGTGTCATACGATTTGCCTTTATAGTCACTGAAACACAATACCTGGGATTATTTTGTCTCACAATAGACAATACATCTTCCCTTACATCTGGAAGTTCCCATAGGTGAAGTAGAAACCTGTCATTTGACATTGTATCTTTAAAATGAGGTTCTCATATTGGAGGTTTGGAGGTTTTGCAGTGACATCAATGTCAAAAACATTGTCTGAGCGAGGCTTGTTAGTAATTGCCTTAATGGCGTTTCCAGTTTTTTGCATTGTTTTACTGATATGCGCTGCTTTCAGGGTCGGCTCTTTTGGAACACAGTATACATGAGAATTATTTTGCCATGATAAAGGAAATCCCAAATCGCTACTTTATGATATCACTAGAATTTCAATTCTCTTGTTGTACACATAGTAGTCAAGTTTACGGGTTTTTCTGATTCTGTCAGTTCCAATTGTTAGAAATCTATATAGATGAACCATACATTCAATCTCACCTTAAATTCACAAGCAATAGATCCTATGTACAAATTATGGATGTAGACAAATTGTGCGCCCGACATGTCATAATCCTATAAATACCCACTTTAACCGATGATCATCAACTTACATTCGATCCTCTATTGTTGATTGAACCAACATACATTGGATGGAGATTTCATTGCTATTTTTGCAATTGTATCATTTAATGTAAACGATACAATTATCGTCAAAATTAAGTTCATTTGGTATTTGTGATGAGATATTCTGATATCAAGGGAAATTACGTTTTGTCACTCATTGCATATAATTATTTTCAAAAACGGAACAATAATAGTTTGGTATAAAGTAATTAGAGAATAAAAAAGTATAATCAAAACAATTCATACTTTTATTGATGTAAGATTAAACGTAATCCAACAGCATTTCATTGAGATGTAATCGCAATAACAAAGTAAATATTTTTATTTCATGAAAATCCGATCTGTACAGACGGTACGAATAGTATTTCAAAGTTTTGCTAATGCAAAAGCTATAAAGTATAAATGACATTAAACCTATCGAGTTTTTAAATATACTCACACGCCCAGGATTCGTCATAACACTTGCAATTAGACTGTGGCGATACTGGACAAGTGCTGCTCACACCTTTAAAAAGCAAAGGTGATTTGTTTGAAAAGTATACCACGATGGTGTCTTTCGGGTTACAAATCCCGTAAATCAAGGTAGTGCCATTTATTTTCTTTTACTGTTTTAGTCATTACTACTCCAAGTTTGTGTAAAATGAAAAGATCCAGAACTTGCGAGTTTTAATGCTAATATAATAAATTGCGATATGTATTGAAAATTCAAGAATATTTCAACTTACCAGCTATCCATGCGTGTAATACTAGAACTGTCGCAATGGAAAACATTTCTGGTGGTGCCATTTTTGCAAATCATGTCAAAAGCTACTTTTTAAGTCATTTGATCCTTTTATACGAATAGGTCTTTTCTCAATGAGTAACTTGGAAACACTAATTTAATTTATCGAATTTTCGTTTCCTCATTGACAGCGTAAGTCATCACTAAGGACAACCATAACAGCACTCGATAAATGCGTCCATAGATAGGTACATAGAATAGTTGAATATCCGACTTCCGTTGCAACCCTACTGCTCAGCACTATACAATTATATGTTTTCAAAAATATACTTTACTTCCGAATCAGATGTTGCCCCAGTGATTTATTAAGTCGTTGTAATTATCTCTCTTCGGGTCTCTATTCAACACGTCAACAATTATTGTATGAGCCCAAGTCAATTAACAAAAAACAACGAACGTATCATGCAACTTGTTAAAATTTAAATATACGGAAAATGCCACAATTTCTTCCTTCAATTCTTACATTCTACACACTAGATAATTACTTTCGTCATGTCAAAAGTGCTACGGTAACATAACAAATAATCGACATTAAAAAATGTGTTAATTGTTCTGATATAGATTTTGATTCAACCATTGTTCATATTGAAAATAAGAACTCGAGATAATGAGCCATCAGAAGCCAATGCATTATTTTTCGTGTAATATACACAAATTAGGATTTCAGATGTAAATTGTCTGAGTTTGGTGTTTTGTGAGGTGGGGGGTTTCTCAAGGTAGACATCATAATCCCGTGATGTCAACACTGATCTACCGCTTTACTCAGAGTTCTAACTGTGGCAATTAAGAGGCAAAAGGGTAATTGCGTTGATGATGAATTTTGCCAGAGTTTTGCGGTTTATTTAATAGTCATTCATTTATTGCATTTAGGTTAACTGGCAATGATTAGTATGAAACAAGGCATTAACATGCAAAATACCACCACCTTTCATTTGTTACAGACGCCAAACGCTGAGCGCCGAACACCGTCCATACAAAATTGAAGACAATATGTCACCATCTGAAATGGTCATCTCCTTTTCATATATTTTTAATTTCATATTTCTAATTTTGTATTGAAAAGACTGAAGCTCATTAGTTAATGTATTCTTGCAATACAAGTCAAAGATCACATCAAAATATGATATGAAAAATACACGTGCCATATACAGATTCCTAAACGTTGAAAAACGAGGAAACCCGTTGTGTTAGGCTCGATGCATCTAATCTCAATTAATTTGTTTCGATGTTGCACCAATGACTAAACTATAAATGGCTTAAAAGAGAATATAACACAATCGAATATTTTCAATATTTGATTGTATTCTCTGCTGGTTCCTTTGATGTTTTTTCATCTCTCAATAATAGTAACCATTTGTATCAGTTATTAAAATACTTTAATAACTTCGAATTCATGCCTCTTGGAGTATGAAATAATCTGTTTGATGCCATCTTTTAGATGAATTGTTTGTTCAAGTTACGAGTTAATAAACTATAGAGTACCGATCCAAGTAGCAATAGGGAATTCCCCAAGGTCTGTATAGCATATAAAAATATTTATCCTATGCCAAGTAGAGTTTTAGGGAGATAAGTTGGTAAGATATATCCCGTATCCTGATATTGAGGTTTCCATATCCAGAACCTCCATATTTCCCGCTCCAGGGCATATCTTCCCGAAATAAGTTTGAAAAACTTCGAAAAAATGTGAAAAAATGTTGAAAAAATTAGAAAACTCTACTGGGTATAGCAGGATAAAACAGTTATGTACGGTCGGGTTTGGATATGGGGTTTATCCCAAACCTCCCAGTGCACCACCCTTATATATTTTATATATTATCTAATTCATGAATTTATTGGTAAAATATTTGAAGTGGGCAGTTGTTGTAGTATTGACCATTTCGGCTTTGACATGTACACGGTATCCACTTATTAGTAGCCGGGACGGAACAAGCCATACACCTCTTTTTTCCTTAATACTCTTTCAATTCTCAATATTTTTTCATGAAATCTTCACGGGATAAACTTTAAAGTTGCTATAGCTACCGGCTGCCATATTTTCCATCATTATATGGGACACAATCAAGTACATGAAAACTTGTAATTAAAGTACGCTATAACCAAATAAAACCAATATGACAACAAAATGTGCCACAGGTACTCTCCAAATATTGACTTCCCTGACAAGCTCAGCTCACGAGGATAGTGCTACCCGAAGGAAAGGGCCCGGGGTAAGGGGGACACTAACCTACTAAAGAAATAACCTGATAAAATTCATTATTTCAAAGACGTATTTCCGAAAAACACGAGAAGAGCTTGTCAAATGCAACCCCCTGAAATAAATCCTGTCGAATTTATTGCGAGCAGTACGAACAGTACGAATAGTGGACCAAAAACAATGTCCCAATTCAGCAATACGAACATGAACCGTGTTCCAATTTCCCAAAAATATATGTACGTGGGTGTGTTGAACAACATTGCATACTTTTAAAAGTAAGTGGATCAATATTTACAAATACTCAGGGGGTAGAAACGCGTCCAGTATTTTCGTCTGGTACAAACCGAGATACTGGACGCAGACCTCCATTTTTGATCCAGAGAGAGGTAGGTGTGATTTTACTCGGTAGCCTGTTTTACAGTGTTTCCTTATGTAGTAAGTTACTAGTAACAGGCTCATCAGATTCCCAGTACATTGAGGAACACAAAATTCTTAAAAAATGACAGTCATTCATCTGGAGTTTTTGTAATGTGGGGTTAAGCACGGAAATACTTTGATTTTTTCCCAGAAAAATACACGAATCGAGTCAGATTTATTTTTATTTACCATTTCATCTAGTGTATGGAATAAGAATTACAGCTTCCATTCGGCAAATTTTAGCTTTGAAATAATCGGAAATTTTCTTTTATCGATCATTTTTAAGCTAAAATATGCAGAATACCGCGCCGAGCCCATTTTTCGAGGATAAGTATTCTTGCCATATCACATTCTCACCGAACGAAAAAGGTTTGTCCCGGGAATTTTATTTTTCCTTTACCATCGCGTTTGCGTTTCTGTTGTATTGCACACACGTTCTGATACATTCTTATTTGAATGATTTAGGGTACATTTTTTCTAGTTTGGCAGTGGCACACGAGACGTGTATATATTTCAAATAATTATCTTACTCTGAAGTGGGATTTAAAAAAATACTGGTCAGTTCTTTAAAAAGCCAGGTATGATCAAATTACCAGCAGCTAAGAACCAATCAGATTTCAGTATCTAGACAAGGTGCATAATAAATTTTGAAAACAATTCAATTAATTGAACGCGCTTCATTATGAAAATAGTTGGCACGCTTACTCCCCCCAAAAAATCAATTTATCTATTCTGGACAAAAAATCATGAAAGTACTTGGACGGATACATCATCTCGATGCTATATTGTATTTGTAAGTGGGTCTACGTGTATTTAGCTGTTAAAGAACAAAACTGTGGTAAAAGCCTTACACTTTCAGGTCAGCACTTAACAGCATACAAAGGATGATCGGAATCCCGAATATATTGATTTCAAATTTGACTTCCATGTGTTCAATCAGGTAACGATCGCAATCTGTAGGATCATTGGCTGACATACATTTGGATATGTTCTTACGTTTATAATCATAATTTAGGCCTAGTCAATACTGGGTCTAGTTTGCCGAAATACATACTCTTAGATTTTCGGCATAAAAGGTAAAAATTGTATCCGCATTGCCAAGCGTGGATCACGTTCCTTCTTGGTGAAAATTCAAGATATTTCTACAAAAAGTATTTAAATAATTAGCTCATCAAGAAGTATTTGGTTGCACGGGGGTAAAGCAGACCCGATGATGCAATGAGCTCGCTCGGCGGTATCATGACTGTGTAACGGGTCTTAATGTATAAGTGTGCTCGGCGGTAGGTTCAAACAACGCGGATCCTCAAAGCATGTGCTCATGGTATATTCGTGTTTTAACACTCGTGTGGTTGTGTAAGGTTTGCATAAGCTTCACAATAATTTAATCATGTAGTTTCGCTCTGGCTTTATGCATTTATAACATATCGGGATCATTCAAGGAGGATTGGCTCCCAGAGTGCAACCGATATTGATGTGAATCTTCTGAACTGTTTATTTTGAATTTATAGTGGGGAAAAATTTCAGAAAATAACGACATTTCGACGTTTTCATTGTTGGAAAATATCGATGTTCCATCCTGGGAGCCAATCCTCCTTGGGGATCATTATAAGTTATGTACTTCCTGAGACAGATTGACTTTAAAAAGTACGCCATAGGGTCCATGGTCCATCTATCTAACGTTTTCAAATTAATTGTTTATTCTCTGTAATGCTATAACTTACTAAATGTTTTATCAAAGTATAGTTCAATTGCAGCAATGAATGCATTCAACAATTAATCCTGTCTTGTCTAACACCATCTTTGAATGCACAGTACAGTCATCCAATGCTTTATCTCTCAACAGGATGGTACAGGACTTGATACACTCACTGGTGTAACTTGTGTGATACCATAAATGTTTCCCCAGTCTTCATCAATGTATTCTGCTTCCACTTTATTACAGTCTTGTTTGAAATGACACCATTCATCATTTCATGAATTCATTGAAGAAGTAAGATGGTTCCATAAGATAAAATAATGATAGTGATCGATGGAAACGGGAACATTGAGGGAAATTGATCTCGATATATATTTCTTATTCGAACATGACTGTATTCACGCCTTCTATAAACTGTAAACAAAGTCAACATTTCACCCGGGGTATATTCGCGAAGAATACCCCTGGTAATACGTGTAATATGTGACGTCATGTTTTCATATTCGAATCGTAATATAGACCTCAGAGCAGGGGTAATATCGTCGAATACAGCCCTTAGGGCCAGGCACAATTAAAAGCTTTCGAGCATAAAACGTTTGTCCCTAGCCCTGCGGAGTGTATTCAAACGATATTACCCCTGCTCTTCGGTCTATATTTCTTAAATCTTGGCAATAAGTTTGAGGAATATAATATATACATAATTGCACGTGGCATGTATTCCAACAATATCGGTCGTCTTATGGCTTCGGTTGCAGCATTCCATCAGTAGCCAACATACGTAGTCAAATATGGGCACCGTATTTCAATAATCACCTAAAGTCTCACTCAGCATTTAGCATATGCTGGATTTTCTACTCCATTTGAATATTGAGTTGGTGTCTCACTAAAGTGCATGCCCATTTGAGGTGATCCTCTATGTGGCACAGATGGAGGGACGGGTTGGCCATTGGAGAGGGTCATCACTCGTGGAGAAGTCGACATCTCCATTGGTTTAGACTTAGGGTACGGTTTCATCGTTCGTAGTTTGTAGAACTTGTATGAGATAACGAGGCATACAACGACCAGGACCCCGACTACTGATGGAATTAATATCTCATTAGGTATCAGCGGCTGTTTGTTGAACTTCCCTGGAACAGAACGGCGGATTAGTCTCGATAATGGGAATAAGAATGGGATGGGGAGGGGGGGGAGGAGGCTCAGACACTTGATACAAGACTCACATGATATTTGATTGAGATTTTCAATGTTGATTTTGAGTTTTTTACAGTCTCATATTGTTTTTTGGAGAACTAGCAGTTTTCCAGAAGACTAAGAGCCTGCTTGGTATGATCATGGGCTATTTGAAAGCCCATGGTATCAAAGAGTTTTAATAAAATGTATAAATAATTTAATAAAAAGTATGGGACACATACGAGATAATTTACTTACTGCTCTTTTTATTCTTTTGCCCGATTTCACCTTCATTCTTCTTGCCAGCCGTTTCTACACTGGGACGATCATCGGTATCCTTTGCATGACAGCGTGGTACATTTGGTACCCAGCCATTCTTAGTACATTTCATCGTTGATATTTTGTCTATTGTGGCATTTTCATCGACACATGAGAAATGTATGGCAGTCCCACAGGGACTTTTGTTATTTAGTGGCCATAATTTGTTCTGTTTTAATTCCTTCTTGTAGTGTTCAATGTCTTGAATTTTGTCATCAAAATCGATCTTATCAATTTGGACTTCTTCATGCAAGCTGATTTGTCCGCACATTATCACTATAAATAAAAGTGCATGTATATCTTTAATGAAATTCTTGAAATCCTCTATTGAGAAAACGATTCTAAATGATTTAAAAATCAGTTTATCACATTCAATATCTGTAACTGAATTTAGCATTCTGATACTCATCACATTTTTCTCTCTTCAACCAGAAATATGTGTATTAGTGTGAAGCTAATAGCAGCCATGATATCTCATGATGCATTCAGGGCATTCTGCAGGAAACGTTACGTATTTAGATTAATTTGAATTGAACGACATTGCAGAATTATGAGCAACGGTGTGTTTTATAAGTTATAAAAACAAAGTGGCACGTACAGCTGCACTTTGTGGGTTTATTGGATTCATTCCACACTCCGTCCGTACATCTACGGTTTTTCACTCCACTTCGTTTGTAGCACGTTTCGCAAATGATGCCGAGGGTGGGTCTACCATTGTTCGTTTTGATGATCTGCCTAGAATGCGGTCCACTTTGATATGGGTCACAATCGAAAGGCTAAAACAATCATTTTACAAACTTAAAGTTCGATCGGTACATTTCTTTTAACTGTTACAATCATCGGAGTAGCATGAGGTAGGCCCCGCAGAAACTTCAGGGATAAATTTTGGACGATGTCATTAGTTCTTTATGGTGACATTTGCCAAGGACTTAGTAGGTGTGCCATTGACACGTAGGCCTTGATCACATGTGATTTATTTATTTTTGATTTAATTTAATATAATTGTTGACGAAAAAGAGTAAGTGGTTAAGAATTGAGCTCTAAAAGACCAGGGTGTAAATCTAATTACAACTCACCCATATTGTTGTCGTTCTCAATGTCTGGATATTCTTCTTTTTGCCCGAGTCCACTATGAAAACCAGGTATATAATGTTAAGGAGCACAACAGCAGCGTATGTATTCATTCTTTATATATATTTATCACAATCACCCATGTATTTGCTTTATCATGAATGCAATGAAACCCTTTTCATAAATATGATAAATATCCGTTTATTTTTGATACAGGATCTATTGTGTACTTTTATTTTGCTAAATGGCAATCTAATACGTCTAAATAATCTTAATAAATAATACGTAAATGCACTGTATTGTCATAAGTGTGTTGTGCTGAATCTATTTCTCTATATGGTAATTGTTATTAGACACGCTTTGTTTTATCAGCTGTGTGTGCATGCCATCGCTATTATTTAGAAACCTAATAAAATACAGTAGTAGTTGGAATATCAAACGTATATTCCTCTTTTTCCTCCTAATTAATATTAATTACAGTTTTTTTTTTATAAATGATGGTCAAATTCTGCAGATATCACTTCTAAAGCTACATGTAGTCTAGCTACAAGCCTCTGTGACCCCTCTCTCTCCTAGACTACACGCCTTCTCACACAGTATTGCAGGGTGTGTGTGTGTGTGTGGAGGGGGGGGGGGGGTAAGGTAGACTATTCCATGGGCTTTTTTGGTCTAGAAATGATATAATATATGTTCTTGTCTAGGACGAAGACTTATTTTCTTCATCCTAGGTTCTTGTACTGACTTTATTCAGATTACAAATTGAAATTGAAGAAAACATGAGAAAATATAGAAATATAGAGTAGAATTCATGTTCTTTGTGCTGGCCACTACATGTATATTGCATCTACCACCACACGACGTAGGTTAACTCACAAATGGTACGAAATGAATCATATTGTTCTGGGAACGTAATTATTATTCCATAATGCTGTAATGAGTTTAAATATCGCTTTAAGCGGAATGAAATTATTTTTTATTTACTATTTCAATGTCATATTCCTCACTCTGTGGGTGGTCAAGGCTAATACCAGGCCCGTAGCCAGGATTTGCCAAGGGGGGGGGGGGGGGGGGGGGTTCAGTTTTCAAAAATTTCCAGGGGGGTTCACATTAGTTCAACGTCGTTAAACTCAATAACGGCGTTCTTTACTATTAGGAATTTTCTTGGGGCCGTTATTGAGTTTAACCTCTTTGCTATTCTTTCCTTTGATGCAAGTTCTGGATCCATCGAAACCATTTTGCCGCGATAACGTGCAATTGATACTTGACAATAATATAAAAACACATAACATCAAGCGATTTAACACAATATTATTGCGTTAAATGTTCATTTATACTTGTAAAATGAGGCTACACTTACCGATCTCTAAAATGACATTTCCGCATGTCCGTCATTGTGTCTGTTCGTCCGAGTGTCCCGGATCGTAAAATTAAACTACTAGCGAAACGAAATTGTTGTCAAATAGATTGTTAATTATTATCGCGATAAATCGCATCAAAAGATAAATTTTGAGGATAGCAGGTATCTTTGATTGATTTATATAGCGCGTGTATACACGCAAAATAGTTATTAATTGCAAACCTACTGTTTGTAAATGCAGTGCCGCGATGACGGTTAATTGCTGATACGATTTGCAATTTCGATGTTACCGAACTGACCGACATTTTCGTTATATTCCAAACCTGTCTCCAATATTTCCGTAATTATGCATCAATAGGGTCTAAAGGGGATACGGGATGGTGTGTATGTATTCATAAGGTATGTATGCATGCTTGAATCACATTGTGTGTAATATGACCATGGTTTCAGGGTTTAATTCTTAAAATCGCGGATTCGGTAGTATTGAATCTCTAATAAAGATGGCGCGAAAGTTTTTCCTTATAAGGTCAAAATATTTCCCATGATGCAGTTCGCGGGGGAACAAAATTTTTCTACCTTGTTTTTCCCCGTTGGTTTAACATGGGGATTTTCATACCCATTTTTCAAGCGATATTTTCGATCGAATCTCCATGCGATCGGAGAAAACAAACTATCAGAAACAATTAGTCTTTTAATAATCTTTATATAACATATATTTTTTTTCATTTTATTGGCTCCTAACGGGGTGAAAACAATGATTGAAAATGGGAGTATATTCCGGAAGAGAAGAAGTCACGTGACTAGTCGCCATATTGGAAAAAGCAATTCCATTCGACTTTCAACACGTTCATGCCAATATTACCGCACTACAAACTGTAACATCGATGCAACAACTGAATAAAAGTACTCATCTTCATATTACATTATAGAGTTACGTTGAAAACCCACAAACAACTGAGCATTTGACCAAAGAAGACACGTCGCTATTATCTAGGTCAAGTTTAGTGGTTCGAAAGCAAATCTTACATACTCGTTTCCGAATTTTGTTGTTAATTGTATAATCTTTTATTGATTAAATCTGGTATACTGACTATTAATTCAATGACAAAGAAGAAGAATTCCGATGGTGTCATTTTTTTATTTAGCTTGCGGGTGTAAAAACAAAATTGCGTAATTAATTTGATTTAGAACTTTCGGGTCTCACAAATAGCTACACGAAATGCATCGTTGAAAAATATTGACCAATCAAATTTTGTCCTTTTTGAGTACATATATGCACCATATATGCGAACGTTCTGATTCAAAGAGCGAACAGCGAAATGGAGAATTAGTTCCGCTTGTCGAAACCTGCTGAACGATTAAATTAACGCATCAAGGGCAAAATGAGCATGGAGGTTAGACCTAGCCGGGGCCATAAGACATGTCAGATAAGAAACGAGGCCCAGGCTAGGTCTAATGTTGTTGGACTAGGTTCACATTTGACAATTTTGGCCCAAATATGGCTAAAATCACAAGAGAAGTGCTCAAAATGGTGAAAACTGCATGATTTTGACTGAAGAATTTTTGGCCAGGGGGGGGGGGGGGGTTCGCCCGAACCCTGCGAACCCCCCCCTGGCTACGGGCCTGAATACCATACACGATCCAATAATACCAAGCCATATTTTCCAATCGTTCAGTGTAGTTAGTGTTCATCGGCTTCAGTTCGTCTAGTGCAATCAATCAAACATTCCCCGGCTAGCATCGATTGCACCTTACATGTGAGCAAAGATACACACGTATCACATTTAACAGACAGACCACTGTTAGATCAATCGTTAAAGGACATATATATGCACATATAACAATCATAGCGTGGTGAAAATAAAAAATAAAACAAAGTAAAAATGAAGTAAATATAAGGTTATTCTGTTCTGTTTTTTCGTTGAAATCCGTTGACAATCTGTTCACAGGTTAGCTATCCCATTACCTTTCGGGTGTGAATCTTATTAAAACATCTTTTGGATTATGGCGACTGCTTTGCGAATGGATGTTAACCCTTTGAATTGCCTTTGGACTTCGAGACTGGATTTCATCTATCCCTCATCATTTGAGACTTAATTCTCTCTTACTAGTACTATACAGTATCTATGAACAACTATGTTTGATGTAATGAGTATTGGCCATGATGTCTTCGATTTCAATGCACCCCAAATAAAAGATTTCTTTTCAAATATCATTTCACTGTCTGCTCAGGAAAAATGAGCGAAATACTTATCTAACTAGCGACGGCATTTTTCATTTCTCAGGAATTAATCCGTCAGAATTCACTGAAATTGCCAGCAAAAGGACGTATTTTTGAGACTAATTAGTCTTTTATTCAAAAGTCTCCAAGAATAACACTCTCAACTCGTTAAACTCCGATTAGCTGAAATATATCTGTTTCATAACGGTATGGAAGGAAACGTTTATTATCAAGAATTGAATGTACTTTTAACATGTAATTATTGTGCACGAATCTGTGACAGTGATACAGAGCAATCAACATGTCAGCAATCACAACGCTTTTGATGGGCAGTCATATTCATTCATGAATTATAAGTAATACCTACTTCTAAAATACAAGTAGAGCAATTTTTTGCATCATCACGTTACAGTCGGAAATTAGAGAACTATGTATTGATTTACAAAAAAGGCCATTGTCGAAAAAGTTATTCAGGTATATATTCTAATGCGCATTGATTTTGGGCGTCTCAAAATTGCTGTAACGATGTAATGGCTTTGGAGTCATTGTTTGTCGAATAAAGAATATGTTGTTGACGTTCTCTGTTATTTCCGCTGGCACTCATTCAAACATTCCATCTAAATCCATGAGTAACTAAATTGTTTTGTTCGCATTTTTGCATGTTTGCATTTTTGCGCTTATGATTTGCTATGTTCAATGCTTTTTTCTCCCCATGCTCATCATTTGCAAGCAATATTGAAATGTTCAATTTTGAAGTCTCATCGTAAAATGTGAAAATGTTTTTAAAGATACTATGTTTGGTAATTAAATAAAATGCATACTGCACTGTAATATTTCGGTGAAACATAAAAAGTTCATCATTTTTAATTGGGAACAGGTCCAATTAGGCTAGGACAATAACTTATCTTAATGCTATACCACCTGTCCTGTAGTAGTTTGGTTTACACAGTCTAAGCTTTCGCATCTTGGGGAAGTCAGACGCTTAGCCGCCCAACCCCTTCGCCCCCTTAATAGGGGGTATCGGGTGGCCTGGACCCCGGAGGCGACTATCTATGTCATCACTCGGCCCCTAGGGGGCTATTGTCCCAAAGATTAATGATTATATAAGGTTGCATAATCAGGATTATGCGCTTTCATTGCGTAACATTATCTCATGGTTACGTATTCGGTTATTTTGTATACAATTACGCAAGCTCTATTTCGATAGATAGCCGTGTCCCCATGCCAAAAACATTTTGTAAAATGTTTCATATTTATATAACATAGAGGTTTACACATGTTCTTTGGATATGAATGGCCAATAGATTAGTAAATGGATCAATGTAAAGGATCGGAGTTTCTGAGAAATTGGAAATCATCGTAATATAATCCTGTTTTTAAGTTAGTGAGGGAAATAACCCAACATGACCCGATCAACCATGGCCATATCTTCATGTAAAGATTAGCTTTTATTGAAAAAACACATTTATTGATCACATCACTAAAAACAAAATGATTTAGGAATATGTTTATGTCGATTGATATCAGAACGGTGGGTAGAATTTCGAAACGAAAGTGGGGCGTGAAAAAGAAAAGTACTAAGAATCTCCTCTTCCAAGGAGGATTGGATCCTAAGGACGCAACTCAATATTTTCCAACAATGAATCCGATCTTGAAGGATGTCGTGATTTTCACCTCAAATTTTGATTTGCGAGTTTTGGTTTTATTACATAGCAAAAAGATTAAAAACACACAAGTAGTGATCAAGATATTAGGTCGAATCTTTTGGATTGCTGATAGTTTTATTACCAGTTTTATATCAGACAATGACAACAATCTGACGTTTTCTTTGTTGGTAAATATCGAGATTGCATTCTGGGATCCATCCTCCTTGTCCTCGAACAATTTAATTTTAATGTAGTTACTCTTAATTTTCTCTCGGGTTACTCTGTGACAAAAACAGAAAGATTTCAATAACCCATTATTAAGTCACTACCATAAGTGACATGTTATAGTCTCAAACTTTTTTTGTGGACGGTGTTTGGTGTCCAGTGGTTGGTATTCGACGTTCTGCGTCTGTAACAAATGTAATGTGGTGACATTTGCATGTTAATGCTTTGTTTTCAGATTAGAATTGAGCCCAGTTAATACTAGTCTCGGTTTCAATATATTGGCAAATCATTACGTTACTTGGTAACTTCATTTCATTATAAGCAGCTTATGAGAGTGCAGGGTTATAAAATCCAGATTATGCAAAGGTGGAAGGAATTATTAGTTAAAGGGATAATCACACAAAACATGGACATGGATTTACAATTGAATCTAAGTTCCAACTGAAAAAGATTTTTTGGCCTCTAATGCACGACTAAACGTAAACTTCTCTGGGTCTATCTGTTCCTAAGGCAATCGCGGCACAGAAAAAAATTCGTCAAGTTTCGTATATAGATGGAGTAAGTTGCAGGTCTGATATTTTGAATTTTTGGGCTTTTATCGTTAGTAAACAGCAGCAGACTTGGTACGAAGATATCCCAGTATTTCTTAATTTTAAAACATCAGATCCAAGCAAAAGCCATAAGATATTCTACCTTTAAATAATTTCATCACTTCAGAAGGTATAATTAACGAACAGTATAAGGTCTTTGTTATAACTGACATTGTACTTTATTAATAGTTTATTATCTTGTATTGATGAAATCCGAACAATGCTTTTAGCGTAATAACATCTCACCTACAAAAGTAATCTATGAAAGTATCTGGCTATTCAAAAGTTCATAATTGAAACACTGACATAAGTATATCACAATCTCATTAGTATACTTAGAGTGTCTTTATTATCGATATTTCTCTATGACACGGGAATTACCTGAACTTAAATTACCAATAGGTTAAAGGACAATGCTCAGATACCATTGGGGGTCGGGTAAAAGCATCAATATTCGTCAAGATATTGAATAATTTCGCTATCACCCCTCTTTTGATGTAATATCAAATACAGACTTCACAACCTTTATATTAGTCCCCCCATTAGCACATTTTGTTAAAACAATGTGGTTGGACGATATTAAACATAACCAGACAAAATTATTTACAGATGATTGATGGGCTGGCTAACTGGCTAATGGTGCTACTTATTCCTACAACGCAGTGTTCTAATTTTACTAATTAATTTTAAATAAAACCTGCATTTGGTTTGTTTTCGTGGAATGTTTCATCATTCAGTGATACAAATATAATTAAATACAACTTAACCAGTTAACTTGTTCAATTGACCTGATAACCAACTGCATAATATAAAAAAACTGGTATTTACACATGATTATTTACAATATATACAATGAGAATTGCCCTTAAGTACTTACGCTTAATACGTTCTCAATAATGGCGCTTAATAAAAATAGAATTTAATATAAATAAGTGCTTAATACAAAATAGAAGTGCACGTCAAAGAATGATAATGCGATGGTTATCGCAATCGATGTTTTTTAACCATAAATTATCAGGCGAACTTCTGGTATCTTATTCAATACCGATATGCGATATCTATTTGAACAGTTCAAAAGCTTTCAGGCAAAGATGTTTGGACTTGAGCACCCTCGTTTCCTAGCATTGACGTCATGGCGGCGGAATGTTCACGTGATCTCTGACGTAACGCTTCAATGCTGACATCAGCAGTATATAGTCTATCTGTATTAACTGTACTGGCGTCAGCAGTATGGTTGTTTCCTGGAACACAAGGGTATGATTGATTACCAATAGGACACAACTCCCTATACTCACTTTCGGATCTAAACGGGGGGGGGGGGGGTAGGTGCATTAGACTTTGAGCCCAGAAGAATGGCCTTTTACGGAAAAATACGTCTCTGTTTCTCCAAAAGTAAAAGTAAAGTAACATGGATTGCATGATATCAAACGGCAGTGTGGTTTTATTCGATGAAGACTAAAAATATCGATTTCAACATCCAACATATAGAAAAATAAGTTAACGGGCGTTACTTCTCCCGTTACTGCCCAGTATATACGTTTGCTGCAAAGTGTTCACTTTTCAAAGCTGAGTTGACTTGGGCAGTGTAATTAAAGTTATGTCTGATTAAGGAATAATTAAAGTATTTGCAGATTTGTTGTACCTACCCGAGCTAAACTGGCCAGTGTACGAGTGTAGAGAGGTCTTCAGGTCGGGGTATGGTGGAGACGCTTGGTTGGACTGGGGCATGGAGTGGTTCAGTTGACCCCACATGGAAGCTGACGTAACGTTGTTTCTCACGGACGCCTGGAGCAAATCAAGAAAGGATGTGATAATTAAGGTTATCATTATCCATAAACAATTTTATTTCTTCATTATTCTCATGATGCCATCTATTGATTGATTCAAAGTTTTAATGAAACATATTTTTCGTGATTGGAAGTTATAGACCTCTATCTATCCATATTTCACATTTTCAATATACACAAAATACCCTTTTGAATAAAATTTTGCAATTAAATATAAATGTTGTGCTGCTCTATTCCATGGCGTCGCCTGTAAAATATCAACTGATGTTGGTTTAGTGACAAGGCAAGGAGGAATGGCTCCCAGGGACGCAACTCGATTTTTTCCAACAATGAAAATGTCCGAATGTTTTCTGTCATTATAACTGATCGATAAATTCATAATCAACTGTCCAAAGATTTGAACCAATATCTGTTTGGAAATAAGACTAAAACTCGTCATTCTATTCTGAAGTAAACAAAACGATGGCTGTTTGAATTCCAATTTCGTAATCATGACATACACTCCCCTCCATAAGTTTGGCAACCTTTTTTCCCCATTGAACTACGTGTTAAAGCCTCTTTACGTTTGAATTTTTATTTACTTAACCGGCGATGAAATAACTTATAATATTAATGGAAACGTAACTTGACTTTATTTCCAATACCTCCAAATTTTCTCATTTTTTTTCCTCAATTACAATAGGTCGAAAATTGATGATAAATTTGATGAATTTTTGAAAATCGTCATTCCCATGTAATCCAATGGGAAATGGAGGGTTCGGGGCAAATCAGAAATCATGATATCTTTTCAGTAAAAAATTCAGCAAAAAATATTTTTATATAGAAAATTGAATTTTCTTACTTTTTTGAACACTAAGTGTTTAGTTTATTTGATGAATATTAAAGTTAAAGCGCTTCAAAGTCATTTTTGAAAATAATTTTTCGCCTCCTGTGTTATTTCAATGGGAGAGGTTTTTTGAAAAACAATTTTGACTTTAAAGCCCTATAACTTTGTTGAACCTGAAGAAACATATCAATTTTTTGTTAAATAAAGTTAGCAAATTCAATTACCTGCCTAACTCGTATTTTTGCAAGGACTCGGATGGATGGATATTCTGTCATATGACTTGCGGCAAACCTACCATTTCCCATTGGTTAACATGGGAATGTCGATTTTCAAAAATTCATCAAATTTATCATCAATTTTCGACCTATTGTAAATGAGGAAAAAAATTGAGAAAATTTGGAGGTATTTGAAATAAAGTCAAATTACGTTTCCATCAATAGTATAAGTATTTTCATCGCAGGTTAAGTAAATAAAAATTTAAAGGTAAAGAGGCTTTAACACGTAGTTCAATGGGGGAAAAAAGGTTGCCAAACTTATGGAGGGGAGTGTATCCACATATGGCAGAATATCGAGCTAGAACTCTGGGAGCCAGTCCTCATAGGTTTAGTGATAAGTAAATACACTTGTAATTTATAGATGTCTCACCTGTGTCATGTACTGTTCGGTGTATGAGGGGAACATCTCCGAAGTGTGACGTGGCAGTGGCTGGTTTAGTAGCGACCCCGACCGGTAGAGACTGTTGTTTGTATCTATTGAAAATATAAATATACTATCTTAGACTTTTTAGGATTAAGATCTCAAAGATTTCACTGGTTCACATAATTAGCTTTATCACTCTTCTTGATTAATATTAGCTGCCAAATAAGGATAGAAGTTAGACAATCACTACGGATGAACTACTGAGATATATTTCACAGGGGATACTTTATCTCGGTGTTCAGATAGTTGTCAAAAATGTTTCTTTTTATACACCCATAATCGGCCCATTGGCTTTGTTTTTAATACAGCAATTAATATTTGATATTAGTTACCTTGTGGCTGAAATGTATAACTGGGTTCAGCTGGTGTCGGCAGATATTGAAGGTTCATTCCAGGTATTCCCATACTGGGGTAGAAGCCATTCAGGGCAGAAATCTGGCTACTGCCAACCTGTTTGCGCCATCTAGCCCGTCTGTTACTGAACCATACCTAAAAAGAATATAAACGATTTAACGTTTTTACTCGGTAACAGTAAAAAGAATGGGCCACATGCCATGACGTACTTTATGACGATGATGTTTTGGAACCAAGGTAACTTAGGATTAAGACGCTTATCATTGTTGATCTTGAAATCGTAAGTTACGATGGTACCAAAAAGACCATACATTCGGGTTATTAAATCGATAGCCTTGATGAAATGATACATTTTGATCAAAGGATCGTTGATTTTGTGGACACAGTCAGTCAGAACAACATACACCAACTTCAATGGGAAGATCCTAACAGAGGAATCAGCGATCTTTTATAATTAGTCAACTGAACACTAATTAGTCAATTAAACCTATATATTGTGACCAAAGTCCGTCAGACTGTGTGACACCGTAAATGAACTAATCAAAAAGTTTAGACATAAGGGTCGGCCATTTATAGTTTCACCATATTCCATCAGAGCAACGCTTGTAAATCAAATAATTATACCGTAAATAGTTATGTAACCTACTTGTACTCTTGCCTCTGTAAGCTTTGTTCTCTGCGCCAACTCCTCTCTTGTGAAGATATCGGGGTAATGTGTCCTCTCGAACGCCTTTTCCAAGACCTCGATCTGCTCTGCCGTAAATGTTGTACGACTCCGGCGTTGCTTTCTTTCTAGCTTTAGTCCAGGCTCACACTCGGTATCAGAATCAACGTCAGAATCTGCAGTTAAAATCAAAAGTGGTTGAACTTTTTTGTCTTTCTTTGTTTGGGAAGAACCATTTACTCATGATGATGGAGCAGTGGTATAGATGACAATATCATCTGTGAATTTATATATGGGAATCCAGGGGCGGATCTGGGAATCAACAGGGGGGGGGGGGGGCAAATTTCAGGTCTGAGAGAAAACTTGAAAAATTTTGGGCCCCTAAAACCAAAAAGTGGGCCCGAATTGTGAAATTTTGAGGCCCACTTTCTTCCCTAAAACTAAAAAATAAGGCCTTAAAAAGCCCAAGGGAGGGGGGGGGGCTGGCTTTTAAAAAAGCAAAATAGAAAGTGTGAGAGGAATACATCCATCCTGGTCTAAAGGTAACTTCAATTCATCCCATCATGAGCTGGGACAATGAAGCCCGATTTTGAAGAATCATTATTGCTACATATAATATTTGTACCTATGTCTGGATTCCAGTTTACGATAGAATAAACTCAATTTTCTTAACTGCCATACAAATTGCAAAACATTAATTCACTGTTAATATTTCATTGAAATCATTGTGTCATAGTTTGTATTCTGTCTTACATGAAATATACAAAAACGATTTACAAAAAAAGTTTTTACAAGTTCATATCCTTATTTTATATTTTGCAATTCTAATCAAAATTAAGAATGCACTTGGTATTTTCTTTCTCAGGAACTAAACCATTACTATGTTTAATTCATTTCACCTAAACATATTATTTATTAAAAACAACACATCACAATCCTTGGGCTTTGTATGTGTACAGCCCAGACAGTTGTATCAAAAAAATTATAACATTACATATATTTATAGTCCGGTTAAAATAGAAAAGTCGCCAGCGACGAACAGAAATATTCAAGTCAATAAAGTTGAAATTGACAACGTAATAATGTATTTCAACTTCATAGTTCCCTTGGGTCAATTGGCAATTCAATTTTTGACAATTGTAATAATGTATACAAGCCATTCATTATTAATATTTTGAATAAAATAATATCATCATACGGTAAGTTTGATTTCATTATTGAGCTGAGAATAAGCCTAATCGGATCGCGTATCCAGCAAAACGATTTTACGCAATCGAATGTATAAATGTATTAACCATTTAACAATAACTTACTGGTCCTTACTTCATAACTCGAGGTTTCAGAAACGGACAACTACGATTGTGAACAATACTCTAGACATAAGATACGACTTTTGGATAAAACTGATTCATAATCATGCGAGAGACTCTGCAGATTTACAATTCTGATTTAAGAAAGAAATGACAAGTGAAGAGTCATTGTAAAATTCCTGAAATTATTTTTCCTCGTAAAATGAAGACTTTAATCAGAAAATGTTGACTTGATATCATACATTGAGGGCTTGATGTTCTTATTAATTTCTGTGAATTTTTAATGCATGCTTACATGGTGGGATAAGCAACAAGGAGGGAGCTCCAGTCAATTCCTCAGGTTGAACATTGAAATTTAATGCGGCATAACTAACATATTCCGGGCCATATTAATTCATAACTGAATGAGAATAAAATAACAAACTATAGCAAATGCTAGAAAGCCAAACCTAATACTTCGTTTAATTTCACGATAATGTGATTCATTTGTAAATGTGCATTAAACATTCTTTTTTCAAAGATTACTGTAGTTCATATACATAATTGGGTTGACAAAAATATAATTGTGAAACCTACACAATGATCTGGAAAGAAAAGAATAATCAGTTTGACTGGAGTTAATAAAAATGCAATAAAAGACTTTTGAAAAGGAAACCGTGAAAGTCAATGAAAAGCGCATCTCATTGTGAATGCGGCATATGAAGTCAATTTCGTTTTTATATACTGTTAACTGGACCGAACTTTGATGCATTCACAAGGAGCCTATCATCACTAATTGTCTGCCATCATAAATATGAATAATGTTTTTAAAGAAATCAAATACATAGGTTTTGAAAGTAGTGATATCTAAAGACAACGCCCTGTCAATGAAACATCTTAATTAATTTAGAAGAGATGAAACTACAATAGCTCAACGCATTGTTCAAGAAGAACACTTAGGAGTTGGGACCAATGAAACATATGCTCGTTGAAACAATTAAATTAAAGTCATGAACACGCTTATTTGCACTGCTCAATAAAATAATTTTATTAAAATGTAAAGGGTGTCAAAGAGTAAATGAATTTGAGGGATCCCTGTTGCTAACAAGTCATTACAGACTAAAATGGACTTCTGCCTATTTATAGTCAGTTCATATTTATCACTTGGTGCTTTAATGTCATTGTCCGGTAATGATATTTTTATTAGCTTCATGTTTTGTCGGTATATTCAATTTTCTGACCACAGATACGTCCCTAATACTGACATCGTCTGGAAATTTGTCTCGATCTCTAGATAACTAAACATGGATATATAAATCAAGTGACACTTACCCAATTCTGTTTTTTCACTACGTAGAATGCCATCAATTGAATGATCTGGGGTTATTGTAACGTCGTTCTCGTCACTCGCGTTGCCGTCATCTTCAACGCTCCTGTGACGACTTCTGAGGACGCGGCTGATGGAGCTCACACTAGGGACGTTCATCTTGTCACAAACTCCGTCTTTCAGAAGACGGTCACGTATCTCCCAGCTAAAGATACCCGGATTTTCCTTCTTGTAGTCTTCAATCTTACGCTCAACTTGCGGTGTTGCAACTCTAGGTTTGCTCCCACCGATCACCCCCGGGCGAATGCTCCCCGTCTCTTGATATCGTTGGAGTATCTTGCTGACGCAACCGTGCGAGACCCTCAGTTGTCTGCTGATGACGCAAGGACGAACGCCCTGGGACGCCATTTCAACAATCTTGAGGCGAATGTGGTTGGGAAGAGGTCGTCCATTGATGAAGACACCACCTAGCTGATTTACCCGGCCCTGTCCTAAAACAATTTAGAAATATTTGCTACTAAAAACAATAACTAAATAATAATCTTGTTTACATACAACCTAGTAAATATATTTTTCTGTTCCATTTTGAGCATTTTCTAGTTGTAATAATTTAAGGAAAGTAATAAACCTTGCGTTTCACTAAAATACATCTTGAGAGCTTGACAATTATGTGACCAAATAGTTTGCAAACCAAGACATTAATTTATTTATGTGAAATAGAACAAAAAGAATAACAAGACAAGACAATTACCCAAACATCCATATAATATTACAATGGCTTCGACACCAGAACGAAATAAGTGTCAAGCATTTTAATTTCAATTTCTTATGGTTCATTTTTGTCAAAAGAAACACGCTGGAGAGTTGTCCAGAGGGAAACCAGTAAATAGCAAAGAGATTGCATTTACCAGGATGCAAGTATGTAACACTACAATAGAATTCTAAGTAACTTATACAGCAATCAATTAGCATAATCAATTAACCTGGGTAATGAATATGCTTATACTGGGAGCAAGCGCTGACTTTCCAGTGCTTCTCCACCGTGTCAATGTTTACTTTCTGTGTTTTTGTTAATTGGATTACCCTATTCTCGATGGTCTATATTTATGTATTATATTTGTAAATTGCCCCCCCCCCTTGAACTCTAATCTGTAAAATGATGTCTTTCAGCCCGATGTTGAACTATTCAATCATTGGTAAAAATATTTTTCTAAACTTGGAGCTAATATCACAGTTTCAAAGATGGAGTGTCCGTACATCGCTTTTCATACCTTTCTTATGTCCAACACAATCACAGTCAGTATGAAAAAATGGAAAATGTGAACAAGTTTTCAATCTGTACATATGCATATAAGAATGGAGCCCATCGCTACAATTATGCTACAGTTATGTTATAAACTTCGTCTTTCAGAAGACAGTCTCGTATCACCCAGCTAAAGATACCCGGATTTTCCTTCTTGTAGTCTTCAATCTTACGCTCAACTTGCGTAAAAACTACATTTTTGGAAATCATAATGTGCCAACAAGTTCATCAATTAGACATTTGACAGTCTTGTAAGTGCAAGAAAAACAATTAGAATACAAGTTACCTTTGATGAGCGCTTCTGTTTCAATATTCACGTAATCCATACTGTATCAGTGGTGAGATGAAACTCAATCGAATTTTTATTCTGAACTCCTCCAAAGCGAACTTGGTACTTATCTTCCTGAAACTTTTTGATCGACTGCAAGACATGAGCTTGATACGTTTATTTTGGTCAAATTACAACACGTGGTCTGTCAATGCATAATGAATTAGACAATGGGAAAATGAGCATAGCCGATCTTAGGTGGTAATTAGCAAGCCTTATCAGGATCACCATCAGGTGACCGTATAAAATGCCTATTTGTTCTTCCATTCTTCCCTTTGATGACCCTCTTAAGCTCTCTTATCCCACTAATATCCCTACTGCACGGGACACTACATAAAATTGGTCGTAAAATCCTAAAAATGACATGGTGCCTCTGAGATTACTTCAAACCATACCATGGGAATTTTTCAATCTCGTTGAACATATAATTTTAATTTTTCAGTTAAAATTAATTTGGTGTACCACAAGCATATAAAACAAAACAATAACACAGTTGATCGTGAAGCTAAGGACATTTTAGAGACCAAATATAGAATATTTCCTACACATGCATTGACCGCAATCTAGGCGAGACGGATTTTCCCCAGATATGCCCCTTTATTTAAAAATGAAGATCAACTTGTCCATGGTCAACAAAAAGTGGAGTCACAAGGTTCCTGTAATATACGTTTGTTTTAGTATTCACCTAACCTTTTTTTGTATTTTCAAATATTTCAAAGAGGTGATCTTAAATCCATGTAACAATCCAAACCTACATAGAAATATGAAAGGTAATGGGGGAAGGGGGGGGGGGGGGGGACGTGATTTGATACTTTTTTGATAATTGATCACAAATGTTAGGAACATGGACTTTTTGGGTAGAGTAGATACATCTAGGAAATTACAATAAATCAGAGACTTTCTAAATACAATTTATATCACACAGTTTAGGGTAATTATTAGATAAGCCTTTTCTCAATTTATTTTGAACACGATTAACATTTATTGTGTTATCACATGTAAATATTTGGTTGGATTTCCTTCACTTCTCAGTGTCGATGTGAGTTTATTTTGCTTTATTTTTCAAATGTTACCCAATGTGCTTTTTTCATTGCACAAGGTTCTGCACAATCAAAAGCATTGAACAAATTACATAACATATTTTAGTTGCTGTAATGATATATGACACGGTGATACGGTGCAGTAAAAGTGTCACTAATTTGTAAATGACAGCAAATGAATTTGCATATTTTAGAAACATGTCATGAAAATTGACTGACGCAAATGCAGTACAATTAACATTTACAATACAATACAATACAATAAAATACTATAATACATTCAGAATATTGAAAACCCCTTCAAACCATTTTATTTAAAATTATTAAGCCAACATGCCGATTATTTGTTTAAACATTTTAAGTTGTAGTTTTGCTTCGAGGGCCTGCACCTCTCCCCCAAATTATCTGGTTATAAGGTTTCATTTTTGTAGGTATCTTTTTGAGATTGGGGGGGGGGGGGTTATAATTACATAAGGGCGTTATGGAAGACTATCTGTCATTTTGCTTTGACACAACTCGATTTATTCCGTTATTTCCAGGACCAGAAAATGAGAATAACATAAAAAATAATTTATTTAAGTTCCAAAAATGAACTAATACGAAATTGTAAACCGTGATCTGAGACCGGGAGTTGTTTGTATTAAACTGAGGGATGCAGGAAAGTCCTTGAAGTTGCAGTTTTTATTCTTTAAATTAAACATTACCCAAACGTAGTTAGCAAAGCCTCATGTATGTAAAATATAGTTTACTAGTATAAAGGAAAGACACGAGTCGCAGGCTAAAGATCTAGAAAAGCATTCAAAACAAACAGCCTTGCAAAACAATTTATATTAATAATGCAAATGTGCCCCACTTCATGATTCAAAGCATATGGAATTGTTCCATAGATATTTACTTAGTAAAGTACAAATCAAAGCACAAAAAATCCGCACTATGCTATAAAGATAAACGAATGAAAAATTTCTGAAAAATATTCTGAAAAATATACGTAGGAATACTTTTGAAAGTTGTAATAAGAAGATGATTAGTAGTGCAAAAGGTCGCGGTTCCCCAGACCACTTCAGACTAATACATAGAGTGAAGGATATTTACCCATCCTTAGATATACGAAGATTAACTTTATATGGGCCATTAAAACAATGGAGTACCATGAGTTAACTTTAATCATACATTAAAGTAGGTTTTATGGATAATATAACATCAATTTGTCTTAATTTCTTCTCCAGTTATCATTAGTCTAGAAAATGCGAAATGTTATACAACTTAATTCTAAATCTAATTGTTCGAATTATTCAATCAAATTTCACGGCGTGTACTTGAAAATAATTACATCGTGGTTATTTCAATAAAATAACTTGTTTCAATATACTAAAATACAACATGAATATGTTAAAAATAAATTTGGTGTATTTTATTTTAATTAAGTAGATTTTAAAATAAATAAAAAACACTTACCATCCAAGTTTAGTGGAAATGGCTGAAAAAATGTAGGGAATCCCAGAGGAAAGATTCTGTTTAACATCCTCTTTGAAAATTAAAAGTCTATGAATTCAATTAATTTTTAGATGAAGTTAGATTTCTTCTTGGGTGCTTGGTCTATAAAGCTTGTCTTGGACTATCGGCACAAAAGTCGAACTCTCCGCGTGAGTCGAAGTTTTGCTAGCTATAAATCGTTGTTCATCTAAGCGGAAACATATTTACTTCTTCGCGGCTTTTGCTTTTGATATCGTCTTGTCGATTTCATTTGCCGCAAAATATCACGTGATTATAATAAACAATATTTTCAATTTCCAAATTGCCTGTGCAACGAGCGAATAAATGTTTGTCCTATTTAGTGTTTATGTAGTGTTTGATTTTAAATTGAAAAACACCGATCCGTGAGGCGGATTTAGCCCAATCCTCATGTAAGTTTGTCTAACATTAGAACCAAAGCAAAGCTAATACAGTGGAAAATAAACTAAATCCTTTAATAAATCTTAGAAAACTGCCCAGGAGCATGATAACCGTGGCGTAATAAAGAAACGTAGATGGTGAGCCACAATTTCTTGCCAATGTTACGCAAATAGTGAAAGCATAAGTACGATTAAGGATGTCTAAAAACAACAAGAGGACAAAACTCCGGCAGTCATGAAGTCTGGCGGTTAATTCGGATATAAATTGATACTGTAAAATCCAATTTTCCACAGTTTTGAATTTATTGTAAATGAATTAAGATAGATATACGAGTTTAGGGAATTTTCATTTCAATACAAAATGTTGACATAACGTCTAAAAATATTTTCATCAAGGGTATAATGGTTTGACTTACAGCCAGAAAGAAAACGAACAAACCTAACAATTTTTTTCTAAAAAGAAATCAAAATTAATTCATAATTCCACTTAATCACAGTTTAAACCTCTCGGGGTTTTAAAGCTCGACCCTGAAATTGCGACCATTTTGTCGACTGAATCCAAAGACTAACAAATCTGTGTGGTTTATTCAAATTTATTCAATCTCCTCCCTTAGCGAATTCACAATCAAAACGGAACCTATAATTTTGGGTAATTCGGTAAGGAAAACATTTATGAAGTCCTTTATAGGTATCTGACTTCATCAACTTGGCGTGGCCAGGGATATAATGAACCTAAACATTGCATTTTCACACTTAATTTAATTTTTAATTTCAATCTTACCAGGGTATCTACTCCCTGGGTAGAGAATCAAGTTTTTCGAGCGACGCCCCCGAAACTTGACGCCACGGGACCGACACTGGTCAGTTCATCCATTTGTATTGAAATTAACCCCAGAAAGTGAATACACGATCAAAGCCCTGCTTAGAAAAGCACACCTTCGTTTTTGAATAGCGCAAACGTTTCATTTGTTGATTTTGTTTAGGGATATCATTGTTAGCCTTCCTATGAATCCTTTGTGGGTGTTAATTGAGGTTTGGGTATCAAAAGAACAATAGGTTTTTATGCTACTTTCCTTTATTGAATTAAAGCAGACAATTGAAAACAAAGTATCTTTAGATCACTCAGAGTGGTGAAAAAGGATTCGTGTGCCGTGAATCAATTAACGGTCACAGTGATTAAACACATCAGGGCTATAGACCAAATTTTACTCATTTCTTTTTTACCAGATTTTGTAACGAACCAAGGGGCTAGTGGATTGCTGATCTAACCTTAATAAGAAATGTTTATTGTAATGTCTAATCATTTCAAATATTGAAAAATAACTTATTTAAAAATAATTTATTTATTTTTGTTTTGCAATCGTTGCGTTTGTTCATCCTCTAACTACCCTGCGTACGATTTACACACTAATGTAATCATTATCTCAGCTGACGGGTTCGATACTTTGTGTACAGTATATCGAATGCACACTAAATATCAAACAGCCTCACCGTTATGCTTCCTTGTGTAGTGAGGAGGAGACTATTCCCGATCATGGGGCACGATCCCGGGGGGTTCACTGTATATAAACCTTGAAGGGGATCCTCGGCGCACATGGGGTACTTTTTTTGAAATTTGGTATGGCAATGGACCCACATTTTAGGATGTGGTATGTGAATGCCCTCTCATTATGACTTTTGAGGGATGGAAATGGTCAGAATTTTCAACTTTCTGGTATGAGAGAATGGTCATGGAAAGTATGTTATCTCACAATTATGGTATGGAATTGGTCTAGTATCTAGTAATATTGGCCTCATATCCTAATATGAGGTTGTTTTGGTTCGTTTTCCTCAAATATCGCCTTTTTCTTGGGACCTTCTTCAGTTTAAATAAATAGCTTTTTTCCCAGGAAATATTCTACTTTGGACCAGTCATGGCATTGGTATGGCATTGGTCCTATATTTTGACATTTGATATGGCACTGGTTTCATATTTGGGCATTTGGTATGGCTTTTGGGCACTATTTCGGTTGGTATGGGAACACATCCAAATTTGACATTTTAGTATGGGAATATATTGATATCTGAGGGCTCAGCCTAGGACCCCCGCCAAATTTTGTACACAGTGAACCCCCATGGGGGCACGATTGATGTAGGTTGATAGTGCCCTGCGCGCAGAGTCTAGTTATAAAAGACGAAGCTCTCTTTTAAGAAGCGAATGCAAAGGGTAGGTTGATAGCTACCCTGCGTGCAGAGTCTAGTTTAACTACAAGACGAAGCTCTCTTTTAAGAAGTGAAGTTAAACGAATGCAAAGGGTAGTTGATAGCCATATTAGCTTATTATTCAAGCTCCTTAATCTACCTACCCTTTGCATTTGTTCGACTTCACTTCTTAAAGAGAGTTTATAACTAGACTCTGCACGCAGGGTATAATCTACCTATAACTAGTTAGTATAGGTAAAAATTACAGCAACTTGAACATGCATGTTGATCTAGAAACCTGACTGATATACGAACATAATTATTGACGTATGTTATGAATCCCAGTGACAGTTAAATCCTGCACAACCACCTCACCACCTCACGTTGTGAATTATACACACGGGTTTTCATGTTTTCAGGATCACTGCTAAAGCTGAAGAATTCATCAAATCGGAATTGACGTTCAAATCAATTAAATCGTTGAATTTTGATTTGTCCAGCTCCCGTGGTGACATCTTAATTAGTCGATGTATTTGCTATAATACTTGCAATCTGTCACTTGAAGAATAAAAACATGCATGCATATAGAGAAACTAAATTGTCAAGGATCAAAATATATGATATATTTAAATTTACACTTTGTCTTGACTCTAAATTACTACGCGGCTCTGCGTATATGTAGCTACGCCCATTTTGCAGTTTGACATATATTTGTAAGCCCCAATTTTTCGGGACCAAACTTAGGGGTCCAAACTTAACGTCCGCCAGTGAGACAGTGCAAGGCTAGGTTTTGCACTTAAAACACATACTCAGTAAAAACGAACTCTCATTCTATAAAAAGAAATTGGCAATATCACATCAAAATCCTCCATTCATTTGTCACCAAATGTTACTTTCTACCTCGAAATGAAAGAAAAATCCTTCAAAAAGGCGTATGTAAGAAGAAATAATCTTGATTTACGTCATTCGAGAATTAGACAATTCAATCAAAATGGTATAATTGAAATTTATATGTAAAATTATACCTAGAAATGTGGTTTTAAAAAATGTTTGTCAACTTTAAAAATTTAATTTCCATGAAAACGGGCCACTAAAACTGATGAATATTCAAGTTTAGGGAAACTTTCTAATACCCTGCCACGTTATTTGCCCCGAATTAGCCATCTGGTGGTGAAACTGGTAACTACCTACTCGCATTTGGGTTACTGTCCCGTTTTCAGACATCAAGAGATACGTACAGAGTTGTTAATATAATAGTGTATGAGACTCAAACAACAAGACCAAAGCTACTCCTGAAGTCATCTTATCAACAAGAAAAAAAACTGTACTCAGAGGATAGTATGGGACTCTGCCAGCCTCTTGTTTTCAGGGTAGTCCCGTTACTTGCATTGACTGAGTGAGAGAGCCTCTTATCCTTCTCTACACACCACCTCCACTGGTTAAGTGGATAGGAAGAAGCCACTCTGCTAGATCTTGTCAGCCGCCCTGGCAAAATGTGCCATACACATTCCAAATTGCGACATCTATATGAATAAAGAGAAAAACTCCATGTCATGTACGTTTTTACTTTAGTCATAGATGTCGTCTTTGCTCATACCTTTTATTCAAAGACAAGCAATCCTGCAATAGAGTCAATTGTCAATTTTCAATGCATATGGATAAATAGATGACAGCATGTGTGTCGGTAGGGATCGTAGATACCAGCATTTAGCCATTTACTGACAAAAGTCAATTTCTTGGATACTTACAAATCGATTATGTAAAACGGCTCCCATTTGGTATACAATTAGATGATCTTGTTGACATACCGATTGTGGATTAATCCTAAAATTCTAATTCTTAAAAGAATCAATTTTTAAAAATTTCTTTAAACATCGGTCAATGGGATTTAGTCTGACTTTTTCAGAAAAAATCCTCGGAAATTGAACAAAATGAAATAACTGTACGTGTAAATTAAAGTTCTTCTGGAAAACAATCACGCATGAAACTCAAATATGTCATACTTTAACATCGAACAAAGTGTAAGTCCTTCGTGGTTAAATATGCAAATCTTAAAATCCCATTAAAATGAGATTTCAGCGAGATTTCGAAGCTGTATAGCAAATGGTTAATTGAATGTTGAGTTGGAACGTCTTTTTCATTAAACATTAATGTTATATCCGCATCACCTTCATTGTACACTGTATACATGTATCTCCTTTTCAGAAAGGACAACAAAGATATACATACATGTAACATGGGTAAGGGGAGGGGGGAGGGGGGGGGGCGATTGCTCTGACATTTTAAAATCGGCAATGGAAATCAATGGTACTGTTTGGAAGGTTGTTCAAGAATTTACTACCCTGCTTGCAGAGTCTAGTTAAACTGAAGACGAAGCTCTCTTTTAAGAAGTGAACTCAAACGAATGCAAAGGGTAAGAATTTACCTTCTTCCATGGCGGGTATAGTAAAAAGTTCCCTTTAACTTGAATTACACGAGATTCCGTTTTAGTGGTTCAATTTCCATATAACCCTAAATGTATCTATAGTTATGCAAATTGAAATATTTCCACTAAAAGAGAATATTATCTATCCAATGCACTTTTGTGATTTTGTAACATGGGGTCTATGGGGAATCAACCTGAACTAGAAGTCACATTTTCAAAAAAAAATAATTTTCAAAGTTGATTAACAATTTTCGAAACCATATTTCTAGATGTACTTTTACGTGTAGATTTCATGAAATGGCATGAACTTTACACATGGTACTGTTTGGAAGGTTGTTCAAGAATTTACTACCCTGCTTGCAGAGTCTAGTTAAACTGAAGACGAAGCTCTCTTTTAAGAAGTGAAGTCAAACGAATGCAAAGGGTAAGAATTTACCTTCTTCCATGGCGGGTATAGTAAAAAGTTCCCTTTAACTTGAATTACACGAGATTCCGATTTAGTGGTTCAATTTCCATATAACCCTAAATGTATCTATAGTTATGCAAATTGAAATATTTCCACTAAAAGAGAATATTATCTATCCAATGCACTTTTGTGATTTTGTAACATGGGGTCTATGGGGAATCAACCTGAACTAGAAGTCACATTTTCAAAAAAATTAATTTTCAAAGTTGATTAACAATTTTCGAAACCATATTTCTAGATGTACTTTTACGTGTAGATTTCATGAAATGGCATGAACTTTACACATATATACTTAGCAGTTATGTCCCTATCATTGAATATATGCCTGAGGTCTGTCACCAATATAGCCCGAGCTTGCGAGGGTTATATTACGACAGACCGAAGGCATATATTCAATGATACGGACATAACTGTTGTATTACATACTTTTATATCATGGCTACGTTATATCAATGACGCCACGTGTCTGTATGCGAGTGAAATTAGGAAGAAATGAAACATGACATCCCGATGACGTCATAAGATTGTCATGGTAAAAGGTTTGGCGGCTATACAGGAATATATAGCCGACCTTCAGGTCCATTGACTTCAATACAAATGCTTCGCTGGGTATGTAATACAAGCAAATAAAGGGGGAGGGAGGGGCAGAGTCAGACCACGCAAGACTACTTTTGAAAGTAAATAGCTGATGTTTTTACTTTAACGTTTTAGAAATATTTCCAGCATTTATGCTGAAAGATGGCACTAATTAAAGGTGAACGCAGATCCACTTCTGTCATTGAATTCATTTGTCACTGTAAGTGACACGCTACACGTGCAAACAATACTAAAGTAGCGGTACTTAAAATTGTCATATCTGCATATAAGACTGGTCAACATCGGGGTCTACATATAGACTTTGGTGTTTGTTTGAAATACGTTCACCTCATCAAACTACACATACATATAGAGCTGAGTGGACAAAGACGTCATCAAAAGTTACAAAACTGGAATTTTATTGGAACGTATTCTTCTGATTGCAATTGTATATTTTGATGTAAGTATAAATTTTATAAATAGCTCAGCTGTGAACGGGTCATTGGGATCTGCAACATACTGTAGGATGAACATGTCTTAGTGTCCTTTAGATTTAAATATATTTACTGAAATGAAAGCAAAAACTGTTTTATTTACTATAATTTTGATATACTAATCGGCATGCTGACATTAAAAAGTAAAGCAGAAAAAGTCATGTATATATGTAGATTTGTACATCTGCTTTGCTTAATTATTTGATCGCAGACGATAAAGTATTATTTCAACGCCCGTAGTGCGACTTATTTGAGGTGAAACTGACTTTTCTCTGCTCAATTCAGTTAAAACAATCACATGATTTTAAAGATTTGATTAACATACAATAGTACACGAAAATACAAGTTAAATTGTCTGTTACCAGCGGTCACGTCAGATTACAAAAGTAAAGAAATGACATAAGCGATTTGTCACATGATTTAACGATCACCCCCTAAGCCAATTGTACAAAATATTTCTTCAGGTCAGAATTCATAGACTTACAGATCCTTAATTAGCACGTACATTACATTCAGAATCTGGCAATCAGAAACTTGGTAATCCCTTGAATTAAAACAATCTGTTGATTAAGACTACTCAAGAAGAGGAGTTGATAGAGACAAATATTAAAACAACGGTACATACTGTATATTTAGGAGGCCGGACAGCTAGGTTGGGACCGCACTAACTTTTCACATCTATATTTTAATACTATACATTGGGGAGGGCTAAGAACGGCAAAGTTGTAAGAATATTGTTTGTTGAATTATTAATATGTAATGGATTCATTTAACACTGGTATATGTGCATTTCTCAATATGATGATTTTCTTAACATTGACATGCTTTGGGAAGTGATCCCAAAGTAACATCCGGCTGCCAAACTTACGAGATGTCATAAAATAAATTTTAATGTTATCCCAGAATACATGCAACAAATAGAAACGATATTTTTAGAACCTGCAACTATTACATTTTCATATGTGTATTGCTTTCAGACAAGGTGAATCAAAAGATGTCGTCTTACTATGGTGAAAAAGGGGGAGGTCCATATGAAAATGGACGTAGTAGTACCATGGGAAGTAAAGCCGAGATCATGGAATCTGAGTAAGTATAGACAATGGCGTACAATCTAACACCACAACGCTAAAGTATTGGTTCAAAAATGATGATCGTTGGTTATTAGGGAAGCATTGTGTCGGCAATTCATCTTTTACATGGATATAACGAAGTTTTTCAATTGTGACATTTTAAAGTGACTAAGTTTCCCAATTTAGTAAAACGAGTATCACAAAACAATACAATACAAACTCGTCTTATAAATTTATAGCACCGTGGTAATAAAATAAATAATTTTTTAGTAATAACAGATACCCAGTTGTAGGCCAACATCTCCCGTCCTTCCGTATGTGAGAGTGAAAAATTAAGAATAAAATTGTTATTCCATTCTGAGATGTCACGGGTACTAGATTTAGTTACACCAGTTTAAATGTTACTTAACATAGCACGGAGAGTATCAATATAGTAATAAATGGATATTCAAATAATACATATAATATAATCTTTAACTACTTAGCTTTGGTGATAAAGTTCATTTAAACAATGTCTTCCAATTATCACATATCACTTGCACTGAAGTGCTGACTTGATTTAAATGTGGAATTTGTAAGTGATCTCAATCACATGTACACTGTAAACATGCACGTTGAAATTAGGATTAAAATATAAATACCTAACAGTACTTATTAACAATTTTATTAACAATATGTAGTCTGTATATATGTAAATGAGGTTATATGACTGTATGTTACAATCCCCCTAATTTGTCAAAGATGCCTCGTACACATAGTGATCTAGAAAGTAGGAGGCGTGTTAACGTATGCCCGACTTAAATATATATGTAAGATGTATCCTAGTTATTATTTTTCCTCAATGGCAGTTACAATGTTTGTTTACCATGTCGACATTAGCAGCGTGGTGTAAATGCCGTCCTGTCATCATGAACAGCTTCATGAATTTTTATAATATTAATGTTATATGAATACACTTTGCAAAAGTACTTAAATATCAATTCTGTATTATTTTCGAATGCATATTAACTGATCTGATCAACTAATGTTGAAGCGGTACAACTCTCAAGCCATAAATCATTTCGATTCATATTCTCAGTATACCCAACTCCTCTTAAAGTCCCTCTCAAGTCATCATGGATGAGCATCCATCATTTATCATCAATATTTTTAATCAGGCCCGAAATCATGAGTTTCCGAGATTTTCCAATGAAAGGCTCTGGTCATTTTTCACAATTATTCCATGCTACTACATGTAGCTATAGCATCTCAGGCCCGTAGCCCCTGACCAGAAATTCTTTCAAGATCATACAGTCTTTAACCATTCTGAGCACCTTTTCATTAATTTCTGCCCAAAAGTAAAAACGCTTCCCCTTGGCAAAGACTCCCCCTCGTACAAACTGGTTAAAGCATCTTGGCTTAGGATGATTATTTTCTGACAGCAACAGTACGATAATAGTGGTTTCTAGGGGAAAATAAAAAAAATAAAATGAAATAACCTCCCTTTTGTTATATGTTTCTTCATTTTGATAGGGAAAGGGGGTCATCACTTGACAAAGTAGATGCGATGTGACTTTGCTGAGAAATGACAAATGTATGCTCCACTGATCTTTATACTATTGATTTTTATGCAAGAGTTGATGTGTTTAGGTTCCACATTCGACTTGTGATCCAGCACCCTTTTAAAGAATTTGATTTCGCTTCATCATCTTCATCCTAATGATACGAGCTTTCTTTCATATTGTTTTTGGATATCGTTGAAATGACAAGGCCTTGGGATGGGATAATAAGTTCTAGGTTTTTATATAAGTTGGCCAATTCCCCAATATGCAGCTAGAATACTTTGTCTAAATAATTCTTTTAAGTTATACAATATACATAAACAAGAAAACATTTCCCTTTTTCTCGCAGAATGTTGTTCCAAAATTGATGAAATTCCATTGGCTATTTCTACATCTTGGCAAAGGGAGTTTGGTATTACAAAAATACGGGGAGACTAAAAATCTCTGCTACTCTGAAACAGAAATATACATTTCAGTGATCTTGTATGGATGCATGTTGATACTGGCAAAAGTCAGGGGGAAATGCGTATTGATATAACTAATTGGTGATACGTGCGCTTTAGACCTATAAGCAGACTCCCGAAAAACCAAATATAGCAAAAGACAACGTGGTGTCGAGAATCAAAAGTGAATAATAATAAACTTTATCGTCATCTTGTAGCATTACAGCTTCACTGTCGCTAGGCAACTATCCTGTCACTATATAATAAACCGTGAATTAGCCCAAAATAAATGGAAAAATAAACTGCAGGGTTACATCAGTTGCAGAAGATAGTTCTTGATTCTGTAAAATTAGCCATTTTGGGGGGTATCTGGGATATCGCCTTCTCTAATCTGAAAGAAACTTATAGCAGATGCCAGAGTAATTCGGGGTATTTGGATATTTAATACGGACATAACACAAGTTCGACATTTTACTTGACAGAAGACTAAACGTTTATTGAGGGACATGATAACGAAATACACGCTAATCCACACTGCAGCGAGATTCTGATAAAGCAATTCAATACTTTATACCATCAGAGGTCAACGCTCGGAGAACCTTGTTGCATGATTGAAGCACTTTAGATACGGGTAAATCAAAACGTGTTACTCACACCAATGCTCATAGCTTTCTAATATTAACTGGAACGAATATATTCAGTCAAGCAAATGACGTAACGTTATATTGCACGATCAGAGAAACTTGACGGGAACAAAAGAACGTGGATGGAAACGTTAAGATCTGTATGCTGAAATTCGAATTTTAGAAACATTCATCTCCTGCTTTTTGAAAGCGCTATTAAGATTCGAATGTTGGATGTAAAATGACGTTAGAATTACACGTGTAAAACAGAGCGTTCCTTTCCTGAAAGATTATGTCATCGGGGGTGAATACGAACAATAGGATAAACCCTACATTGAATGGAGTAAACAATGGGGAACAGGTTATTTATAATGTGAGCTACAGTGATCAGGAACCAGTGATAAAAAGAAGGTATTAAATGTTTTGGCATGATAAAGAATCTCTAAGTAAATTTGCACGCGTAATTTTAGCACTTTTGGCACACTTTGGTCAATCTTTTGGCACACTTTTGGCATGCTTTAGAAAGTCTTTGGGATTCAAAGTTTGATTAACGTCTTTATTTTAGGGTTGCATGTATTAAAAACTACAATGGCGTTTTATCCTTTAAATGCTACCATCCCGTTAAAATATCCACACGCTTGAAATGATATTTTGTGATATGCCCTAGTGCTTTCACAATTAATCAATAACATGATTCCTAGTGTGAGATTCGTACCAAATACCAAATTACACCCAATCTAATTTGTGGGGTATTTCCATCTGATCTGACTTGATTTCGGGATATCTCAAAATCTAAGCTTACAATGTGACCTGATATGCCGTTTATATACACCAGAACACCATGGGGCTAAAAGGTGTTAATCTATGGATATCCAAATGCCCTTTCCATTTTATTAGAGTGGTCTTTCAAAATGACAAACAACAGTGATTGCTTACACATTTAGTTGCATGATCTTTTTTCTTGATAATAATTTCCTAATTCAAAAAACAGAACCTGAAAATAAGTACTGAAATGCGAATTTAGTAAGCGTTGAATCTATGATGGGAACTAAAGGGATGGTCAATTAAACTCTTTCAGCAATGTTCGCAGTTTTAGTATCATAATAGAGTGTTAAACCTTAGAGTACCATGACCCGAAACCATTTAAACTACAACTACTTACTAAATAAAACAATCCGAATGATAAGATTGATAAACCACTTAAGTTAGTGAATGATCCGCATTAAGCTTCATTGCAAGTTCTTGTTGTTCCCAATGTACAGTTAAAGAGATATAAGAAAATATTTCCTAGAAATGTACCTCGTTAAACGATCTTTAGTATGGTTTTTTAACCTTTTAAGAGTGTTTCGCGTTTTTTAGAAAGAGCTTCATTTTCGATAGTGATTGCTACTTTGCCGTGATTTTCCGTATTTAAGAGGATGTATTATGTCTGATTCAAATTGATTCGTCAAAAATCAGAAAAGTTTCTACATTTTGTAAAATAAGTTAGGCTTGGCTGTCGTTACATTTCTCAAGTATCATTCGTTTCATATCAAACACAATTTGAACGTTTTTTGTTTAGTTTATAGAGTAAAGGTCGTCCAAACTATTTGTTGTAAATAGTTCAACAAGTGCGCTATTTTTAAAGAATTTTAAGTTTCCCTGAATCAAAATAATCGGCGAATCTTACGGAGTCGAAGTCTACCAAAGTGTACTTTAATTTCGCTTTTTTCACATGCATTCCACACGCCATACATATACTCCTGGGCCGTGGGACCAACGCATCCAAAAAGGGACCTTATTTATGGAAAGGCATCAATTGTCTTAATGGCCAATGACAAAGGGCAATAAAAGTTTCATTGTAACCTGCAGTTGCTTGTTTTCATCATGACATAAGCAAGCAAACATGGGTAAACTTGTAACGTTTATCATCATTTTTATCTCTATTATTATTGTTTTTGACAATTATGTTTTGTATCTATGGTTTGGATTATAACCACAGGCGCCATTGAAGTCAGTAACATCTTAATCTGAAGGCCTAATCACTTTCGAGTCTTAACAGTTTTCAGATTACATTCCGTAAACTTTGAATTTTTTGTTTGTAATTCAAGATAAGCGTCACAATAACAAAGCAATTTGATATCAAGTATTAAGTATTTTCACATACACAGTAAATGATATTTAAAATATTGTTATCATTTTCAAATTAATGATGCAATCAGGCGATGACGGCTTTTGCATTTAGATGTGGTCTAACATAATTGTCAGATTACACTTAGGCTAGAATTCAATTTATTTGGTCCTAAAATGACAGATTCGACAAAATATTGTTGAAGGGATCAATGTCAGTAAAAAAGCGAAATTTTCAGGGTCATCGGTTAAACAGAAAATCGATGTATTTTATCCAACTAGTACTAATGTACACTCCCCTCCATAAGTTTTGCAACACGAGGTTTACATTGGATATAGCATATCACAGCCTGACAATGTTAGTTTAATGTCCATGATCCCTAGGATAGCATATCACAGCCTAACAATGTTTTGTTAATGTCCATGATCCCTCGGATAGCATATCACAGCCTGACAATGTTTTGTTAATGTCCATGATCCCTCGGATAGCATATCACAGCCTGACAATGTTTTGTTAATGTCCATGATCCCTCGGATAGCATATCACAGCCTGACAATGTTTTGTTAATGTCCATGATCCCTCGGATAGCATATCACAGTCTGTCAATGCTAGGTTAATGTCCATGATCCCTCGGATAGCATATCACAGCCTGGCAATGTTTGGTTAATGTCCATGATCCCTCGGATAGCATATCACAACGTGACAATGTTTGGTTAATGTCCATGATCCCTCGGATAGCATATCACAACCTGACAATGCTAGGTTAATGTCCATGATCCCTCGGATAGCATATCACAACCTGACAATGCTAGGTTAATGTCCATGATCCCTCGGATAGCATATCACAACGTGACAATGTTTGGTTAATGTCCATGATCCCTCGGATAGCATATCACAACGTGACAATGTTTGGTTAATGTCCATGATCCCTCGGATAGCATATCACAGCCTGACAATGTTTTGTTAATGTCCATGATCCCTAGGATAGCATATCACAACGTGACAATGTTTGGTTAATGTCCATGATCCCTCGGATAGCATATCACAACGTGACAATGTTTGGTTAATGTCCATGATCCCTCGGATAGCACATATCACAACCTGACAATGCTAGGTTAATGTCCATGATCCCTCGGATAGCATATCACAACGTGACAATGTTTGGTTAATTTCCATGATCCCTCGGATAGCATATCACAACGTGACAATGTTTGGTTAATGTCCATGATCCCTCGGATAGCATATCACAACGTGACAATGTTTGGTTAATGTCCATGATCCCTCGGATAGCATATCACAACGTGACAATGTTTGGTTAATGTCCATGATCCCTCGGATAGCACATATCACAACCTGACAATGCTAGGTTAATGTCCATGATCCCTCGGATAGCATATCACAACGTGACAATGTTTGGTTAATGTCCATGATCCCTCGGATAGCATATCACAACGTGACAATGTTTGGTTAATGTCCATGATCCCTCGGATAGCATATCACAACGTGACAATGTTTGGTTAATGTCCATGATCCCTCGGATAGCATATCACAACGTGACAATGTTTGGTTAATGTCCATGATCCCTCGGATAGCATATCACAACGTGACAATGTTTGGTTAATGTCCATGATCCCTCGGATAGCACATATCACAACCTGACAATGCTAGGTTAATGTCCATGATCCCTCGGATAGCATATCACAACGTGACAATGTTTGGTTAATGTCCATGATCCCTCGGATAGCATATCACAACGTGACAATGTTTGGTTAATGTCCATGATCCCTCGGATAGCATATCACAACGTGACAATGTTTGGTTAATGTCCATGATCCCTCGGATAGCATATCACAGCCTGACAATGTTTGGTTAATGTCCATGATCCCTCGGATAGCATATCACAACCTGACAATGCTAGGTTAATGTCCATGATCCCTCGGATAGCATATCACAACGTGACAATGTTTGGTTAATGTCCATGATCCCTCGGATAGCATATCACAACGTGACAATGTTTAGTTAATGTCCATGATCCCTCGGATAGCATATCACAGCCTGACAATGTTTTGTTAATGTCCATGATCCCTAGGATAGCATATCACAACGTGACAATGTTTGGTTAATGTCCATGATCCCTCGGATAGCATATCACAACGTGACAATGTTTGGTTAATGTCCATGATCCCTCGGATAGCATATCACAGCCTGATAATGCTAGGTTAATGTCCATGATCCCTCGGATAGCATATCACAACGTGACAATGTTTGGTTAATGTCCATGATCCCTCGGATAGCATATCACAACGTGACAATGTTTGGTTAATCTCCATGATCCCTCGGATAGCATATCACAGCCTGACAATGTTTGGTTAATGTCCATGATCCCTCGGATAGCATATCACAACGTAACAATGTTTGGTTAATGTCCATGATCCCTCGGATAGCATATCACAACCTGACAATGTTTGGTTAATGTCCATGATCCCTCGGATAGCATATCACAGCCTGAAGGGGTAAAGATTATAGGAAAACTGTTAATCCTTTACAATTAATATTTTTATCACACATGCATAAGTAGACAAGTGGCGAAATCTGATTAGGTTTTGGGCATATTCTGGGTAGTTCACAAGGAAACCAATTTGAATTCCAAGCAATATTTATTACCGTGTTTCTTACTTTCATACTTATCTAGATAAATTAAAAGTAGTGGTCGTCATTTTGGCCTTATTTTCCAAACACGGGTTCATAGACATTGACCTACATTTTATCTGAACATAGCTTCAATGGCATTCGATATCACATGCCTTAAATGGAGAAATATCTCCCGGTAGATGTACTTGCATTTCCTAGTTTTTAACAAACGGTTGTTTTAAAACTTAATTCCGTTTGATAACAAAATCTAAATCTAAAGCCAAAGAACGGTAAAAAGAAGTTACTGAAGATGCACGACGTATTGTAAAGCCACCCAAATATCAGGACGTCATTTGGTCATGGCATTCATTCCCAAGATCACTGGGGGGTATCGTGATGCAACAACACCGTGTTGTTGCATCAAGATGGCCAGACTTCCGGTGATAGATTTTCGTACGATGTTTTGTTTTCCCAATTTACACCCATTTCTAGGACGAGTTGCTCAATAATCATACACATGCAGTTAGCCCATGATCTATATTTTAAAAAACTGTCATTGGTATACATGTAGCATCATCAAGAAGCGATAAATTCGTGGTTTTAATTCCTCACTATTGATGCAACAACACCACTCTGTTTCTTATCGATGATGCAACAACACCAATGTGCT